TGTCTCATTATGCTACATTTCAACTACATTTAGAACCCAGGCATGGTTTCCAGGGAGTTTCGTCAAGTTTCTGTCTTAAACAGGAGATTCTGGTGATGAACTGTTGATTCCAGAGATAAAGAGAAGAGAAGAGAATATTGAAGCTAAGCCCTATGAATTTAGAAGAAAAGACAACAATTTTGTCAAGAATTGACAGTTGACACATCTTAAATATTAAATATGGCACGCCTTCATAAATCAACGATAATTTGGATATAATTTGCCTTTTTATACCTTTAAGGTCTGTATCTCTTCATTTTTCTCTTTCCGACTTGATTCATATCCATCCAACATCTTCTGTAGTTTGGCTTGGTTATCTTTCATAGTGATATAATTAAGGAAATCAATCAATGTCATTAATTATCATTCGTGGGGTTTGAAGCCATCTTTAAATTTCCATGAAAGTCCTGCTAACACAAATACATCAAACCATCAAGTATGGCAGTCCCAGCTTGTTTTCTTGTAGCTGTAATTGATGTTGGATGGATGGAAAGTCGTTACCGTGATCATGCGCCCACCGATTTTCATTTTGAAAATGGCGTTCTGCGAATTGTGGTACGCGAAGCAGTTTTTTTTGATCTACAATTCTTGACAAACAAACTTGCTAATGTCTGTTTAGCATATCCATGAGGTGCTCATCAACAAACTCAGTCAAGCCATTCATATACACAGCAAGTTTAAACATTCTACCTCACTAGAATCCAAAGTTTGTGTGATCTAAAGTCTCAAACAATCAAATTGCTTAAGCAGTAAAAAAATTCATATGTGGACATTTTACCTCAACTAAAAGCAGAGTTATTGTGGTTGATAATGTGTGACTGATAAAGGAACAAACACATTTAAGTTATCCCCCGTTTTCTCCTAATGCATGTACATACTATGAAAAAGCTATAAAATCAAAACAAATCATTTGGAAAACTGTAAAATCAAAATCCCTAAATCGTTACTTTATGCATTTAAGAAAGGATATTTGTTAACTTCTTGAGATTTTTCATCTAACATCTTGGTGAGTTCTGCTTCAGATTCTGAACCTTTTGTTGTAATATTTGATTCTACTTCTTTTATTTTTACTTCATAACTTTCCTTCAGTTTTATTTGAATTTCTTCACTTTCTTTCAACTAAATCAGAAATAAAAACATCCAAGTTAATTAGTTTTGATTAACATTCTAATTCTAGCTTTTGCTATTAAGTTCTCAAAGTCTATGTACATTTATTACCAGTATAATGGATTGACCATCTGAATTGAATTAAAATGTAATGGGGTTTAACTTCCTACTTTTCTACACCAACTGGGCTAATGAGAGAGAGAGAGAAATGGGGCTTAACGTCCACTCGACACAAACTAGGTCATTTCGGGACTAACCAAATGACCTGGAGAAAACCCACGAGGTTGGACAGGAGACCTTACTCCTTGTCACGTACAACTGGGGAATCGAAACCACGCCAGTTGACTCAATGACAGACTTTATGATACAGCGCGCACACGCTAACCATTCAGCCATCCAACCCCCCCCTGGCTAATAAAGACGGGCTTACACTATACAGTGTGCTATAAGCTATACAAAACAATACCCTGGTTCTCGACAAATCTGATGAGAAAGGGCGGGGTGGGGTTGTTTTTTATTTCATGAAAGGATCATGAGGCTAAATTACTTAACATCACATTTCAAAGTTCAATCATCTATCTAATCATCATTTATTCATGTTGTTTACAGGAATTCACTCTATTTACATATCTAAACTTTACTGTTGCTGTACTTTAAACTGAAGACAAGTTTATTTAATGGTGGTCTTGGTCTACAGATTAAGCACAGATTTTGTTGTTCTAATGTGAATGCTGTTCCTTCAATCTCCTATATCCATGGAGTATAATTTCAGTTCTCATTACAAAGTGTAGCTCTATTTAACACTTCTGAATACAATCGTAAATATTTCGTAGAGGTACCCTCCACCCACCTCAACATAGGAAATATGAACATGCGGTAATCAATAAAAATGTTTATCATGCAGCCATTTATAAGTGATGCAGTGGTATCAGAGAATAGAATATTTTTTTTATATATAGCCTTATAATATCATTAATTCAATAACTGAACAATTATAATACCTCTTTCTTTAATAACAGTATCTGTTGATTCATTATCTCTTGTTCTTCCTGGGGTGAAAAAAATAATATTAATTTAATAGACATAGATATAGAACATCGTAATAAACATTGTGCTAGATTTATATTTCAAACTGAACAGTTAAATGTTTTAAGACAGAGATATTCAGGATTTTTCCATCAGAAAATAAGCATTCTTTTGGGAGATGTCTTTGAATGTGTGGTCATATAATTAGAGACAATAACAACACATACAGTTTCTAGATTCTCCTTCAAAGAAAACTGCAGGATAAAACATCATATTTTAGTCCACATCTTGACTATCATATAATTACTCTATTTGCTACTAACCTGTACCAGTGTACCAGGTGCCAGTGTATTACACATTCAAAGACCTTACTACATCATGTGATTAACTACAAATCTAAAGTTGGACACCCCAACCCTGTTTTACTTTCTCATATTTACTTCTTTTATTATTTCTAAAGAAGATTTATCATACTATTTGTAAAAAAAAAAGACATGAAAGGTTTACCTGTGCTAATTCAACAGATTTTTGAGAGAATTCAAGTTCACTGTTTATTTTATTATAGGCTTCTGTCATACACTCATAATCATCTTTCAACATACTCATCTACAACATAATCAAAAAAATCATATAAAGGCTAAAAACTTGAGTTTTAACCTCTATCAACACTATGTATCGGTCATTTTGAATTATTCCTATGGTCAAGTGCAGGGCTTCCACTTAAAAAATTTGACTGTCGGTCATTTTTGATAAGGCAAGTGAACTTGCCATGAAGGCCAATTTTGCCTGAATAGTTGAATTTCCAACTTTTCTTCATTAAGTCCAAGCTGTCAAGTGTTTAATTATGACCACTCCACTATGGTAGTACTTGCTAGACATTACTGAAGATGGAGGGGGGAATTCCTGTTCAATTATATCTTACCTCAACATTATTAGAATTTTTTTCTCGATCAAGTTGACTTCCAAGGTCATTTAATTGGTTCCGTAAAGCCTCAAGTTTCATCTGTTGATCTTCACATTGTATCTGTAGTTCTGTCGAATTTTGTTCAGATGTTTGAAGGGCCGACGTTAATGATATATTTCTCTCATTCTCCACACTTAAATTTGATTTTAGTTCCTGAACTTTAGTAATTAAACTTGCCATGGCCGCCTGAACAATAACAATATAAAATTATTTAATAATCTAGCAATTAATCCAGCACAATTTACCTACAATGGAGGAGCACTTAACAACTAGTTCAACATTTTGATCAATTCATTTGTAAATGCTGGCATCCTATCTTCTCTACACTTATTTTCCTGAACCATAAATCATTTGGATATCGTATTTCAAAACACAATTTTATCAAACCCAAAGACAAGATATTTACTTGCATAGACACAAATCACCCAAAATTTTGCCTTTAATCCTATAAAACCATTAAGATTTCTAACCTTTTCCTCTGTGAGTTGTTTTTCTTGGCTTGTTATATTTGCTAAAGCATGATCTAATTCTTTGCGTAACATATTGGTATTCTGTGTCTGTACATCACACATATTCTGTAGAGATGAATTCTGATTCTGTAAACTAGTAACTTCTGCCATTACATTCACCAACTGTTTCTCCTGCACATATTCAAAATCATAAAAATATCATCTTAAGAGTTTCAAACAAAAGATATGTTTGTGTTTTTCGCAATTTACGTGTCCTTGTCACATTTTTATAGATTTCTTAAAAACTTGAACTTGGTATTTGTACATCCTACATCTTGGTTCAGTGAGTTTGTTGTGGCTCACATACCAGGAAGTTCACAATTTAATCCCTGTGTTGGTGGAGAAATTTTTTGAGGATTTCTCAGCCAGGTTCTCTCTGTTAGAAGTGCAATCAAAAGCAAGTAGTTGTTCGGACGAGAAACCAAGGACCTTTGTTTACCATTCACAGCAGGTTCCCAGACCATAAAATCTATTTGAGATTTCGTGAAAAAGACCCTGAATCGTAAATAATGTAGTACAATACTGTATATATTATAGTTACTGACCTGTTCTTGACCTTCCTGTGACATTTGTTGTTTCAATTGTTGTAATCTACTCTCTTCTAGATGTAACATATCTAATGTAGACTAAAAATACAATTAAATAGTGTCCTCTATAAAATATAGACTAAAAACAACCAGTGCCTTTCATAAAATATACACTAAAAACAGTGTCTTTATAAAATATAGACTAAAAACAAACAGTCTTCTTTACAAAATATAAAATATAAACTAAAAACATCAAGTGTCTTTTGTAAAATATAGACTAAAAACAAATAGTGTTCTGTTATAAAATGTTGACTAGAAATAGTAGAAATACAATTAAATAGTGTCCTAAAATGTAGACTAAAAACAGTGTCTGTTATAAAATAATCTTAAGTAATTGCTTTAATAAATCATAGTCCTAATATTTTCACTAAGAGTGGAAATGTGCAATATTTTATAAACAATTGCAGACACAAATCACACAAATCCTCTGTTTCCCTTCATTTAACCCCGGACAGACTTAAATATCAGGGACAACTTCAGTAGTGCTACAGATACTGTGTCTGATACAACAAACATTAATCTTTTCTGGACTGTAAGCAATATTATTTGTGGCATTTAAAACAGATAATAATTTTACCTCTAATTCGGTTTGAGTTTTTTCTCGTAATGCACTTTCTTCTTTCAGTTTGTCACTCAGGTCTGTCATACAATCTTCATTAAATGTCAACGTCTCCCTTGTTGTTTCGAGTTGTTCCTAAATATAAAAATTCTAGCAATAATCTACAATCAATCTTGCTGTCTTAGTTGTTCCTAAATACAAGATCAATTCTAGTAATAATCTATAATCACTCTTGTTGTTTCTAGTTGTTCCTAGATATAAAATGATCAACAGAAAAATTCTAGTAATAATCATCAATCAATCTTGTTGTTTCTAGTTGTTCAAAAATAGATCAAGATCAATACTAGATATATAATCTACAATCAAGATCAAGATCAATACTAGATATATAATCTACAATCGAGATCAAGACTAGATATATAATCTACAATCAAGATCAAGACTAGATATATAATCTACAATCGAGATCAATACTAGATATATAATCTACAATCGAGATCAAGACTAGATATATAATCTACAATCGAGATCAAGACTAGATATATAATCTACAATCGAGATCAATACTAGATATATAATCTACAATCAAGATCAATACTAGATATATAATCTACAATCGAGATCAAGATCAAGACTAGATATATAATCTACAATCAAGATCAAGACTAGATATATAATCTACAATCGAGATCAATACTAGATATATAATCTACAATCAAGATCAATACTAGATATGTAATCTACAATCAAGATAAAGACTAGATATAATCTACAATCAAGATCAAGATCAATACTAGATATATAATCTACAATCAAGCTTGGTAGCTGGGGGAAAATGATGCTGGCTCATTAACTATAAGGACTTAGATTCGTTCTTGATATTGGCTGAGAAAGTTTCTTGTGATTATCCTGCTTGGTTTCCCTTTGTCAAAGAGGGCCTGGCAAGGACAAACATCTTGTCTAGTTGTTTGGATGGGATCAAAAACAGTTTACCACTGTCAAGGCAAAATTTCTCTCATAGCACATGCATGGCGTATGTATACCCATCTTCAGTAGACTGGTTGGTACAGAAATTTACAACATTAAATCTCATGTCATTTTATTTTATAATTGTTTTACAATAGATTTCTACATGTATTGCAAATTAGTTTTCAAAAACAGGTTAAATAATTAGACTGAAGTTTAAAACTTGAATCTGTAATTTAATTTAATCAAACCTTCATTCCTGGAGATTAAAAAATAAATAAAAAGCTTTTAGTTACCTGCAATATTTCTTTCTCCTTGGTAACCGAATCAAGCTCTTTGGAAAACCTATCTAACTCCATGTCAACTTGTAAAATCTACAAAAACATATCTTACATTACAAAGTGAATCTAGCTTTTAGTCTGGAAATAAGATACGTGTCATAGAAATTGTCAGGAACATAAGTCATCCAAATCCCTATGATTTTGTCTGTCACGTAATCTGGCCCAGATATGTCTTTTTATCCATGTTTTCAATGATGTTTGTAATACATCAAGTTTTAAATATCAGGTTTAAGATGTCATGCCTGATATTTTGCTGTTACAACTAAAATTATCATCAAGTATTATTTTTATGAATTTGTTTTGTAATACAAAACTTGAATGAAAGCCTACACATTTCAGCATATAACTCTACTTTTCATTAAGTTATGTCAGACTATTAACCCTAAGTGTTGTCTTGCCTGTAAAAGAACATTTGATAGTTGGAATTTAATTGCAGTCCAGGCAAAATTTCCCTCATAGCACACTGTATTGTGTATGCCCGTTGGAGCAGAAAAGTAGGATGTTAAACCCCCATTTCATTAATTCAGTCATTCTGGGCCCTAATCTCTGGAGACAAATTCTTCATACCTTAGTTTCTAAAGTTTGTATAACTTTATCTTTTTCACATTCAGCTAATTTACTTTTTTGTTTATATTCCCGTAATTCTTTATCAGCACCAGATAATATGATCTTTAAATCTCTCACTTCTAGTTTATACACTGAAATAAAAATTATTTTAAACTCAAACACGGCTAATAAAATTAAAACTCATTATAAACTCAAACACAGCTAATAAATTAAAACTCATTATAAACTCAAACACAGCTAGTAAATTAAAACTCATTTTAAACTCGCTAATAAATCAAACCTCATTATAAACTCAAAAAGAGCTAATGAATTAAAATTCATAAACTCAAACACTGCTAATAGATCAAAACTCATTATAAACTCAAACGCAACTAGTAAAATTAAAACTCATTATGAACTCAAACACTGCCAATAGATCATAACTCATTATAAACTCAAACTCAACTAGTAAAATTAAAATTCATTATGAACTCAAATGCAGCTAGTAAATTAAAACTCATTATAAAATTAAAACTGATTCTGATTTTAAAAGACTCATGGTTACTCTAAAAGGTTTGTTCTCACTTTCCCAGCAGATTAACCCTACTAATTAAGCGGATTAGGGATTAGTTATAGATTAGTGAGTTATACTCTGTTTTAATTATTGCATGAACAGTTCAATTTAACCTATGACATGTGTGAACTATAAATTTTCGTTCATATGTCAGTTTAATTTTATACTTAATTACGATGAACAATGTTTATGATAAAAGTTTATTAAATAGTTGAAATTCAAATTGTATGTCATTCCAAAATGGCTAGTGTACAGGTAAACATTAGGTTCATTCCAAACTTGAGAGGTTCTCAAAGCCTAGTTTATGATAATTATAAGTTTAGTGTTAAGACAAGAAGAGGAGCCACCATTCATTGGAGGTGTACTGTTCGTGATTTCCCTGCTACTTGCAATACCAGGAATGACCTCGTTACTACTTACAGAAACATCCATAATTATCAAGCTGATCCAACCAAATTAAAATGAAATGAAATGGGGTTTAACGTCCTACTGTTTTGCTCCGAACTGGGCTAATGAAGACGGGCATACGCCATACAGTGTGCTATGAGGGAAATTTTGCCCGGACAGCGGCACTACGGACTACTCTTATATCGAATTCCAACTGTCAAGGGATCTTTTACGTGCACTCCAATGTGTACACGGGACCTCGGTTTTTCGTCTCATCCGAATGACTAGACAGCTGTCCTTGTCAGGCCCTCCGTCCTGCATCAATGACAAGGGGGACCAAATTAAAAGTTGACATGTTTTTATCAGCAAATGAAGGAATCGGTTAAAGCAGATTCTAAGCCAATTCCAGCAGTTTACCAAGAAGAAATTAACAATATGGAAATGGAGGCGTTTCACGTCCAAAGAAAAGAAAATACATAGAATTAAGCAGAAGAATACATGATGAAAAACAAAGATTATTAACTGGTTTCACAACTTTATATGAATACGGAAATTCGATATCACATTTAGTCGGATTTTAAATACATGTATACATGTACAATACTAAATTTGTTAATAAGTAGTTAATATTGATATGAAAAATATATATGTACATGCTAAATTTGTTAATAAAATAACTTTTATGTAAAGTGGTTAATATTGATATGAAAAGGACTATAGTTTTAACACCATTGTTACCCTAATTAGTACTGGTCTAATGATTTTACCTGGAAAACAATAGCTGCTGGGAAAGTGAGAACACCCCCTCTAAAAGTCCCAATTTTGATTGATGTATGTAATGTTAGTAATGTAAAATGAAATATAACTTACTACTAGAGTTACTCTCAGCTTCATCATATTCTGATTTTAATTTATTAATTCTTGCTGTCATAGTTTCTTCTTTTTCTGTCCAACTACTTCTTTCATTACTTAATATCTGAAATGAATTCAAATGTTTCTCATCACTGATCTTAGGAAATATTTAATAAAACACTGATCTTAGGAAATATTTAATAAAACACTGATCTTACGTAATATTTAATAAAACACTGATCTTAGGTAATATTTAATAAAACACTGATCTTAGGTATTATTTAATAAAACACTGATCTTAGGAAATATTTAATAAAACACTGATCTTAGGTAATATTTAATAAAACACTGATCTTAGGTAATATTTAATAAAACAATGATCTTAGGAAATATTTAATAAAACACTGATCTTAGGTAATATTTAATAAAACACTGATCTTAGGTAATATTTAATGAAAAAAACTGATCTTAGGAAATATTCAATAAACTATTAATATAAAAGCCACTAATGGAAACCTAATCTATTTCACTGTAAATAGCATGACAAAAAAATATTCTTGTTTCCATACAATCATTACTAAATATCTGATTTCAGCCGCAGCAGGAATGAGGTTTTTATTTTGTCAAATGAAATGTAATCCCTAACAGAAATAGTAAAGCCTCCTTACTTCATTTAACTGGCTATTTTCAAGTCCAATCTTCGTCATTTGTTGACGTAATCGAATCTGGTCAGCCTCAAATTCTTCTAATCTTTCAGACATTTTATTATTGGTGTCCTTTTAAAAAAACAAACAACATACATCGTCAACAAATATTCAACATATGAAATGAAATTAATAATTAGGTGAGTTAAAAGATATTTTTAGAATGGTCATGTATTGGTTATCACTCAAAACTGAAAATAGAAATGAAATGGGGTTTTCTACACAGACTGGGCCAATGAAGACAACTGAAAATAGAGACAGGTGTCAAACATACACACTCCTTCTAGAACACCTCATACAGAGAGAGAGAGAGAGAGAAAGAGAGAGAGAGAGATGGGGTTTTTACATCCACTCGACACAAACTAGGTCATTTCGGGACTAACATATGGTTTTAATTTTATTTCAATAATTTGCTTGCGCGTAAGGGTCTTTAGCAGTGGGAGGAAACCGGAGGACCTGGAGAAAACCCACGAGGTTGGACAGGCGACCCTACTCCTTGTCACGTACAACCGGGGATTTGAAACCACGCCAGATGACTTAATAACAGGCCTTATGATACAACGCGCGCGTGCTAACCATTCGGCCATCCACCCCCCCACACATCTGTCATTTATTACACCACTTGACCAATTGACAAAATTTATGATCTAAAGCACACAGGTAGATCGAAATTCCATACCTCGCTTTGCTCTCGTAAACACAGAAAAACAAAATTCCCTTCTTTGTCTCAAAATAACCAAAAAAAGTTTGTGATGGTGAGACATTAAAACCCAATTCAATACTATAACGACTATTTTAAAGATATATGTATTTTTTACCTGTAATAATTTAATTTCCTCTGTTAAGGCTTCGTTAGCCATTTCCATCATAACAGTTGGTTGTGTTTCATTTAATAAACTATTATCTTCTTCTTCTATAGAATCATCCATTAATGTACTCGGTGGTTTATCTCCAGAACATCTGGCAACTATAGTACGATTTCTTAAATGATATTTAGCTCTTGTTGGTGTCGTCATCACCTAGAAATGTCGAAAAAAGAACAAATAGGTTCTAAAATGACATCTGTCCCTCATTTGCATTATTTTGAAAATACTGAGTTCTCCACAACTTAGTCCATGTTAAAATGTAACAATCTGATTAAAACACAGATCCTATTTCGTTTCATTTTTTATAGTTCAAAATTTCGTTTTACTTATCTTTACTACACTAGGATCTGGAAGAGTTGTTATCATTGACGTGTTCTAGGTGATGTGAGAGATTAGCCAATTAAACAGTTTGTTACGGCAAGCTTTTGGCGTGAGCTGCATGGAACCGTGGGTAATCCACTAGAAACATCAATGCTGATTGATCAATTAAATATCTAACATCATAGAGTCAAAACCTGCTCGTATGACCTCTGACATGACCTATCACTACAACTGGTCAGACCTTCATGTAGTGTAGGCCATCGAAAGTATAAAAGATAGGTTGCCAGGCAACAAAACATACGCCCACAGCAGCTAAATCGTCCGAGCGGTCGTCAAGGGTTGTCGCATATTTATTCCTTTGTAGGTAATTGGGGGCCTTTACAAGACAGTTCCATACAGATCAGATTATAAATTTTGAGGTTTGAGGGTTTACAAGGTTCTACAAACTGAAACAAGGGTCTCAACTCTGGAAGTAATCTATAGAAATTGTTGAAATTTGACAGGCTTTTTCGATTTACTAATTTAAATAATGCATATACATTTCATACAGATCACATGATGACTTTTGTCATTCAAACATTCACAATCGCCATAACTCTAGAAATTATTGACGGAAATTGCTGAAATTCAACAGACCTGTTTCACAAATTTAAATGATGCATATAAATTTCATACATTTTGGATGATAACTATCATCAATCGAGCATTAACAAGGTTTAACAAAGTGAAACAAGAGCAATAACTCTAGAAGTAATTATTGTAAATTGCTGAAATCCAATAGGCTTTTTCGTTTCACTAATTTAAATCATACATATAAATTTCACAAAGATCGGGTGATAACTTTTTGCGTTAGAGCGTTCACAAGGATCAATAAAGTGAAACAAGGGCCATAACTCTAGACGTAATACATGGAAATTGCTGAAATTCAATAGGATTCTTCGTCTCACTAATTCAAATAATGCATATAATTTTCAGAAAGATCGAATGATAACTTTTGACGTTAGAGCGTTCACAAGGATCAATAAAGTGAAACAAGGGCCATAACTCTAGATGTAATAAACGGAAATTGCTGAAATTCAATAGGCTTCTTCGTATCACCAATTTAAATAATGCATGTAAATTTCAGAAAGATAGGATGATAACTTTTGACGTTAGAGCGTTCACAAGGTTCAATAAAGTGAAACAAGGGCCATAACTCTAGACGTCATAAACAGAAATTGTTAAAATTCAATAGGCTTCTTTGTTTCACTAACTTAAATATTGCATATAAATTTCACAAAGATCGTATGTTAACTTTTGGCATTAGAGCGTTCACAAGGTTCAACAAAGTGAAACAAGGGCCATAACTCTAGACATAATAAACAGAAAATATTGAAATTAAATAGGTTTCTTCGTCTCACTAATGTAAACAACGTATATCAATTTTACAATTGGATGATAACTTTTGGCGTTAGAGCGTTCACAAGAAATTGTGGACGATGGACGGGCGGACTGACAGACGGACGGGGGTGACGTCAATATACGTCCACATTTCAATGTGGGCGTATAAAAACGAAACGAAATATATTCTAATCAGATTGGTATTCAAATTGATTATTTAACATATAATTTTTTAGAAATTGAAAATATCAATGGTTGATAATCTCCAGGATTGGATTAACATGGATTAAAGGAAGGTTCCTCAAAAGTTTTTGCAATCATAGGTTGTGTTAGCTTGTGTTGACCATATTGTATATGTTTTCATACCTTTAGTGTCTGTGCATGCATATCACTCAGTGCTTCTCTTTCAATTCTACTTTTTAATTTGTGAGCTTCGAGAACCTGCTCTAATTCACAAATCATTTTTTTAGAGGATGTTAATTCAGCTTCAAGTTCCACTTGTTTCTTTTCTCTTTCTTCTTTGTGTTCAAGAGACTGTTTCTTGACCTACAGTTACATAAATTAAAAACTTCATGTAACACTTTCACGGTTAAATCAGAAGATATGTTTTTTTTACGTCATGTTACCACATTGATTCGCATGGAAATATCCTGTTTGTCACACTTTAGACCATTTGACCTCCCTAAACCCTGTTTAAATAAGCCATTACTGGTAAATTATTCTTTGTGAAATGAAATAGGGCTTAACATCCTATTTTTCTACACTGACAGGGCTAATGAAGACAGGCATATTCCATGTAGTGTGCAACGAGGGATATTTTGCCCGGACAGCGGCACAACGACCTACTCTTATATTGAATTCCAACTGTCAAAGGTTCTTTAACATGCACCCCATTGTGTACAGGGGACCTAAAGTTTCTTTGTATGACAATATTAAGGAAAATCTTCAATTTTTATTATGCTTTGTCCAAACAAAACAATGTTATTGACAAGCCTGGAAATAGGCATCTATCACAAGACATTGTCTGGCAGGCAAAAATCCTGGTGACTATAGTTTTGTCCAGAACAAACAAAATTTCCAGACAGATATTTTGTTAGTTCATTGAAGCTAATGTTTTATTAGGTACAACTAAAATGGATTCTTCCAGGCCTGCTAATTATAAATCTAAACTTACCTCATCAAGTTCAGCTTGTAATGTGTTTATTTGTGATTTATATCTCTCTATAGTAGCTGTTGATACTGTATCATTCTGTTGGGGTGTTGAACTTGGACTTATCATATCTAAATCTACAACAAAGAAGAAACCAAATTTTCAGCTTTATTCCAATTTATTTTCTATAATCTTATAATCTTGTGTTTATACAGATAAAAACTTTAAATTGAACTGTATTTAATCTGTTTTAAGGTTAAATTCTTTGGAATTTTAACTTTATGGCATTGACAGGCAGGTAAGCAGTGTTTTTCATAGACCATGGACCATTAAAACAAAACAAAAATCAGATATGTTTATTGTTTCGCTAGGGAAGTGAGTAAGCTAACTAGAAAGATAGGCACTGACTAGAAAAGAAAAGAAATGAAATGGGGTTTAACATCCTACACTTCTGCATTTACCCTGCTAATGTTGACAGGCATATGGCATGTAGTGTGTTACAAGAGAAATTTTGCTTGGCTAGCGACACAGCAGTCTACTCTTATTTTGAATTCCAATTGTCGGAGTACTTTTAGGTGCACACCAACATGCATTATCGTTAAAAACAGTTAGACAGGAGTTATTCATCTTACCTGATGATTGTGTTTTGTTGGTTAATAATTTATGAAAGGTATTTTCTAGTTGTGATAAACACTGTGTATCAGACATTGTAGATTGTAAATTATGACTGCGACTGAGTTTTATTTCTGATTTCAGATGCTGAACTTCCATGGCATATTTAGCAAATGCTGGATGGTGTTCTAATTGATTCTTCACATTCATTAATTCTTCTTTTAATTCAGCCTGAAAATATATATAAAGAGAGGGATGGGGTTTAACGTCAACTCTGTACAAATGAGGTCATTTCAGGACTAACATATAATTGAATTTATTTCAATAATTTGCTTGTGCATAGAGGTCTTTAGCTGTGGGAGGAAACTGTAAGACCCGAAGAAACCCTACAAAGTTGGACAGGCGACCCTATTCCTTGTCACGTACAAGCTGGGAATAGAAACCACAAATGTGATTTCATTGAAACAACAGGGATTAGGTGTCATGATTAGGGACTGGGACTTTTGCAGATTCAAGATTCAAATTGTGCATCACGTTTTTGTGTCTTTGATTGAATAAGAAATGTCATCCCTGTATTCCCAGTCATAGATGGGTATCGGTAGGTTGGTGCATAAAATTACACAAATACCAATTGCATTCTTTATGAGCAGCATAAGTTGGGACTCTTTCTAAGATTTAAAACAGCTCATATGTAATCATGCTTTACCTGTATCAAGGGTAACAATTGTGGCATACTTTTAGCATCACCCTTTATAAATTATTTACTATCTATCACATTGGAGTGAAAGAAAATTTCCATACATTGAAACACATCTAATAATAATAATCATTAGCTAAAAGTCGAGGCAAAATCAATCTCTATAGATCGAGATTTTATTTCAGTACAAGAAAATTCAAAATGGATCCTGATGAACAAATACTCTGGATTACATAAGTCTTATCTACTTTTGAAAATCATACTTCATTGCCGAGATAACTTTTTCAACTGTGTTGATAGAAAACTACCAATTTCTATATTCAATGTTTTAAATCGTGACGACTATTCTGGACTGAGTACTTACTATTTCAATATCTTTCTCAGAAAGAGGTACAGGTTCTTTAGCTTTAAGAGATTTCTCTAATCTAGCTATATGATTCTCTCGAAACTTGATAATCATTTTAGTTGACTGTAAAAATTTCTCTTTTTTACTACATAACTCTTCATATTTACTCAGATCTTGTAATATATTCTGAGGAATAAAAAAACATTATAGTTTCATATTATCGATACAGAATATTTTTTGCAATAGCAAAATTGTAAAATCAAACCCAATTCTGTGGAATGAATTCCCACTTAGTTTTTCTTCCAATCAGCCTGACACAAGCTTGTGCTGATAAGAGAGAACTGGGCTTGAAAAATCTCATGGTTCTTGTCAGCCCATGTCATGATTTGAATCCACGACATTACAAATAATTAAGACAGATACTAACCTTTTTTTCTTGTTCAGATTTTTCTCGGAAAAACATAGCCTCCATGAAGAATTTTTTCCATTCCGAGTTATCTGAGCTGGCAGTAGTGACTGGGGTTTCTTCTATAAATAAATGAAAATCACTATTAGAAGCATATTGTCCATTAACAAAAATAACATGCAATTCAGAGTGCCAAATGACATTTAATATCTTACTCGTCGGCACCAACCAAACTAATGAACATCATACAGTGTGCCATGAGAGAAATGTTGCCTTGACAGTGGCACTACAGCCTCCTTTTTAGATTTTCAACTGTCAGAGGATCTTTAACGGGATGCTACTTGTAATAATAAATAATAATAATGAGGTTTTATATATATAGCGTCTTCTCCATATTGACACATGCTCAAAACGCTTTTAGTAATGGCTCTACTGGTAAAACTGTCGAAACAGGAAAGTCTTTAGTGCGGATTTAAATTGATTAAAAGTTTGTTGATTCTTGATCTGTTGTGGAAGTTCGTTCCATAATCTAGGACCAGCTGAACTGAAAGACCTATACCCGTATGACTTTAAATTATATCTTGTTTATAAACAGTGACTGTTTATTTTGAGAGCGAAGTGATCTAATAGGGTTGTAGTCATACAAGAGTTCAGATAAGTATTGAGGAGCTGCATTATTGCGACATTTATACACTAATGTTAGTATTTTGTATTTGACTCGCGCCTCAGCAGGTAACCAGTGTAAAGAAGCTAGCACATTCTGGATGTGATGAAACTTATGTGTCCTTGTTACTATTCGGGCTGCAGTATTAAGATATACAGAGGACCTCAGTTTTTCATGCCATCTAAACAACTAGACACTTTTCCTTGCCAGACCCTCTGACCTGCACCACTGACAAGGGGGAAACAAGGATGGAAAATCCTGTGTAACACCACTGTGAACCAATATATACATTAGAACATACAGATTAAATGTACAAACCTGTAGAATCACCAATAGCTTTTGGTATATTTCCATCAACAAATTGGGCCAACATATCTTTTAATCTACGTATTTCAGCTTGTAGATGCATCAAGTTACCTTGGGTATCTTCATTCAGTACAGCCTGTATAAGAAGCAGGAATTGATCATTATGAAACATCATCCAGAAGGTAAAAATTTAAAGATATATTTCTATTTTCAATATCTTTTTTTTATCTACTAAATCTTACATAATGCATCTATATTTGGTTCATTTTGTTATTTTGACTTAAACCAAACTTTAACATTTAAATGAGACCTACCTTATTTTTGATCAATTTAGCTCTTCTAGCAAACATCAGCGTTGACAATGTCTCTCCAAAGCATCTGTAAATTAAACAGTACAGAACAGTAAAAATATTTGAGAAAAGAAAAGAGTTTAACCAGGAACAAAAACTAGGAAATTTCGCTACTAACATTTGGTTCAATTTTATTTCAATAATTCGCTGGCTCGTAACGGTCTTTTACAGTGGGAGGAAACCGCAGGACTCAGAGAAAACCTGTGAGGTTGGACAGGTGACCAGGTACAAATGTGGGATTGAAACTATGTCAATAGACTCAATGACAACCCTAATGATCTAAAGAAAATGCGTTAGACCAACCAATTTGATTAGTAAATATCATCCATTAAAGAGTTTAAATGTTACCTAGAACCAGGATGAACACAGGCTACTATATGTGTTTTAGCATTACCACCCAGAGAATCCTGCAAAAATATAAGACATAAACTTGATGCATATTTGATAACAGGTCCGGATTGAGGGGAGATATGCCATTATTTAGTCTCCCAAATATTTACTTGGAATTATTTGATCACTTTTATGGCCTGCAGTTATAATTGGTTTATTTAGTTCAACTGCAGTGCATGTCCATAGTGAAGAAATTAATTCATTTATCTCTACAGAGGATCACATCAACTGAATCAAGAGGCAAGCCAAATTACACAAGCATGCATACACCTTCCTCTAGCAGACACCATACATGTAAACAATACAGTTGACAGGTTTAACAATGTTAGTCAGTAATTTTGCTAGTGTTAAAACGTTTTTGCAAAATTACTAATATATCTTTTAAAATTATAGAAAGTTTATAAAAATATCCCAAAAATTGATGACCATTCATTACAAATTGTATTCAACTGAGAAATTTCAATAAAGGCAAGAGATTGTTGTTATAGATACGTACCCGTAATAAAAATGTGAGTTTTGAATCCCGATATGGTACATGTCTACTTTTACCATGTGCTATATCACCTAGAGACATTATAACATTACCTAATACAGATAAAGACTTGTTGATACTACCAGCTTCCTGTAATAATATAAATCACTTTCATTAATTCATTATATCTATTTTAATTTAATAGAATATATATATTCAACTGTGAAATGGAATGTGTATTTTAAAACAATATTTTCAATAAAATAGGCCATTATGTCAAATTGGGTCAAGGACCATGGAAATTTGAGCTTTCCTTCTTTCTGGAACAAAATTGTGCTGATTTCTTGATATGAACAAATTATTTAAAAACGAAAAGTACTTAAGTGCTCTCTTCAGACGTTTTTAAATTTAAAAAAAAAAGAAACTGGACTCGATTGGCCATTTATTGTTCAACACCCTGAAAAAACTAAAATTTAATTAATCTGTATATTGCAATATTTCTTTAGCCTACAAGGACAGGCAAGCATATCACTTGGGGGATCCAATTCACAATGGTATTATTGACAGATTCAAGATCAGCAATGCAAGCTTTAAAGCTCAAAATATTGGATGAAAGAGACTATAAATGCATTTAGTTTGTTTACCTTTAATCTAGCACCGATGGCATGTGTATCTTTTTGTCTCTCACTTCCAGCTAAATCAACCAAATTTAACTGAGATGTTTTTAAATTCTGTACACCTCCCTTTTGTTCCTGAAATGATCAAAACTAATTTTTACCTTGTGCTGCTTATTTGTTTAAAGAGTTTCTGAAACCAGAAACTGAAACTGTACAAGAAGGGTGTTCATATTGGTAGTCATTCAGTTGATTAGATCCAATCTCACTCAAACACTGCCATACTCAAAGCAAATTTCTGTCGCAAATTATGACTGGTTAATAGTCCGATCAACAACCAATACATTATTACATTTATTGTTTAGTCTATTTTTCCATGTTATCTATTGAGATTCATACCTTTGATTCTATAGACACAGTAAAGACAGCATGACTTCTAGAACTTTCTCGATTCATAGATGTAGCAGCAACTCTTCTATTGAGCCAACCCGCATTTAATACCTATACAATGACAAACAAACAATGTTGGAAAATATATCTATTTAAAAATGTATAAAGCTTAAATGTAACCAAAAAATTGAAATAAGTAAGATATCACAATTTTGATTTTCTGACTAAAATATATTATTAAAAAATGTATTTCACAACGTGTTCTTTAGTAGTGGGAGAAAAGTCTACGACCCTACTCCTTGTCACGTACAAGTCTGGGATCGAAACCATGTATACATTAGACCACTCAGCCAGCCAACCCCTAGTATTAATAACATCTGCAGCAGAATGTTAACTTACTTGATAAGCTTCTGAATAATTTGCGACAGCTTGTTCTACTATACCATCAACATATACACCAGTTTTAATATTCTCTCGTAGATGTAGACCTGTAGACGCCGGATCTAGTAAATCAAATACTTGTTCTTGATATATCTCTATAAACGAACATCGACATAAAAATTGTTTTCTTTCTCCATGCTGGAATAAAACGCAAACTTTTATACATACATACAAGCGGGGAATTGAAACCATGTCACTTGACTCAATGACAGACCTTCTGATCTATTGTGCATGCATCAACCATTTGGCTACCCAACCCCCCTCAAATGAAAGGTTTATCATCCTACTTTTCTGCATCAACCAGGATAATGAAGACGGGCATATTTCAAGCAATAAGCTATGAGGGAAATTTTTTGACAGCAGAAATTTCCACTGCCAAGGGTTCTTTTTAAAAAAGTTCACGCCTATGTGTACACACAGGACCTTGGTTTTGCATACCATCCAATAGACTGGACAGTATTCCTTATTAGGCCCTTCATCATGCACCAGACAATGAATTTCATACTGGAAAATCCTGACAAGCACAGAGATCAAAACAAGGATGGAATTTGGGACCTCCTGGTTAGTGAGCCAGTGCCCTACTGAGTCACCATGGCTCCCAAAGAAATATGAAGTGATAGAAACAGAACATAGACTGTAATAGAGCGCTATTTAACTGGAGTACGAATCATTGTATTAAAGATGAACTATATCAACTTTCCCTTTAAATAATAAAACAATTTACCAATTCTTGTTCTCTGTTTATCAAACTAAATAAATATTCAAAACCTCTAGGTATCACTCCTCTCATTTCATGCTGAAAATTATCAGAATCTTCTGATGGACCTAAAAAATAATAAAAACAAAAAACCAATTACCTACATTGTAATATTTCCAAGAAACAGATTTTGTTATACATCCTAATGGTCAACTTTAAAATCGATTATATCCAACCAAAGTCCACCTCATGGTTTGATCAACGACCCGGGGCTATCATTTTCTTGATTATTGTCCCACCCATCTGTATTCTAAATTTCACCTGTTTATATATTTGCTATTTCACTAAGACTTAAATAAAGAGGGTTTTTTAACCTTTTCATTACATAGGCTTGGTCCGACAGCCATCAACAGGAATAGAAAGGAGCAGTCAACACCTATGATCAATAGTGAATTGTCATTAATGTTTGGCCCAATCCCAGGGTCATCATACATTTCAGCTTTAAGAGAGAGAGAGAAATGGGGTTTAACGTCCACTCGACACAAACTAGGTCATTTCGGGACTAACACATGGTTCAATTTTATTTCAATAATTCGCTTGCGCGTAGGGGTCTTTAGCAGTGGGAGGAAACCGGAGAAAACCCACGAGGTTGGACAGGCGACCCTACTCCTTGTCACGTACAACCGGGGAATTGAAACCCCGCCAGTTGAATCAATGACAGACCGTATGATACAGCGCAGCGCGCACATGCTAACCATTCGGCCATCCAACCCCCCTTCAGCTTTAAGGTTCCCTTTTTAGTATTAGAACCCATTAGAAATGTACACAATATACAAACTGGTGACCCAGTAATACAAAGTTTAAAATCTACTTTATATGAGCTTCAGTAAAATTAAAGATGCCTTCCCATGTACAAACTGTGATTTGATGATATATTTGGACTAAAAACATATTCAAACTAATTAATCTATCAAGAGTTTGCTTCAAATCCCTCTTCAAAATATCTTAATTTCAAAAACACTACACCTATTTTACGATGATTGTTTGTCACGTGACTTGATTGAGGGAGAATCCATCATCACCTTGTATTTGTCGTTAGTCACTGTCCAATTACCAAAAATATTGAAGCCTAAGTAAATTCTTGGATTACCTCTGCCAACTTGGTTTTATGCCTTTTAATCGTCGAGTTGACTGGATGATAAAGTCTTTCAATGTTCTCAAAACCATTAGTCATTAGATCAACAAATAGAAGCGCCCCTTACACTCAAGGAAACAAGGTGCCAGTAGGGCTACCCTTACAGTTATTGGCTCTGGGCACCACATGGGTGTATTTCAGGGAACCCAGTATTTTTGTAGTAAGATTGGGTGTCTCTACTTTCCATATATATATATATACAAAATATGCAATACTTTTATTGGAAATAACTACCCTATAAATACTTTCATGGGAATGATGCCTTAATATATTAGAAAGAATTACTCACCCAACATAGTAAATGTTTTACCAGAACCAGTCTGACCACTGAAAAAAAAAACCATCAGAAATTAAGATATGGGTTCAATACCATTCATGCACCATTGTGAGACACAGACACAAACTATGTTAATTCTGGACTAACATAATGCAGAGAGAGAGAGAGAAAAATGGGGTTTAACGTTCACTCGACTCAAACTAGGTCATTTTGGGACTAACATATGGTTTAATTTTATTTCAATAATTTGCTTGTGCATAGGGGTCTTTAGCAGTGGGAGGAAACCGGAGGACCCGAAGAAAACCCGCAAGGTTGGACAGGCGACCCTACTCCTTGTCATGTACAACGAGGGATTCAGACTAATATAATGATAAATGAAATTATACCAGTTGAGTCAACACATGACATATGCTCATTTTCATTAGCCTGGTTGATACAGAATAGTCAGAATTAAACCCCCATTTCATTTTTTATTTATTTGGTTTTCCTATGAAGAGATCTGAGGGACTTACTAAGCAAATATGGTTCCATTATATCCTGTTACACAGCCTTCTATTATCTTCTTACCTACAGCAGTAAATACAGATTCCTGAAACACAGTAAACAAATTTGTTGATTTTGTTACAAACATTTTAACAGGATTTTAATACTACCCAAATCTTATCTTTGATGTATCAAGCATTAGTCACTGACTGCTTTATTTATAAACTAAGCTGAGCTTCCAAATTTCATTGCTAAGTATAAACTCATCCACATGATCTAGTTCACTTTAAATATGTGCTCAGTGAAAATTGAAGACTTTCAGGTAATTATATAAAAGATATCTGTATCCTCGACATTAACTATTGTAATGGACCCCATTTGGTTCCAAAAAAGGAATTAATAAAGGGTCATATCTTGCAGACTGCAGTAATTTACATCTGAAGACATGCATGCATCCATCATTGACATGCCTTACCTGTGTAATATGGATATCGGCTACTTGATCAAAAGTAAATAGTTTAGGTTCTGGTTTTGATTGCATGATGATGGCTTTCCTTCCTTCATCAACATCAACGACACGTTTAGATCCCACTTCATTATCTCTATTATCAGGTGGTCGAACTCGAACAAATACTTTAATTGAATCACCTTCCCTGAAATAAACAGACAAAAATTAAATAACTGTACATTATAGAGTGCATTTTGCTGAAAATCTTGATTATTACCCAAATATCAAGGGAATAAATTTAACTTTAACTCTTTATTTTATTAATTAGTAAATGCTACACATCATTTTTTTTTAATTTGAATCAAAAGTGCCTTTTATTCTTATCATATAGCTTATTATAATATATTTCTTGATTCTTTATTTCATATTAAGAAAAGAAAAGAATGGAAAGGAATGGGGATAAAAAAATCTTGTCAGCATGCAATCCTTCGGTCATTTTGAGACAAACAAATGGTAATGTTCATTTCAATGGTTATGTGTGCAAAGTGGGGTAGGAGAATTTTGCACTGACAGCACGGTATTTCCGCCTTCTTTCGAACCAATGTGTATAATACACAGGTGGACCTTAGACATTTTTATGTGCCATAAAAACAACTATTCCCACTTTCATTGTTAACCTTCACAATTGAAGGTTGGGCTTGATTGAACCTGAACGCAGGATTTGAACAAGCCCTGGCATTTTATTCTCTAGGCTCCAGTGCACTGACCGCTCGAGTGCCAGGGCCCCTTTAAGAATGATGAAGATTCCTTGCTTAAAAAATATTTGCTTTTCTCTTTACACATACCCTGCATCTTGAGATGAATCTGAAAAAGTAAATAAAAATCATATTTGAATAATTTTACTGTTGCAAATTATCTGCTATACCTAGAAAGGTAATCCTATTTGCCACACGCACATTCCATTTAAAAATACTCAAAGGTTTTCATCTTTCAATATTTTTGAAAAAAAACATTGCAAGGGGTTTCAAGATCCTACTTTTTGTACAATATTTCAAAAGATGGTTTTATGTTTACATTTTAAAAACATGAACATATTATTATACGAATTAATAACATTCAAAAATTGTATTATTGTAGGCTAGTGTATGCCAGGGAACTGGATGAACTTTTAAAACAAGTGAATGTAACCTAAAGCTAAGACATTTGGAAAAGTATTGTTTGTAACAGCAAACAGTATTGTTTATAAATTTATTATTAGTTTAGGCCTAAGCCTAAGCTAAAGCTAGCTAGAAGCTAGATAAAAAATGTTGCAAATTCTAGAGTCCAACTTTAAAAGGGAACGGTTGTCGGTCGACAAAGAGTCTCAGTAGAAATCTATATTCCGAAGACTATCAGGGTCAATGCATCATTCTTTAATGACAATCCCCGGACGTATGTTGACATTTATAAAACCAGACTTGACTTAGCTTTTTCAGCAAGACAGGTTGGTTCAGTAAGCTTGGAGTTTGCGACACTTCGTTTAGTGTGAAATAATAGTGCATGTCAATAGACACGGAAATGAAATATTTAAAACAGTTACCAGCCATCACAAAAATATGTCTATTGTCGTGCAGTCATTGAAATATGAAGGAATAATAACAAAAAAATGTAATAAAAATCTCTTCTCAGTCAAGAGAAATGGCGGAAATTTCGAAATTCCCGCCCCAATCGAGATCTCGCGAGATGAGCTATATTTAGTAATAAAACAATAACAAGTACACGTGCTTTACTTGTGTTAACGAATCACGTTGGCAGAACTGGGACGATTATGCAATGGAAGTAAAACAGTTGCCAATAAAAAATGACGATGTGTGTTAATTACCAGAAAAAATCCTTTGTCGAGAAGCGGTCAACTTTAAGGTCAATATTATACCGAAAGAAAAACTCATTCTTGTTCCCCGAAATCAGCTATGATTGTAGAATGGCAAAATTTATTGTGTCTATTTATAGAGATGTTAAACTTTCATTGACGCGATCGTGCTATAATTAGCGCAAGAGCGACGTTTTGTCTACGATATTACGACCGAACAGATGATTTCAGCATTCAAAGGGATCGTGAAATTCATCGATTGTACCTCGAGGTCTAGGATACATTCTTTTAGAGAAAAGAAAACCAGAGATTCAACTATCATTATGCAAGCTGCTCAAACTATATGGAATTATATGCAACTAGGACATGAATTACACAAGGTATTATTTGAAACATATCTTTGTCTTTGTTTGGGAGAAGATTTTTTTTTAAAAACACAATGAATTGGGTCGATTTGTTCAGTTGATTATTTCAATATGATTGTATTGATTAATTTTATTCTGTTTCCAAAACTACACATTCGGAAACCTGACATTTAAATCAATAAGTAATAAAATATCCCTATTTATTTTTATTTAATCTAACAACTGGGTCCATCGAGAGGGGAAATAGGGGTCGGACCAGGGTCCGAACACGAGAATAGGGCCAAAAGCCAATGGCAATTGAAGGGCTTAAAAGCTTAACAAATAAAGGGCCCGTTTTATCCCTGTCCGTCGCTAAATAAAGATAACTAAAAATTACAGATTGATTCTGAAAATTCCATTATCTGTTGTTGTTGATCATCTTTGTCTATTGACCATATCCCCTTTTCACCCTAAAAAAACCCCGACGACTCTGCTAATTAGATAACCCAATTATAGTATTCAAATCATATTTTCTAAGATATTCCCGACAATGCAATAACTGCATACATTTGGAAATACACATACAATTGGAAATAAAGAAACCGTGAAAAGGATAGCAATTCGCATATTTTTCACCAGCATACTTGTGTTTAATAATATGAATCGAATTAATTTATGTTTAAAAATTGAAGAATGATAAATTATTAATGAGAATGCGGGACTATGCGTTGAACAGAATGAAATTTAAAACCGCACCTTCTATGGATGATTTATACTTTGATCCCGTAGAATGTTTATGAGTCAATTAGTACGTAATAAACCTAACCTAATTTAGTAGCACTTCAAAATGGTTTAAGAAGCTGTTACCATGGGAATATTGATTGTTTATCACGCGCACAGTTTTTCATCATCACGTGTAATTTACATCAGTGACGTCGTAGTGATGACATGGATGAATACACCATCTAGTTCAACAGGTCATTACACCTTTCGGACTTTTTGTTTATTATTTTGTTTTTACAAATGTTTTGTTTGGTCCACTGGGAAATGAATGTATTTATGGCATGAGCTAATTTTGAAGAACAGTGTCTAGTCGTTCGGATGGTCGGAAAAACCGAGGTCCCATGGCCATGTACACTTAAAAGAACCAATGACAGTTGAATTCGAAATAAGAATAGACCGTTCTGTAACGCCCCCGTTCCCGTAGAATTTCACACAGAGCATGGTGCATACCGATCTCCATTTTGTGCACAAAAGTAGGGCTTAAAGGCGTATGGTTCTTTTGAATGAGCCACGGAGGCTATGTTTGTAAGTACGCTGGCTCGCTAGCCTGGAGGTCGCGTGTTCGATCCCAGCATTGACCGAGAAAGTTCATCGGGATTTTTCCGACGTAGTTCCCCCTTGTCAGTGGTGCAGGACGAAGGGCCTGACAAGGACCGCTGTCTAGTCATTCGGATGGGACGAAAAGTCCCGTGTACACATTTCTGTGCACGTAAAAAATCCCTTGGCAGTTGGAATTCGATATAAGAGTAGGCCATAGTGCCGCTTCCAGGGCAAAATTTCCCTCAATGCACACTGGCGTATGCCCGTCTTCATTATCACACTGTATGTCGTATGTCTGTCTTCATTAGCTCAGTCTAATCAGAACAGTAGGACGTTAAACCCCATTTCATTTTCATTTCTCTTCTTTGAAACCTTAAAATATACGAAAATGGGTTTAAAGCACATATTAATGTTAAATGAATGTATATAAAATGATTTATATTCCAATCTTAAAAACATTATTGTAATATCTAATCAATTATGTTGGGTGAAATACGTGAACTATTCAAATTTAACAGTCGTTTACGTATGCTTACTCTATTTTACACGTTTTTTAATCATTGTATCAACCCTTACTAATTACTTCCGCATTGTATTGCAGGATATATTTTTCTTTGTTCATTACAAATGACGTCCGCAACCATAGAACATACGACTTGTTCACTGTGTCTTACATATTGGACAATAGGATCCCATATTTTAACGGCAAGATAACAGCAATATTGATTGAATTCTAATTCGTGTTTTTATTTTCGAATATTATTGAAAATATTGAGTTAAAGGTTTAGCTCTTTTATACCCAATTTTATTTCATTTCTGTCATAAACTAATACATCAACGTTTTAATAGAATAAATGACTATTACTATTTTCAGAGTGATGTCATACTAGTCCTAGGAAATAATGATTTAAGAACAGCAGAATATGCAGCCGATTTATTTAATAAAGGTTTAGCTGACTGGTTATTATTTTCTGGTAAAGAAGGGTCATTAACAAAAGGTGAATTATTTTAAGTTCTATAAAGCATATTAAATTCATTTCCACGAATTTCACGACATGTATTTTTACTCTGTGATATGTGTTTATGTTTTCCTGGTCTATACATATACCCTGTAATAAGGTCCATGCATGGTGTATGTAATTTGTTCGATCCCTGCATTGACCGAGAAAGTTCATCGGGATTTACCGACGTGATTTCCACCTTGTCGATGGTGCAGGGGGGGGGGGGGCTGACAAAGACAGGTGTCTAGTCGTTCGGATGGGACGAAAAACCGAGGACCCGTGTATACAATGGCTTGCGCGTAACAGATCCCTTGGCAGTCAGAATTCGATATAAGAGTGGGTCATAGTGCCGCTGCCCGGAATAAATTTCCCTCATAGCACACTGTATGGCGTATACCTTTCTACTAGTCCAGTCGGAGCAGAACAGTAGGACGTTGAACCTCATTTCATTGCATTTCATTCCATTTAATGAAATTTGTAAACAACACAAATTGAAAATTCTTAACAACTACCCTTGTACGGCCGCAAATCAAGAAGTTGATGCGGACGTTAAACATTACATTATTCATATCTTTTTACTTTTGTCGCACAATTTAAATACCTTTTAAACCGCGGTTAAGAAAAAATGAAACGGAAAGGGTTTTAACGTCCGACATTTCTGCACAAACAGGGCTAATGAAGACGGCATAGCAACGCAGTGTGCTACGAGGGACATGTTGCCCGGAAAGAGACGTTTCCACTGCACTCTTCACAAAATTCCGACTTTTCGCCCCATCCGAACGACTAGATACTGTTCAGTGCCAGGTCCAGTACGTTGCATTTTCCGATAGATATAAATGCTCCTTTTTTAATATATACATGTATATATAAAAATAATGTTTTTTTATTGTAGGCAAATGGAAAAGTACTGAGGCAGAGATATTTCGCGATGTGGCAATTAACCGCGGTGTTCCAGACGAAAAGATTATATTGGAAACAAGAGCCACAAACACGGGCGAAAATATTCGATATTCTTACAACAAGCTCCATTCTCTTGGTATTAATCCTACTAGAATAATCTTAGTTCAAACCCCATATATGGAAAGACGCTCCTATGCCACCTTTAAGAAACAGTGGGTTAATTCCAAGTCAGTTCTAGTGCAAGTAACCTCAGCGAAAATTGGATTAACGGAATTTCCAAATGATGACGTGGGTTCTATAAATGATGTCATCACGGTCATGATTGGGTGTTTACAGAGGATTATCTCTTATCCAAAGAAAGGATTTCAAATTTACCAAGATGTTCCCGAAGAAGTTGAAAAGGCTTACCAATATCTCCGTGATAGTGGACTATACAATAATCACTTGTTGAGAAAATCTTGATATCTATATGTTCTCTCTAAAATTCTAGTATCACCGAGAAACATTTACTTGTAAATGCATATACATATACTTAAATGTCCCGACAGTCACCACAGTAATTCTAAATGTGGAACCCATGACATTATGCTAGATGGTGCTGGATTTTTTTCGGAGATTTACGACTACCGAATTTTAAAAATCTGAAAATCATGGAAATAATTTAATATCTTTTTACTGTCATTGCCTAAGTATCCCAAACAATCTGGGTACATGTATTTTCCTGTTCATAAAATAAGTTATTATTGAAAAAACAATGTAAAACATAACACTGCATTTAATGTTTTGCCAAAGTCATGCCATTGTTGTGTATTTAAAATAAATCTGGATGAAAGGTTTACCGTTTCTTCATTTATGTACTGAACTAGGCCTACCTTTCAGAATATATTGAACAGTGTCCACTTATTTAAACTTAATCAGATGTGACTTATTCTAGTCAACATATTGTTACTTTTAAGTATACTTGTTCATATGAAATGAAATGCGGTTTAACATTTTATATTTCTGCATGGATCGGATTGATCAAGACGACCATACACCAGGCTATTAGGGATATTTGGCCCTAACAGGGGATTTTCCACCTTTTGCATCCAGTAGCCTACCACTTGTTCTTGCCTTATTAAAAATACATTATGCAAAAGCTAAATTTGCCAATTGCTGGGCCCTTATTCACGACAACTTAAACTAAGATAAAATCGAAATTTTAAGAAATACTGCAATTCGATTGGCTGACCAATATGCAAATTGGATATATGCAAATTGATTTTACTGGTCAGCCAATCGAATTGCAGTATTTCTTAAAATTTTGATTGTATCTTAGTTTAAAGGAGCTAAATCGCTAATATTTGGGACCTAGGAATTGACCCAATTAGGTCGCAACGCATATAATAATGTAATCTGATTGCATATAAACTGATTTACATTCAATTGTTTCCGTTTTGACTCTTATTTCAAATCAGTTATGTCCAGCGAAATACGGCCTGTGTCTCAACCCTATAGCAATTTCTAGCGTCTAGTTATTCCAGCCAGTCTATTGAGCTGGCAGGTTCTCCAGTTGAATATGTCGCTGGTCACTTGTTGCTAAATGACGCGAAAACGCACAATGGTACACGATTCTTGTACCAATGGTAAAATGTTTATTTTGTCTTAAATATTGGGTATCAGAAGCCTGTCTTTTCCTGGTAAGATCACAACATCAATGTTGATTTGAATTGACAAATAATTCGTATTTTCAACGTGTATGACTTGGGATGATATTGAGTTAGAGACTTAGCTACTTTAAGTTTTCGTGAATAAGGGCCCAGGTCTTTTTTAGACCTGAAATGTTATCTAAATTATTAATTAGACATAAATTAACATATCCAGAGCATAATTAACTATCGATGGCATCGCTAGCCTGTGATATTTACTGGATTAGAACCCCGTCTGCTGCTTCTGATTAAATCAAAAAGTGGATAATCGAGAATGTTTTTTTTATCGTACCGACTTTAGTAATGGTGACCGAGGCGCTAAATACTCGGTTCAGGGTGGATTAATTTGACTGAAATTTTCAGCAAATTGCCTTTACATTATCTAGGTTTTAACTATTATAGTGAGAACTACCATTTCTTTACCTAATGTCCCATAACGTATCTTTAATATTACTTATCTTCAGGGAAAAGTCTTTGCTTTAAGTTTACATTCTCGACATCTCTGCTATTTATAAATGAAATGAAATGGGGTTTAACGTCCTACTGTTCTGCTCCGAACTGGGTTAATGAAGACGGGCATACGCCATACTGTGTGCTATGAGGGAAATTTTGCCCGGACAGCGGCACTATGACCTACTCTTATAACCAATTCCAACTGTCAAGGGATCTTTTACATGCACGCCAATGTGTACACGGGACCTCGGTTTTTCGTCCCATCCGAATGGCTAGACAGCTGTCCTTGTCGGGCCCTCCGTCCTGCATCACTGACAAGAGGAACCACGCCGGAAAATCATGATGAACTTTCTCGGCCAATGCAGGGATCGAACACCCGAGCTCCAGGCTAGGGAGCCAGCGTCTTCTGCTATTTGTGGTGGGGTTTGGGTCGAATGGTTAACCGAGCGATTTGCATCATAAGGTTTGTCACTGGGTCAAGCAACATGGTTTCGATTCCCTGCTTGTACGTGACAAGGAGTAGGGTCGCCTGTTCAACTTCGTGCTTTTCTCCAGGTTGTCCGGTTTCCCCCACTGCTAAAGACCTACTCGCAAGCAAATTATTGAAATAAAATAAAATGACGTTACCCCCCCCCCCCCACATTTCTGGTGCAGAAAATTAATTTGCCATGATATGCAAGAAACTATTTAGCCTGTTTTAGCAGATCGGTAGCTTTCTCCTGGCAGATAATTAGTTGGTTCAAGGTACGCCCAAACCAAGTTAATTCTTCAGAGTCTCGATAAATAATTAACCACTGTAGTCGTGTGAATAATAGTTTTCTTTAAATGGTCAGCTCTTAAAAATACCATAACTAATTAACCAACATTTTAGCATCATTTTTGGCATAAGAAATGAAAACATAACTTCACTATAACAAAAGTTAATTTAATTTCGCCAAATAAGACACCCTGTCTAAATACTCGACTAAAGTCAATTCCTCTTCCTCGTGTCTTCCTTTTTAATAACTGCTAAAATGTTGGTTAATTAGTTACATTGGGGATTATGAAAATGTAAATCCTTATCATAACAATCTATTACACCATTGTTACGATTTTAATCCATTGTAATCCCTAGGAGCTGGATTCCCACGAAGTCGTCGAAAACGACCTCGTTTAATCCGTTACGGTCAATAACTGCGCCTTCGCGGGAATAAACCGAGAATACACCACACTAGTCAACTGGTGGTGTGCATGGATAGTGATAAGACCTAAATAGTGTATATTGTATGCATGGTCTCTGTGACGTCACCGGCCAATTAAACGGATTAAGGCTGTAATTGAAAAATTGAAAAGTGTTTTCGGGTGACTGATACTAGAACGGTAATATGTCGACTAAATTTTAATCACATTAGTGTGAGCTTGCCATAAAGTTAATATAGTGACCACTGGCTACAGGTACAGAAAATTTCGTCTGGTGACATTATGTGCTCTTTAAGACAAGAGCAACCATTATATCAAATGCAAAGTTGTCAATGCAAAGTTGTCAATACAGGTTGCCGAAGGACAAAAGTTTAAATTGGTCCGATTTCCGGTGAATAAAAATAAAGGCTTTCTTGTTTTATATATTTAATTATATATATCTAGCCATATAATAATGTACAAAAAATATTGACTTTATACAAAAGACGGCATAATAATTTATGAATTTGGTCTTTTGTAGAGAAACCTATTAAATGATATGTATTATTATATCTGTTTTAGAAACTTGTTATCATGACACCAGGATTATTGTTTTTAAAACAAAGATAAGATTCTCACAGATTCAGGTAAACCATGGGTTCTGTGTCATCAAAAAAGGTGTTTATTAGTACATTTAGTAATAAACTGAAATTTAAATGGGGGTTAAATCTCCTCCTTTTCTGAACCAACCGGGGTAATAAAGACAGAGTATTTCTTTCTCCATTTCCTGATTCTCCTAGCATATACAGATCCTCTCGGAAACAGATTTGATGCAGGTAACTTCTGTCTCCTGTATATAGTAGATTTTCTCCATTTAGCTGAACTTATGTTTATCTACGAAAAATGGTGTCTTAGAGAGGTATCTGTCTACTCCTTCCCACATCAGTTGTCTGAGAACCAGAATATATATTTTTTTTTGTATGGGACTTGAATAAGATGTAGAAGTATCAACTCAAATATCCTCTTCTTAAAACATGTTTCAAAGGATATAATTTATATTTTCACTAACAACAGAATAGCCATTTTCTAATAAAGAAGCTTTTTAAAACAAAAAATGTATAAAATAATTAAACAATATTTAAAAATAAGGTTTGAGTGTCACAACCATTGAGCAGAAGCATTAAAAATGACAAAGAAATTAAAGGTGTACAATTCTAAACACAACCTAAAGAAAAAAATAAATAATATTTAAGAAAATCTAAAAATCTTGTGTAATATCCTTAAATGACATTTAGAAGTAGATGTATAACATTAATAAAAAATACACATAGCTTTATGGACTTAAATAGAAAAATCCCTAAAGTTGTGCGTTTTTATTAACACAATTCTGTATTTTAAATTACTTGAGGCAGTACAGATACCACGAGTTTCATTTATTTAAAATTGACAGAATATATTATTTATACATGTTAATAGAAACCTTACTAAATGATGGACACACTGTACTTTGAGGTTTGAAATGACAATCTGTTCATCTGCACAATAAATAAGTTTTACCATAATAGATTCACAATATTTACGTTTTGTACTTATTATACATATGTTAATAGACACTAAATGATGGACATACTGTATTTTGAAGTTTGAAAAGACAGAACGACTGTGATAAGAGAACACTAGTTGATACATGGTGCTATATGTGTACAAACCAGTGATTGTTTTCTATAATAAATCAGGTTGTGTTTGATTTTTTCTACTGTAAGTTATACCTTACCATTACTCATTTCTGTATCTAGGCTCGCAATAAATCTATATTTATATAAATAATCATTATGAATGTTCATGATCAATGAAAATATATGAGTGTTTTTAATTATATTAAATTGCTCCTATTATGTACAATATATACATATTACATACATACATCTACTCTTATCTACTACCGTAAAACATGAAATTATTGTATTCCCGCAAATCAACCTTTTATAGTTTGTCAATTCTCTAGTGCTCTCATAAATATTCAAATAATTTTTCATGGTTATTCAAACGCATTTGTTGGTTGTTTAAACTACCAGTAATGGAATTTAATAACAAAAATGGCTTCCATTAGGAAACATTTAATATATCAAGTCAATGAAATCAACTAATATTCCAACATAAATATCGAGATATGGAAAACATGTAAATTTGAAGATTCACAATTTCTAGAAATCGGAAAATGCACCAAAATGTATCCAAAAATTGATAACATGAATGTAATCGAATATTCAAATTCTATTTGAATAATGAATTATGATTTATTGAATAACGAACTAGTCTATTTGAATAGTGAAATGAGCACTCAATGGGACCACTCCAATTCTCTTTGATTTCTTCACACATTTCAGTCTGGTGAACTATAATGTCATGCTCTACAGTTCATATTATACCATATTCTTCAGACTAAATAATCTCGTCTAAAATATTTATTTGATTAACCAGGCCTTATTTCTTTTCAAAGATAAAATATTTACAATAAAATAGTTTTGCACTAAATGAAATAAATGTGAAGCACTCGCGAGACAAAAGGATGAAAAAAATATGGATTAAATATAGATTTGTTCCCTTTACGCAAAAGTATGATCTTAACTGATCAGCGCTAACTCAAATCCACCTGTTACAATTTTTTCAGGTATAAATCCTCTGGTATCTGTCGTTTTTATTAATCTGTTTAATCCATGGCCAGCACAAATTAAATATAAACAGGTACAACACCAATAGTTCCTGACATTTTGTCAAATATAAGCAAAAATTATTATTTCCAGGCTTATATAACAAAGCCAGATGTCACATTGAAATTTTATATAGTTATGCAATTAATATGAACAAATTAAGAAGTCAAATCAAAGTCTCTGAATGTCATTTGGATTTGAGGAATTGTTAGCAAACTAGAACACCGATCCAAAAATGCTGTAATTCCGTATTTACAAAGATATGATGAATTAAAAATGCATCAACATCAGCAACCTTTTGCAGATGACATAAACTAGAATACCAATCCAAAAATGGCTCAATTCAGTACTTAAAAAGGTAGGAAAAATTTGTCAACATCCGCATCCCCTGCAGATGATATAAATGGGATTTGGTCAACTAACAGCACCACCTATAATCTTTGCTAAAATCTTTCGATGGGTTTCTTCATAACTTGATTGAATCCAAGCTGTAAGTTTATTAATCAATTTAAGTATTTTCCAGTGCTGATAAAGCCATGGAATTTTTTTATATTTTGCGAAAAATTGAAATGACAAACAGAGACTTTAATTAAAAGAATCTTTTGATTTTCTTGTGATCAGAGATTAATGTGTATGAATCTATATTAAATTCTCAGATCTAGAAAAAAAAAAAAATGGTTGTAGATTAATTTAACAGAAACTATCAATATTAATTTCTTGGAATTCACTTAAAGCTTTCACTGGTTCTATTCTTTCTTTAGGAGCTCCTTTTCTAACTTTAGCTGTGAGTTCGTTAGGATCTTCACGTCTAACCAGAGGTTTCTTGGCTGGGGCTTTCATCTTCCATTGTACAACAGGTTTCTGAAATAATTATTTTGTATTAGTTACCGATCATACAATACAATATGTTCGTTTATATTTTGTAGTCTCTAACACATGGTTTTGCAATTCAGCATATGATAACAGCTACATGGCGTTAATGTCGACTCCATGAACTTCTCGGTCCAGGCATAGTTTTCAATCGCTTTTGGGGGGTTGGATGGTTGAATGGTTAGTGTGCGCGCGCTGTATCATAAAGTCTGTCATTGAGTCGACTGGCGTGGTTTAGAATTCCGGATGTACGAGGCAAGGAGTAGGGTCGCCTGTCTAACCTCGTGGGTTTTCTCCGGGTCCTCCGGTTTCCTCCCACTGCTAAAGACCCCTACGCGCACGCGAATTATGTAAATAAAATTAAAACATATGTTAGTCCCGAAATGACCTAGTTTGTGTCGAGTGGACGTTAAACCCCATTTCTCTCTCTCCCTCAATCGATTTTTTGGCAGATATACAACAATTGAAGCAGAATATTGCATTTGAGCACATTCTAAACTCTCTACACAATCAACAATAAACACAAGGCCTCGAAAAATTGTGGTAAATTCAATATACAAGACAATAAACATTTCCGTTTGCATACCTACATGAATCCAGCTCCACATGCGTAACATTTTCCACTGGCCGAACACTCATGTACGGGGTGACGTCACAAGTACACGCGAATCAATGATGTTTTCATATTCATTCGTACCGATGCAAAAGGTGCCTGACTTTATTTCTTAGATTAGTCAGTGCAGCAGACCTGCACCATTCATAAACAAGCAGAAACCCAGAAGACAAACCAGTGGACAAGTTACACAACACGGATATTGTAAGTAATAAACAATAAAAGTACTATCAAATCAAGTAATGGATCCAAGGGCTAGTCATAATGGTCAACTGCTGTAATCAGGTGCCATGACTTGGCGGCCTCCCATAATGATAATTTGCTATTCGTCAGCAGCTTACTAATACTTTATAAGAATTGGGCCCAATGACCATGTCCGATGAAAAGTTTACATACTGTGTGATTACTCGGTGAATGAGCCTAGTATAATGAAAAGGAAAGGTTAAATAAAAGGAAATACTTACATGTTTAGCTCCATGTTTGGGATACTGAAAAAGATAAAAATATTTAATATTTAACAAATACATAAATGAATAAATATGTGGTGCAACGATTCACTTTATTTTGATATTCATTAGGCCATATACAAAACTACATTCTGGTTCTCAGATACCACATGATCTCATGGATGCCACATGACCTCATAGATACCACATGTTCATATTTCCCCCAATTAAAGATGGGTTCCCGCGTACAAACTGGGTGATTTAATGGTATATATGGACTAAAAACATATTCAAACTAATTAATTTGTCATAATTATGCTTCAAATCCTTCTCAAACATTGTAATTGCGAAGGAATGCCCTGCTATTAAAATTCGATCAAACCAGGTCATGCTTACGTCACGTCTTGGAAGTCAGAGGAGAATTCATTGCATACATAAGACGATGTTGTCTTTAATTGCTTACTATTTATTACAAATATCGAATCCTAATTAAATTCTAGGATTATCCACTACCTGCGTCTTTTTCTGTCATTTTTATCTCAGAAAGTATTGTACGTCTAACTCTTCATAGCGTTTATCACCTTGTACATCAAGTGCTCAATGTTCGCGTGTGACCTTTGACATCACACGTGCAGAAATTCTTAATCGTCGGGCTGTTGATTAGGGGGCTGTATACGCTCCATGAGTGTTTTTCGGGGAATGCAGTATTTTTCTAGTAAGATTGGATATCTCTACTTTCCATATATACAAAAATTGCCATACTTTTATTGGAAATAACCACCCGATAAATACTTTTCTGGGAACCCATCTTTAAAGGAATGTAACTGTTAAATGTTTCAGGTTGAAATATTCAAACGTTTTTTTCAATCGGATAAAAATTGTGACCTCTAGAGGAACCACTACTATCTGATATGCGCGATGTTTCATCAAAATCAGATCAAAATTGTGGCCTCTAGAGTGTCCACAACCTTGATATACCATATTTCTACATTATTTCAGGCATGATTTTGTCTCTTCCCAAAAATAAGTAAAAAAATGTGGGCGTATAAAATAGGTTTACCTTTGTGGATGCAACATAACAAGCCTTGACGGTATAAACTACAGCATTCATTAAATTCTTAGCAGCATGAATTAAAGATGTAGCACTGTCCAGCTGTAATCAAATTAATAAAATGGTAAGATATATATATATATATACATAGAGGAATACAGGATTATTACATTTGGGAGAGAGAGGGGCACACGTTCGGGTGAATTTATTTATATATTTTTGCCTGCACATCTCAAAGACACCAAGTTGGCCGAGCATACATGTGTCCTTCTGAAACTAGCCTAAGATGAAAGCCTTTATATGGAATCCCGAGTATATCAGCTGAACATACATGCACTAAGTGATCAATCACTGTATTTGATAACATTAGTCTATTCACACCACATTTATGGTTACTGGGAGAAATGTAACAACTGAATTCTGTGTTATTTAATCATAATTCTGTCAATTGAGAACCTACAAGAAACATTCACAAAACAAAATTCGGATTGATTTCCTGAGTTTCAAAAGGAAAAACATTACATTTAGCTGTATGTTATTCTAGATTCCAGTTTGATTAAATTATAACATGTAAGTTTCAAAAGACAATACATTATATTTAGATATTAGTTGTTATTGAATCTCATTTGCTATCAAATTCGTAACATGTAAGTTTCAAAAGGAAATACATTATGTTTAGCTATATGCTATTCTACATTCCAGTTTGATATCAAATTTGGAAAAGATATAAGATGTACGTACCCCAGATACAATAAGTTCTCCACTAGCACTCTGTACATCAGCTTTAACTTTACTAGTAATATTTAACTGATGACAATATAGAGCTATTCTCTGCATGTATGAATCTAAATCTTTCTTGGATTGAGAATCTGGACACTATAATAAATAAAATCAAATATTATTAAGAATCGTGAACAAGTTCTTTGATGAAACATTCATGTAATATATTAGTCTATTTTATTTCATATAACAGTGAACAGTTTAACAGATGGAATAACATGGATAACAATACGAAATTTAGGAGTGATCAAAGTCTCCATTATGATTTGGCTATACCATTAAAGCCATTGATGGATCTCTTGCAAACTACGTTATTATAAAAGTTGAAACTCTAAAAGTCCAAAAATGGTTCAGTTCTGTTTACAAAGATACAATGAATTGAATATTTTGCAACCTTTGGGTTCCTTTAAAATCTGACTGAAATAAAGCCGGGAGATTATCAATTATTGATATTTTGTTTTCTTTGTTAAATGTTAAATAATCTATTATAGAGTAAATTTTAGAGTGGGTTAAGCTGAGAGAAATGAGATATTGTCCGAAAAAATTCAATCGACAATCAGTTGCTTTGATTCATAAGAAGCATACAAAGGTTTTTTTTGTAATAAACGACTATGAATATCCAGTACCCTACCTTACTAGATACTTCTTGTGCTAATTTATCTAATTTTGAACCAGCTTCTGAAATCTTTTTAGCAGCATTAATAACATCCATGGTGCTCTTCAATGGACCTCTTCCTCTATAAAATAATGCAAAATAATCAGATTGTACATAAAATTCATTTGCCTATTTTCTTAATTATTTAAAACCAGGAACTGGTTGCATACACCAGGTGATCTTCTTGGGACTGCCCTCATTAAAAATGGAACCAAGGCGTCGCCAATCCTAGTACAATCAACATGGGCATAGATTGATTGACTTTGATTCCAAGATGGCTGCAATGATGCCATGCTCAGTTCTTGGTTCATATAGTATGCTTGTATTTGCACACATTCTAATTGTCAGGTACTGATTTTGTCAGCTACAAATAAAACCATTATTTTCATAAAATGTAAGATCTACAAAAAAGAATATTTCAAAATTGGCATACTCTGCCCTTAGTAGAATGCTATTTAAAAGTAAATTGACAGGAAAGTTTTGACTAACCTTGTAAAATCTGTCATCTCCATCATTATCATACACATTTGTTTAGCCAGGACAATAATATCATTTCCACTATCATCCCATTTCGCTACCTCAAAATCTAATTTCAATTTCTCTTGTCGGAATTCTTCTACTTGTTCTTGAATCTTCATCTTTTCTTCCTCAGGCAGTTGTCTCATGAAAGCTCGATCACTTTTCTCATTATCAAAATCGGCAACGCTTGCTATAAAATACATCACATACAATGGTAATATTAAACAAAATCGACCATGCTTGCTATAAAATACATCCCATACAAAAGCAATATTAAATAAAATTGTCCATGCCTGCCATAAAAACAACCCATACAATTAATTGTCAACACCATTCCGTTCCCTTGTTTGCCAACAACTAAATCCAATTTGTTTCCTTTAAAGGCAAAAATTATCAAATCTGAGAAATATATAATTAGCAAAATGTGCAGCACCATACTCAATTTGCTACCATTGATCACTTTTTACATATAAAATATTGAATTTCAAATAGGAATGAGAAACTTACAATATCCTTCATAATCTTCTTCATATTCTATTTCACTATCAGAATCATATTCTTCTGCACTCTGAAAATAATTAAAACCCAAAAATGCAGTTTACTACTTTTCACACTCCCATAGCTCAATAGGACCAATTTGAAAGGGTTCGTCTTAGTCAGTGGTGTAAAACGGAGGGCCTGGCAAGGGACAATGTATAGTCATTCGGACGGGATGAAAAACTGAGGTCCTGTATACACATTGACGTACACGTAAAAGAACCCATGACACTATTTCACTATTGTTCTTTTATCCCTTTAATTTACGATTTTTACTGATTATTTCACTACTCGTTTTAGTTAACTTTTTTTTAACTGATCATTGTTACTACTCACCCTGTTCATGAGTACAGCTTGTCGTATATCTCTAACACCATCATATACAAGTCGACTAGCTTCTATAAACTCATTCTCATCTACATCACCTTGTTTATTAGCACTTAATGAATCGACAGCATGTTCTACTTTCTCCGCAAAATTAGGCATAACTATAATAAACATAAGTTAACATGTATAAATGTCAAAAGCAGATGAGTCACTTTTAATTTAAAGTCACGTACAGATCCCATCATGTATTTTTCAGACAAAATCTAACTTTTCATCGCTTCATCCACGATAAAGTGTATTCAAATTGATTAGTTAAACAAAACACAACAAAACAATCAATGGTAGATAATGTCCCGGATTTGTTTCAAACAGATAAAAGGAGGCCCATTAAAAGATTATAACCAACACTTTCATTTGGCCTGGCTTGTTTATCTTGTCTCCAGAGGATATTGAATGTTTCAAAACTTTCAAGTTATCATATCTTTGTACAAACTTAACAGAATTTAACAAATTTGGGACAGATATTTGTTTCAGAGCTTCAACTTTCACAATATTTTATTATCAAAGGGATTGATAATCGCTCAAGTTACAGTCAACAGCTTTAAAAGAGAGAATGTAAATTCCCTGCTGATGTGTTGACATATTCATGATAAGAAATAAATAACATGGAAAAAATATAATTTGAATCAATCAAAATTTTAACTAGGATTTATTCTGTGTTTTTATTCAATACTTTAGAAAACTTTTCTTGATGATCATTAGCTAAATATCAGATGGATATATAAATGAACCCACGATATGATCCCGGGGTTATGGGATAAATTAAGTCAATAACTTACTTTGCTCTCGTAAAACTGTAACAGCCTCCATTACACGTTCTGTATACAAACCGGGTTCATAGTTATCCATCTCTGCCGAGACAACATTATCAACCCGAGATGATCGACCACGTATAGCACCGGCTGTACGATCTAATGTATCTGGATCACCTTCTTGTAATGCAATAACACATCTATTTACATCTTCTAATATGTGGTTTTCTGAAATAAAAGTCGTGGTACATACATTATGTATATCATTTTCTCTATTCTGATAAGTGACAATATAAAACATTGTATATGAATTTACAAAGATAGGTTGCCTGGCAACGAAACATATGCCTATAGCAGCTAAGGCATTGGAGCAGTCCGCAAGGATTGTCGCATTGTTGCTCGAGCATTCACAAGATTCTTAAAAGTTAGCAAGGTCAATAACCCTGGAATCTATTTACAAAAATTACTTATATTAAAAAGGCTCCTCGATTTAACCATTTAAACAACAATACATAATTTTAAAAAGATTGGATAATAAATGTAGTGGATGCCAGGTGGACAAGAGCAAAAACAATTCACAGCACATTCTTAAAAAAGAATGAATGAAATGGGGTTTAACGTCACTTTTCTGCATCTACCGGGCTAATGAAGACAGGCATTCTAAAAAAAACAAAACAAAATAGTGTTACACGTTAATGACATAAACCAACCTGAGACAGCAAGGAAGTCATGTATAGTTGTGATATCATCAACAGCTTCTGTCAACAGACGAACTTGTTTTTCCCATGTTTCTTTGAATATTTCCATATTTTCTTGAGCTGGTTTAGATCTTGGTCTAGCTGCTAAAACTCGAGCAGCGTTTATCACCTGTCAATCAATAGTACCGTAATATTAAAGTTATTTCCTCATCTTGTTGCAGCAAACAAGTCGCCGTTTTGTTGTGAACATAAGGCTACACAAAATAAATGTCTTGTTTCTCGGGCAACTGACAGCTGAAACTGTAGGGGGGGGGGGGGGGTGGGCGTTTTATTTTTTTTTTTATCTCATTTCTGGCTAGAGGATGGTGCAAAATAAAATTTGCCTATTGTTGAAAATTGTTGGGGCGGGAGGGCGGCCTTGTATTTTTTTTTTTTTTTTAATGAGAAAGTCATTACTTGTCTACGGTTTTGCTTTCAGTTATATATTATACATCCTTAGAACATAAACCCAAAAATCAAGTCTACTCAAACACTGAACACTGACTGAAAGGAAAATAATTTTCCATATTTAATTCACGTAATGTAGCTTACTAATGGTAATGGTGACAACCATAATTGAAATTGGTTTAAAATAAAATTCCGTACGACTATTAATAGCCGTCTATAATAACAACAATATTTTAAAGAGTAAGCCTCTGTCAGCATGTGTATCAAAAATAATCATCACGGTAAACGACACTTCGATCTAAATCTAGTATCGCTGGTTTATAATGATTGACCTAATTCCAACCAATGAGCCGATTAAGATCGAATGATTGAAATACATTGCATTGTTGTCAATGACTTTCGGTGTTTAACACGAATCAAATTCTAGTTCACAAGGGGAGGTAATTAAAATCACGTGATACAAAAATGGAGGTTCTTTCGATATCAATAAAAAAGACCCGTAAATGAGCGTTTACATCTGAATCAGTTTACTACATTTGAATGGATATTCACGTATGGGGCATGTAGATACATGCGGCATATTTTTTTTATGACTGGCTTATCGATGTTCGGGCGGGCGTTACATATTTTTTATTTTTCATCAAGACTAATAAATAGGTAGCACGCGCAACCAATTTTGCGTGCGGGCGGTGCCCGAGAAACAACTTATTTTATTTGTGTTGCCTAAGCAATGAGGCTACGACTGGTTTTTAAACTGTTTGTTGATTGGTTCGTAAAGTCAAGCTTCGATCAAGGGCAGATAATTTGAATATGTGAATACCTCGTGGATAAACCCAGGGTAAGGTACAATCATTCTGATGCCTGCCATTTTTTCTGGTATAGATTTCTGTTTTATCAGTGTTTTAATAATATTTTAATAAATGTCTTCTAAACTTGTTGTTAATTAAAATGTTAATCAGTTTCAGTACATTTTGGCATGGCGTAATATACAGTGGCTTCAAATCTACTTTATTGAATGTCTGATTATATTTCTGGCCTGCAAATTATTCTATGGAGTGTCTGATTATACTAACCTGTGGACAAAGTGAATCAATTTCAGCAGCAGCCATTCTGACCATTTTAACACCTTCATCATTATTTGACATTGAACATGCTAGATTTGCTACCTAAAATATACAAAGGAGGATTCTATCTTAAATCAAATGAAAAGAAATGAAATAGAGTTTAATGTCCTACCTTTCTGCACAGACTTGGCACACGAAGATGGACATACGCTTTGCAGTGTGCTATGAGGGGAATTTTGCCTGGACAGCGGCGTTATGGCCTACTCTTATATCTAGTACGCCAATGTGTAAGCTACACAGAATCTCGGTTTTTCGTCCCACCTGACCGAACAGAAGCTCCCTTTGGCAGGCCCTCAGTCGTGCATCACTGACAATGGGAAAACATGCTGGAGAAACCAGTAGAACTGTCTCGGCCAACAGCGGGATAGAGCTCAGGGCCTTCTGGTTAGCGAACCAGCCCCTTACTCACTGAACCACAGCGACTATTCTATTTAAAGGAGTAGTCCTAGATTTTTCAGCCTAAATTATTATTCAAGTAAGTTTAAATATATAAACCAAATAACAAAGACTACATTTCAATGTGGACATATCAAAATTAAAACAAGATTCCATATTTAAAAGGAACAGGCATCTTGGAGTATATTATTATACAAGTGGGTTTAAATATACAAATCAAACAGCAAAAACTAAAGCAACTGCCAATTCACTTTGTTTTAAAGTTTCAACTAAAAACATCAGACATTCAAGAACACCGAAAAAGTGGAAGGGATATCTTTTATCAGCTTTTATGCTTGTTTTTCATATGCGACATAACTGTAATAATATTGGACACTAAATTATTGCTTCAGATACAACTGTGATTATTGTTTATTTACAAACAGGGATCTTTGCTAAAAAATACCATTTTGCCGAGTTGAATCTTACCTCAACTAGTTTATTAGCATGTTCAGCAAAAACCTGAGCATATTCCTCCACTCCTTTCTCGTCTCCAGCTTTAGCTGCTTCAATTAGAACTAACAATGGTACATTAGTTTCTAAAAACGTATCAGAAACATGATCAACGACAGCTTTCCTTAACTGAAACAAACATCGAAAACATTGATTAATATACGTGACAGTCCTGTTTAATCAGAAATGAACTGAAGCTGGTATAAAGTCTTAGTTTTCAGTACTAACAGCAACAGGCCTAATAAAGACAGGCATATATCCATACAGTTTATTATGAGCTAAATTTTGTCTGGACAGCAGTCCTACAAGTGCAGTCTACTGTCATTACAATTTGCAACTGTTAGAAATGTATTGTAACGTAATAATCATTAACTGGCAATTTCATCACTAAATACTTCATCAAAAACAAATAAAATAGCACTATTAAATTCCTTGTAAAATACTGGTTATTATGAAGTTATTTTAAAAATCATAAGTTGAACCGTTTGGTTTCCTCTATTGAAGCCACAAACAAACTTTGTCTTGTATATACATATGGGCTATATATATGGATTACCTGTCTACGTAAATCTCTGGTCTTTTTACACATATTATCTATAGCTCTATCTAATGACTCTGATGGTTCTTTCTTACCAGCCTGAAAATAAAATGTTACACAATAAGCTACCAAGGAACATTAAAATTTATTTAATAAAAATCATTATATATATATATGAAGGGAGGGAAAACAAAACCAATTATCAAAATTTTAACACCTTCAAAGCAAAAATGTATGGATCAAAAAGTTGCTCTGGATATGATATATGAATAAGTCCGATAGATGTTGCCTTTATTTTTGTACGAGTCTAAATACTTAAAGAATAAAAAAAACATCACTGTGCATTTGATGCAATGTTTGGTGTCCATGTTAAACATGGTAATTTGCATTTTTATGAAGTCACGTCACGGCTCTTGCACTCATATATCAATTATATACGCAAAACAAAATATATTTACAACGGACACTAAATCAATGGCAATCAAATTCAAAGTTGATAAATACAAAAAGCCAACTGAATATAATAGATATGTACATGAACTTTCACTGGGGATCATGCCAAAATAGAATGCGTTCCCGTGGAATAACACTTAAATTTGTAGAAATAGAAAGTTCATGCCACACACAAATTCTACATGACATTGAGAAACTAATAAGAAGTTTGGTTTGTTATGTCTAGAAAATAGGAGTCATGCCAACCACAGACAAAAATAATAATCTAATAATCTTTTACTGAACATCAAACATTAAAGTCTTTGCGTGCCACTTGCATTATTCGTAAAATATCAAATTTTCCACGACTATAAGGGGGTCATTCTGTAAGATTTAGATAAAAAGCTGGCCATTCTTGCTACAATATTTAAAAAATAGATTATGCAAAATGGATATATTGAAAATTTCATTCAAATTACTTTTTTTTGAGCGAATGGTTGTAGTTTTTACAAGATGTGTGCATTGATTGTAACCACTGTTCTGGTCATTCGAGCCATACCCTCACTTCTTTCTTAAATCAAAACTGTTCTAATCTACTTAAAATCTGAGCCATCTGATGGCATTAAGAGTTGATTATGGTCTTATGATGTTAATAAATGTCTAATTGATAATTTATATAACATTTAAGGCCCAAAGAAAGACCTGCAATAGGTAGACTTAGCTCTTACATAATGCCTGTTTAATCAAAATATCAAGATTAGATAATCTCCCGACTAGGATTCAATTGAATAAAAAGAGGCCCATCAAAAGATTTTAGCGAAGATTATAGGTGGTGCTGGCTTACGTCAGAGTATGTCAAATGTTTACAAATTTTCTATTCATCATATCTTTGTAAATACTGAATGGAAACCAATCAAACATTAAGAATATTTTAGTTTGCAAGGGACTTTAAATATAATTCTGATATGTATCTCTATCAAACACTAAACCATGCAAATTTCAATTAGGCCATACAATAAAAATATTCTTGTTCTCAGCATGCAGGGAGGGGTGGGGCTTTGTTGCTTTTGTGTTTTTATTTTGTCAAAGTATCACTTCTGGACTAAATGACTTCTCATAAACATCACATTTCAAGGCACTTATTTATCTCATCACATTGCTGATTATATGATTATCCAGTATCATTTTATTTTATGGCTGTCAATAACATTTGATAATTGAGCCTACGATACATTCTTTTATAGAGTTACTTCCTGTAACCCAGAGAAAACATTTATCTACATCTACATGTGGTTATTTTTAGGTGATGCATGAGTAACTAAGAACCAGAATATTTCTATAATATGGCCTTAACTAACACACTTTATATACATGTCAGTTTTATAAATATACATATTATACATCTAGTTATCTTTATAGAAAGGGCATACTGTTACAGATACGACCACTGACTAACTTCAAATATTTAAAACACTGCACACAAATTTTACAAAATCATAAAAATATCCATGCAAAACTTATGGTTCTAATACTGAAATAGTTTCTAACATTTTACAAGTTGATGGGTGTTATCTACACTGATTATTTACAGATCAGGTTTTTGAAAGAAGAATGTTTTGAATTATGATTAAAACAGCTTTCTGTTGTCAGTTGAGTTATTGGCTGTGGTAGTCCTGCATATGATATAGCAATTTTTCAGTTTGGCAGTTGTTGGGGTTTTTTTTATGGAAATTTTTTTACTGGGAGTGGAGATTTCTGCAAGTATTATGGGTGTTAAGACATTTTTTATAACTAGTCCTTAACTGTTAGTAACTGTTCAAATTCTTTTGAGTTTTATTTCCAATTAAGGAATAAGGTACTTAAAATAGTTATATTCAAAATATCATTCTTTTAAACATCCTGTCTTGATGTTTTAATTTTTCAAAATGTCTACAAATAAATTAGTAAAATTGTTCTTCCATAAGTATGTGTTATAGTTTATTGCTCTATCCAGTTACTAAATGCCTCTAAAGGATTATTCTATGTACTTATGTTGTCAAGTGATTTGCTTTGCCTGGAATAAAGTTCGAAATTTATTCACAGAAGAACCAATATTTGAAAGAAAAAAAAATTCAGTAATGTTGACTGTTGGAATCACATACTTCCAAGAATTTTTTGTGACACTTTCTAAACATCACATTTGTTAGAACAACATATATAAACTTATCATGCTTTGTTACACACTAATATCTGACTCTAATCAAAATGGTGGGAGAGGTTTCAACGATTCAAAATGCACGGAATTAATCTTAGTCTTGGACAAAGATCTACCTTTTTCTTTATTGCTGGTTTCTTACACTGTCATAGAAACAACAGAAAAAAATAAATTGAACATTTTAAAATATCTTTTATAATATTTGACAATTCGAACGAACAATTGGAGTTCTCTAATACAACAGAAACAAAATCTATTATTTTAACCCTTTAAATATTGACTACCCTGGTTCCTTGAAGTAATTAGAGAAAAGTGATATATTTCATAATCGTATATCACTGGACAGTCCATAACTACTGTTCCTTGGATCAACTCAAACCTCTCAAGATATGTGAATAACTCTCAGAGATATAGGATCCTATACTAGTTCTTGGGAGTGTCTTACTTATCTCTGTGACAGTCTAGGGAGCACCAGTTACAAGTGGTTTCAGGAGGTCTAAAGGGTTCAATTATCTTATTAAAATATCTGACAAATTAAACGAGCTTGAATTTTAAAGCCATTAGAAGATTTGAAAGAGGGTAAATGTTGGAAATCTCTAATAAAAGATGACATATATCTACTCACGGAATAACTAACATTTTTACATTACAGAAGCAGAACACGTAATTATCTAAACTGGTTAATTTGGCTCATCTGAAATTGGTAGCGAATGTAATACGGCAAAACCGCGATTGAAAGTTTTATAACCTAACCTCTGTCATAATACATATATAAAAACTTACATTGTTCATGTATTCTGTGAGCAGATCTTGTAAAGCTTGTCGTACGGCATTACATTCCTGTACAATACGGCCACGTCTTTCATCTCTTGTACAAGAAGAATCGGCCATGAGGGCAGCACCACTGATGATACTTTCTAATCTTTCTTCTAAAGCTGTTCGACTTCTGACCTCATTATAGTTCAATGGATCCATTATTATCTTTTGCTGTGAATATAAAATAAAATGACTAACAAATAGATACCATAAACAGTTACCATTAATGATTGAATACACCCTCAAGCATGTTATCCTTCTAACTTAATCTCCAAGCGTTGGAACATAAACATATATTTTAAGTTTAATAAAATATTAGACAAAAATGGTGACCTCAAAAAGTTGCACAAGCTATGTACACGATAGGTATAATTAGGGCCAATAACCCAGGAAGTTACGCTGCCAAAATCGAACCCATCCATCCAAGATCTTTGAGATGTAAACTTAAATTTTAAGTTTCATCAAGATCTGATAAAAATTGTGACGTTCATCCAGACATATAGACGAACAGGGGCGTATAAAGATCACTCAAGTATTGTGTTGACGAGATTTTAAACTCAATCAATTTGTTTCATTTCTAATGTAAACCATTTTTATTGATAAATCAAGTAAAAACATTATTTCACTTACATCAAGTTCATCTAGGGCAGCAGCTAATTCTCCTGGTCCTTCAAATGGATGAGCTTCAGAATGTCCTGTAGCTTGGGTTATATTAGATATCTTCTCTACTGCATCGCATACTTGTTTATACGCGTAATCTCGATTATTTCTTGCTGCTGCCAATTCAGGGTGACGAACATAGGCCTAAAATCAAAATGATTGTATATTACCAATTTACAATACAATTCAAAAAATAAAGTGGCAATACTGTTATTTATTTACAAAAACAAACCATTTCCGGTCTTTTGCATTGAGTACAACCATATTAATTATGGCTATCAACAAACACGCAATGCCTCAAAACACAAATTCCTAAATTAGTTGGCAACCAAATCAAAGTAATGTTTGTTTAAGTTTAACTCAGCAACTTTATCGAGAGATAAAAACAATGGCTAGCATTCGATTAATAATGCAAGTACCATTATATTTAATATTTAGTAGAACAAAAGATTGATAAATTATTTTATCTAAATTAGACTGCTTGCTACCCTAAAATCTAATTTCTATTAATTATTTTTAGCATCAGTAAATTGAAAAGGATGGATGTGATTATTATTTTTATCCCGAGTAATATGAAGTTACGGGATAATGGAATGGGTACCATTCTTCTGCTGTTCGTTCCGTATTTGGTTTCTGGAGAAAATTTCTTAAACCATTAAAGATATCTTAATAAAAGTTTGGACACATATCAACCTGTTATTATCGTGCTTTTTGCTAATTAGAAATTTCCCCAATTCAATATTCTTTAGGCTTCCATAGAAACAAATTTGACAAGTTTTATCAATTGGCACATAATGTTGATTAGGTCTTTTTGTTATAATTTTAAGTAGATAATTTCTGACAAAATTAATTTATTCCTCAAACAATGCTAACAGCAGAATGTAAACAATATCAATTAAAACTAACCTTTGATGTTGTCAGTAACATCATACTGTTCTTCTTTAATACAGCTCTAGCTGCTGCCAAATCATCTCGACGACGTGGATCTTTCAGGTCCTGTAATATAGCGCAGATAAAATATGATCAAAAAATACTACAAACAATCCAGTTTCTTCCAAGAGAAAATGGAAAGTGGTTAATTATGAGATTAGCATGTTATTTTCATTTCAATCAACATGTGTGCAATGAATATATGTGCAATGCCAGAGTTAAAATTCCCTAACTCTCAAGGTTTTTTATACATGCTAATGTATGCACTGATGGACCTCAGTTATTCGTCCCATTTGATCAACTAGGTACATAATCCTTGTCAATCCAGTAGACACCAGCCCTGACAATTAAAACCCAGGCCAATTATTTCTGTGATGTTTCAACTTGAAATGAAACGGACCAACCAGGCAAATGAAGACATTGTTTCTGCCTGCTACTCATCTAATCCCAAAGGATCCTCTTACATGCATGCCAACCTGTTCACAGGACCTCAGTTCTTCGTCTCAACCAAACAACTGGGTGCTGTTCCTCACCAGGCCCTTCATCTACATCACACTGGAAAATCCCGAGGTACTGTCTTAGCCAACACAGGGATCAAACCCCAGACATCTTCATCCCCGAGTCATTGTAGCTCCAATGTTTCAATTTAAATACACTTACATATTTGTTATTCTACATGTTTATGAAAACAGTACTTACAGCTTGTCTTTTAGCTGCTCTATCAGATAATTCATTCAAACTTTTGTGGAAATCTTTAAATCTGGCCATTAGTTCTTCCTGACTCTGAGCATTACGGATATTATCTAAATTATCCCCAACCTAAAACAAGAATCCAACATGTCCATTGCCCGTTAATCTCATTCTCAACATGACAACTTTATTTTAAATAATTTTATTGATTTAAGTCACTATCAACCTTAGCTTCAATTCAGACTCATCCTAAGAATGGGACAACTTACAATCATCACTCTAATCCAAATTTTCATCTGAAGATACGAAAGACTTTAAAGTGTTAATTTTTAAGAAATGTCTAATAAATAGTTCTGTGAAACCTTAAATGCAGGCCTGGAAATAATGGTTTTAGTTGCACACGACAAAATGGCAGATACTAATGAATTAGTACCTGATACTTTTAACTGTGCTGGACATGCATTAATAATATCAATACAAAAGACAAATCAGCGTCAGAGTTTTGTGCCTGACATTGCCTGTGATAGGTACCTTATTTCCAGGCTTACTTAAATATATGATATGGAATACAATGGCAGATTTGTTAAAAAAAAACTTACATTACTCAGAGATTGCATGATTAAATGAACATCTACCATATCTGCTAAGATCAATAATCGTGTAACGGCAGACAACAAAGCTCTAGCAGCACGAACCATTGCACCACGTTTTACAGATGAACAGGGATCTGTAGCAAAATCTTGTGACGCCTCATGCATATCTTCTCCTATTAAATACATAAACACAGATAATGTTATATATATTATTATTTAGTCATTTATTCACATGACAAGCATATAATCAACCCTCTAGAGCATCAGATGGCTGTAATATTGAATGGATTAGAACACCCAAGTCATTTAACAACTTATTGCTAAAATGGACAATCAACACTTGGTTTATTATCGTAGCAATCAAGACTACCTTGTCAAAACTCATAACTTTGCTCAGAATAAAGTAATTTGACCGAAATTTTAAATATATTCATTTTTTATTATCTATCGTTTTAACTGTTATAGCATTTGATCTTATACAATGCATCTTTAAACTAAAAACATCCATTTATAAAATCATTAAGGAAACACTACAGCTAAATGTGACCGAACAATTTTTCTTAAACTATAAAATCCATGTGCACCGCTGGCAAACTTCAAAAAGCTACAAACAGGTCTCACAAGTCCTTGAGCAATGATATCTGACCTTCTTGTACAGTACTTCCCTAGAGCTTTGACATTTTATATAAACTGGGTTATTTTGAAGATTGTGAATCAATACTATTTTTTTTAAATAATAACTGCTTCAGTGGGTTTTTATGGATATTTCATCCTATACAAAATATTGTTTTGATTGCCTAAAAGGACTGTGTGGTCCGTAAACCATTAGATGATCAAGCTCAATAATGATTTTCAAAAAAGAACTAAAAACACTTTTATTCAATGAAGCTTTCCCTTACCAGAACTGAAACCTTTTGTGAAAGTGCAATAGAAACTTTAACAGAGTGTTTTTGCGCTAAATAAATTCGGTGTTTATTTATTTATTTATTTAAACAATGAGGTAATCACAGACTATCCTGTGTCTCCTTGAAAGAAATGACCCACCTGATCGTCTAACTTCATCTATAGCATCTAACATATCAGTTTGTACTTCTGGAAATTCTTCAGCTATTTCTTCCCCTTTAATAATAAAATGTTCGGTGGCTTTCTGAACAGCAGCACTTAATACATGTGCTTTCTTAGATCGTCCTTTCTTCTTTCTCGAAGGACCATTCTGATTTACTAGTGTTGTTACCTAAAATATATTAAATCACAAATTCAAAAACATTCTATTATGTTAGAAATTAATTATTTGTTCTCTTCTGTTAAAAGATGACACTGAAACTGATATCTTATAAATTTACAAGACTATAAAACAAATACATCTTGGTAGGTGTTCTGAAGTGTAAACACTAGAGTCAAAAATTGTATTTCAATATATTGTACATTACAAAACATTGTAAAATTCATTTCTGAAGAAAAACCTGAATTTCATTAGATTAACCATCAAAACACAACCCAAAATCATACCCAATACAATTATTACAATGTTATACAAACAGGTCCTTTTTAGAAATGAAACTTTAACAATATTGTAGTTCGCAAGGGGTTAGAAATCTGCCAAATAACGATCAGAGATTAAGTACCGAATGCATGTAAATGTGTGTATATACCGGTATATGTATTTTTTTGAATGTCAGTATAACTGGGATGTATATATTTTATTGAGATATGTTGTGGAGAAAGTTTCTCAATACATTGTGAGATCAGGTCAGATTTAACAACAAGTACATGTACATGTACTGGTAGTGAGAAATAATTACTGCAGTCAATATTGATAAATCCATAATAAATACATGTACACTAAATAGTTCATTCCTACGGTAGCAGTCAATCATGGACAAGTACATGTAATTGAATATGGAATGATACATGTATATACAAGATTTTGATAAAAATAATGCCTACCTGTGTTACAAGTGGTTCCAGCGTTTTTTCAACAGACTTTGTTCGTATTTCCAGGTTTTTTGGATCCCATTTCACCTGAATTCTACCAGTTCCAGACATGATGTTGGTCTCAGAGTTTTATCCACTTATGTTTCTTTGGAACCTGCAACAAATTAATTAATTAACAGTGACACAAGATGATCAAAATTCAACTTTGGCAAACTTCATGTGATGCATCATGTACATATACAAAAACAATGCAAGCCTCGAAACAAGGCCCCTGTTAAAGACAATGTCATTCTCAATATCAGGCAATGTAATCCCTCCGCTGGTTGTTATTATGTCTGACACAGATTTGTCTTTCTGTGTTTTAATTATAGACTTGGTGCATCAGTTTCATTTTCGCTAAAATATCAAATTTTTCACAACCCAATACACAGCACAATATGTACTCAGATTGATTCAATAAAGAAAACAAAATCAAAATACCAAAGCTAGATAATCTCCCTGCTTCAATTTAATCAGATTGAAACTAGATCCATCAGGTTTCTCTGCTAAAAGTAAAAGATGGCGGCGTCTTGTTACGCTCAAGCAGCATCGATTGATGAAATTACAATTTATTATAACATTGTAAATACTGAAAGGAATTGAACCATTTTTGGACAGATATTCCTAATATTTAACTTTAACAATATTATATGTCCCAACGGATTCCTATAGCACTAAATGATGCATTGAGCTTTTAACATCTATAATTTATGTCCGGCACAAATTGTTCGCTTGTTCGTAAATCTTAAGGTCCATTTCCACCAGACACAAATTTTAACACAACAAGTATTAGTTCAATAATGCCAGACTTTTTGTCTGATACATATAGAACTAAAACTATTATTTTCAGGCTGACATCAAGTAATATTATAACCCAAACTATATCCAAGTGAGGTGCACTTGAGTGTGTTCTAAAAAACGACACATATCTTGTCTCTAATCCATTTCTTTTGTGAGGATGTCAACTTATTGTTTTGTCTCTGCATCTGCACTTGAGTTCAACTCCAAAAATTTAACAATAAGCAAACACTAAAAATCAATGGAACTTCTAGTTTCTGCTTTCCAAACCATCATTTTTTTTTTAACACAAAACATCCAAATTCTTGTTAAAGCCATTTATTGACAAAGGAGGCTATTTTAGTTATAGCGTTGATGTGTAATTTATTTTTTAATGTCTTATACTAAATGTTCAATTTTTATTCAAATGACAACAAATATATATTACAAAAGCTTGTTTTAAGAAAAGCAGGCAGCGGAACCATTAGTGTTGATGTATAATTTATTCTATATCCTGAATGTTCAATTTTTATTTGGATGTCAACAGTTAAATTTTATAAAAACTAATTAAAACAACAGGCAGTAGTGCATTGATAATCAACGTCAGTGTCAATTGCAACAAAAATTATTTTTGATCCTAGAAGAACTTATCTTATATAATATTATTATATATGATATTTAGCATGTTAAAAATTGCAAACCTTGAGTTTTTGCTTCCTGGGTCAGTCCTTGGGTTTGGCCCTGCGAAAAGCACAGCACACATCAAACATACTTTGAGCCAGGAAACAAGCATTATGTCATCACTACCATACTGGAATTGTGACATATTAAAAATCGAAATCTGTCAATCGATGGGTAATTGTCCAAAGAATAAGCATGTCAAACGAAATTGATTAACCTTTTTTTCAAAAGAGTGTCTTCCCCAAGAACAAGAAGTTCAACAGAGAAGTGCTTTGAGACCAGTTCCCTATTGTCCTTACAGAACAACAAACTATCTCAAATAAAAGCCAAAACAAACACTGAAATATAAAATACTGTAGCTCTGTGGTGAACCATTTTGAGTGTAATGTAATGTTATATCAGCTTTCAATAACAATACGAACAGTTAAAGGTATTGGAGTTTGGATATGTGAAAAATTCTGTCATTTGTATGTGATGAATGCTTGGAAGAAGGTGTCTCGGTGCACTATCGACAAATGACAGGTGTATTTTATTTGTTTTGTGTTGTTTTCTGTCATCAAACTACTTCCTTATTCTAAATTCCAATACAGGTATTATTGTAATCTAGTGTATTTGTTACAGGTGGCTCAGTATGAAAGACAATTGCACCAGCCTTGCCACCAAAAAGAATTTCATATATTTTTCACAACCAACTACCGTATGGTAAAGGTGTATACGAATTGAAAAAGTGAAACGAAATGAAATGGGGTTTATCATTGTACTTTTCTATATCAACTGTGCTAATGAAGACGAGCATACATCATGCATGCAGTTGCTGTGATGGCAATTTGGCCTGGATAGTGGTTCTACTCCCTACTCTTATTTTGAATTCAAAGCTATCATGGGTTTGATACATGTTGGTCAATATGTACACTGGACCTCAGATTTTCGTCCCCTCCATACAACTGGACGCTCTTCTTGCCAGACCCTCTGTCCTCTACCGCTGACATGGAGACCGACCCTACTCGGAATTCGGTTTACAACTCATCAAAACAATAATTCAGTCATATTCAGTCATTATTTCTTATGGTCACACGATTATCATCTATGCATGATAGAAGAATTTTGAACTAAATGAGCGCCACATTCCCCACCTACATGTACGTCCAACTTGACGACAGGATTAAAAAAAAACATCAATAAACATCAATACACTTCTGGTGTCCTACATGTAACAAACAAGTCTATTTCTTTAATTCCATAAAACTGAAAATTCGAGATAAAATACACAAATTAAATTGTTTTGTACTTTGAAGAAGGTACATGTAAGTATAACGATTTGCAAAAAATCTATTATAATAATATTAGTGTTAAAGTTAGTCAACAAATGACATGAACAATTACTACTGGTAGACACTGGCAATAGTAGCCTACTTGATAATCAAATATTATGCCTTTCTATCTACAGGTACGTTTTTGTAAATGGTAATCTTTCAGGTGATACACACTCGGGTCCGTGTCAAAAACCCCTCTGGTCAAAACCCCCTAGGTCATAACCCACTTGGACTTAAATTAAAAATGGACAAAACCCCCGGGCCTTTTTATTTATTTATTTTTTATTAATTTATTTCCTTTATTTATTATTATTTAAAAACAAATATTTGAAAAATAAAATATTATTATTTAAAAAAAAAAATATGATGACCAACTAAGACAATTGACCACACAATTAACATAACATAATCTGCTTTTTACTAGGAGGGTTTTGACCGTATCCCTACACACTCAGTGTCAGTGTAAAACATCTTATTGTGTCACGATAAACGCATCAAGGCATACATGTATATAGAATGACTAATATTAGAAAAGTTATAAATCATATATTTATGACCCATCTTGAATGTCATAAAAATTTAGGACTAGTCTTAACACAAATATTGCACACTGCAAAGCTTGCAAGCCACTTTACATTTTCCACATAAGATATAAAAGGGATTGACTATATACTCCATATCTTTATCTCTAGCTTGAATGAAGGCACTGGAATGGAGCCAGACTTGCAAGTTTTGAAGAACCAATAGCTCCTACCGGTACTGTTTCATACTCTTTCAACATCACAGATCCATGCAAGAATTTCCAAGTGAAAATTTGATACAGCACAACACAAAATTCAAACAAAGACTTTGTGTAGGCCCTACCATTAATAGAATTAACCCTGGCAAGGGTGTCGCGCCTCTGGTTGCATCCAGTTAAATGACAATACAAATATAAGCTAACAATACAACAATTCAAGTTCCTACATCATGCAGATACAAGATATTACAAAAGTTACACAAAACTTGTCTGATATAAAAAGATTTGAGCACACTACATGTCACTGTATACCATATTAAGGGTACTAGAAAGCAGCGTAGCCAGAAGATTACCAAATTCAACAAAGTTGACCTAATCATTATTATAGCCTCAAGATACATAATGTAAGATTTAGATAAATAACTAGCCATTCTTGCTATAATAGTTCGAAAGTAGATGATGTAAAATGAATAATTTGAAAATTTCATTCAAATTACTCTATTGCAAGCGAAGATATTAGCCTTTGAAGGTTTGACAGACGTGTGCAATAATTTCTACCACCGTACTGGTTGATCGAAGCTAAGTCTCGGTCCTCCATATTTGATTAAATCAAAGTATCGCTGAACCATTCTAATCTATTTAATATCGGAGAAATCTGATGCCTTCGAGAGTTGATTAAGGCCTGGATCAGTTAATTAATGTCTAATTAATACTTTAGAAAACATTTCAGGCCTAAAGAAAGACCTGCAATAGGCAGATTTAGCTCTTGCATAATGCATGTTTAAGGGCGTTGAGCAGTCTAAATTGCACATTTTAAAGCTAGCACTGTAATTTTTGTTGATAACATATGACATTTTATGTTATTTTGGATTTTGGGTGGTAAACTACATATTAATCACCCCAAAAATACCAATGACAATGCCGATGACAATAAAGTCAAATTTTCTCAGTCATGACTGCATGGATTTTCTTTAAATTTGATATGAACAATGCTAATAGCAAGTCAAAAAAAGCCACTGTTGAAAAGTTAGTGTGTATCTTAGACTACTCAACGCCCTTAAATAATCAATCTGAATCTGGAATGGGCCTAATCAACAATTGTCAATAAAATCAACCAACAGTAGGCATTATTAGGCCTAATATTACATGAGAATAAAAAGTGTCATAGTTCATCATTGGATTATACATGTATATATTGTGAACAGATATATAAAAGGTGTGTCCTTTACTATTTATTTATATGAGTCAAATTATAATTCTATCCATTAAATTTGTCTCGTCCAGTTTAGTTTCGGAATTCTAAGTGATAACGATTAACGTTGAATTTTCAAAAGAAATTGTTGTATTCTTTCTTTCAAAAATACGATTTACTCTTAATAGATGCAAGATTTCTTCCCCATTAATAGTATTACAAAACAGTCAATACTTACTATATTTATATTTACTTTTGACACTATTTATCATCAATATTATCTCTTTGAAAATACCGATTGATGAGTAAGACCAATTTCCGGTTTTCTGATTAATCTACTTACTCCCGCCTTAAATCTTACAAAAGGCCTTAATACTGTATTAATCTACCTAAGAATTAGTTTGTGTGATTACTCATTTGAAGAACATATATATTTGATAATAATGCTTGATAAGAATTTTCATTGTATTACAAATTGCAATTTTAGTCCTCTCTGCAAGGGGGAGATAAAAGAACAGCCACTAATGGAATGTGTCAAAAGTCACGTGACAGGTTAAAGAATTTTTTTCAAACAACGGGAAGCAACTCCAAAAATGAAGGGTGTTCCTTGACATAAATTTTGTTTATCGGGCGGTAGTTCTTTTGAAAACTCAGACTTCAGTGTTTGTTTTTCTCATTAAATTGTCACATAAAATTTGCTATCTATATCAAAAGTTCAATAATCTACATACATGCATCTTTTATTGAGATTGATTTCAACAAAAAATATATAGGCCTATGCCTATGTCATGGATTAATTAAGCATGTAGGAAGTGCACCAATAAACAGCTTGTCAATCTACACATTTTCTATTGTCTTGTCGAAATATTGATATTTCAGAGATTCTAAAAGCTAAATATGTCTCATGAATAGAAATAGGATATATACCATATACATTTAAATGCAAAGTTCCCTGCTCTGTTCTAAACACTAACTTAATGTAATTTGGATAGGTGTGCCTATCTTTAGAAATTACATGACCTCTGTATTGTTGGTCTGAAATTATGTAATGGGATTGAACGTCTTTTTTTCTGCTCCAACGTGGCTAATGAAGACGCAAGACGGGCATACATTATGTAGTGTGTAATGAAGGAAATTTTTCCATGACAGCCTAGATGCACTATATAGGGCCTACAGCAATCTTATTTCAATTTCCACCTGTCGTACACAGGACACCGGACTTACACATAGATCCTTTAGACATATATCTCATGTATCACTAGACAGAAGTATTCCTGAAGAGATTTTTACTTACTATCCTGTATCAAACACATTAGACAGGTGTGACTAATCACAATATTGTAGTTTATACCTGAATCTGATTGTCTAATTAAATCTCTATTGTCAGCTGTTTCAATATGCTAAAATCAGGTCTGGTGGCCATGATTTTTTTGTTTAAAATATTCAACTTTCAAATTCCCAAATATTTTAACTATGTCATGCCTAAATACATTTCTAGTTTCAACATGTTTTTAGTCTTAGTCGATGTAAAATGTTAAAAGGAAAATATTATACTCTCTGAGTTGCATATTTTGAACCAAAAAGCTCAGGGGTGGCTTATAGTCAACAAGAACGAGAAGAATCTCAGGAATTTTCAAGCTCGGTCAAGGGTAGAGCTTGCAGGGCTGACAGTTAAAGTGTTGCCTAGTTGTTCGAAATTGGATGAAAGTTGAGGTCCAATTGTGTACACCTTGGTATGCATGTGAAAAAACACTTTTTCACCCCCTAGGTGAGTAGGGGGAAATGGCTCTGTCAAAGCAAAATTCTTATCCCTAGCAATCCACATGTGAATATTGAAAAAAAAACTGTGATTAGTCTCAAAATAACCAAAGTATGGTGTTGAGGACAAGGCATTAAGTTGAGCAAAAATATAACTATGACCTGGCCCTTCAGATCCTGTTATAAAGAAATTGCAAAGAAAAAACACATTCAATAAATTTGAACTTTTATTTTTTTTATACCGATATATACTTTATTTTCAGTTTTAAAAAAATGATAACAAAACATCCACCCAGTATCACCATTCCTGTTTTTCCTCCCTATGAATGTCTTTTAATATGTTCTTTCAAATCACTGGATCATTGGAGGTTGAATAGATGTTCTCGTAAATATATTCACTCAATTGTTGTCCATTTTGCAGATAATCACATCATTTATTTTTTACAAGTTTAACTCGTTCCTTCAGAACTTTGAATTTAGGGTTTTTCATGAGTTTCTTATTGAATTTAGCACTGAGTTCAGCTTCAGATTCCAGACAACCACCTTGTGATGAATATTCTGCTAAAACCTGAAAATATTTCAATATACACAATTAAATAAAGTAGCAAATCACAAGCACCTGAGGTAAACATCTTTTCGACACATTATTATCCCGATTTCTAGGAAATTTGTGGGGGCAAGGGAACTGGACACTCGACGAGAATGTTCCCGGTTTGAAGATCGACGTGGGCCAAGAAGAACCAATTGGCTTTTTCAAATGTGCTTCCAACTTCCCTGGTGTAGCTTTTGCGAAGCTGACAAGGAAAGTATTGTCTGGTTGTTTGGATGGGACAAAAAATATAAACTATTGTACATATATACTCTTCAAAAAAAAGTAGGGGATATTGAAATGCAAATACCTATGCAGGTTGTGATATGATAAATAGTCATGGACACTTGACATGCTTTGAGAGTATGTTCACAGATGAAGAACTTATCGCCCCAACAGAACCACTGAGCTGCACATGCGACATGCAATAGCGCCATACACGTGGGAGGGGTTCATTATCAAATTTGACACTTCAAGGAAGGGTTGATGAAAACTGCCACGTGCTGGTTTATCTATCCATGTTTGCTTTCCTATCGGTTCTTGCATAAGATTTACTGTTTAGCGTATCTTTGCTTTAGTGTGTTACGTTTAATTTGATCGGAAGACGTGTTCGTTGACTTCAACATCAACGGACAACACTGCAAGAATTGGCCGTGCCACTGCAAGAGGAGTGGGTCAGATTGCCCCAAATCGTGATTGAAAGGTTGATTAGGAGCATGCCACGACAAATTGCTGAATGTCTGAGGATTGGTGGAGCAATTACTCATTAAGACAAAAATCAAAAACGCCCATTTTCACTTTTGATGGTGTATCTCTTTGTGAGTGAAATGGGGCCGTCAGATAAGCCGCCCATATGAAATGTTTTTGTGTAAGCAATTGGCCTGTTATTAACATACACATGTTACCTCTAATAAAAACAGCAGTGCATTTCAGACAATGAAGATGAGTAGGTGGAAACACTGCTGGCTTGGCAAAATTCTCCTCCATAGCATTGTTCACATGACCATGGAGCCAAATAACAGCATGTTAGTCTTAAAATGACCAAAGTATTGTACTGACGAGATATTAAATTTCATTCCTACATCATTATCACTCTTTACAGATTGAACTTTTTTACATAGGGGATACTCAATTGAACGTTCTGGAATCGAATTCTCTCAATCTCAAAGACAGTGACAATCAAGTGAAAAGGGATTTCAGGCTACAACGCATGCACCAACTGCATAAGAAAATATCTCATTAACAACGACAGCTGAAACATATTCGTTGTGTTTAATTATGTCACGATTCTATCACACCACCTCCATTGGCAGGACTGAATTATATTGCAATTCTGTCAATTGTGGACGTTCTTGACTGACAATCAAACATCCCCTTATTGTTTAACTATACTACCCCAACGGGGTAGACTGAAATGAAGTACCCAAATTAACGGGCTCAAGTATTTCATAACAACAAGTTCGAACAAATATACTTTTACCTTTTTACGTAATTTTTTCACAGGTAAATCTTCCCCTTTAGTTTTTAAAACTGTTATAATTGTTTTCTCCCAATCAAACTTAATCTTTCTTTTTTTCACCGGTTGTTCCTCTTCTTCCTCCTCCTCCTCCTCCTCATTCTCTATAAATAAAATACACTAGGTTGTAATAATGTCATGGATGAAGGGAAATGGAGCACTGGGTTGCTGGTGTATTTTTGATTAAGCGGTAGAAATACAAACATTTTGTGTTTTCAGTCCAAGTCTCCTGATACACTAAAATTCCTGAAAATTTGACTGGCATGGAAAAGAAAACATTTAATTGAATTATATCAATGAAATGAAATAAAGTTTAACTTCCTACTTTTTTCATGGACAGGCATATGCCATGCAGTGTGCTATGAGGGAAACACCAAGATTGAACCTGGGCCCCCCGACTGTGAGCAAATGCCACACTCACAAAGCAACATGGCTCCTTAGTCAAAAGTTTTAATATGAAAAATCTTGAATGCTTACCATCTTCATTTTGTCTCTTTCTTTTCCCAGATTGAACTTCTTCATCCTCTTCTTCATCACTATCTTCATTTTTCCTTTTTCTCTTTTTCTTGCTCTTTGTTGACCCGTTCACCTCTTCACCATTTTCCACACTGTTTTTATTTTTATCTTTCTTTTCCTTTTTATCATTTTGTAATCTGCGCTGTTCTTTCTTCTCCCTTTTACTAAGCTTTTTATTTGTTTCCTCAGAATCATTTTCTCCATTTATGATGCCACTGTTATCTGATACGATTTTATCACCTGTCTTTCCATTCACTGAATCTTTGACCTCACCATTGTCGTTATTCTGTGAACAAATCAGAACAATATGTTAGAGAAATTCGGTATTGCAAAGTTCTATGATCAATGTAGTCCTAAACCTGAGGGAGGGGTGTCTAGGTGGCTCAGTCACAATAGCGAGGGCTAACTAACAAGGAATTCCTCAATTCATCCTTGTGGTGGCCAAGAATATTCCTCAGATTTTTTCAGTCTGGTTCCACACACCCCCCCCCACCCCTCTCGTCAGTGGTGCTGGCACGGAGATTAAGTGGCTAGTATTTTGGATGGAACAAAAAAGAATTGATATCCTGCGTACACCAGTGCGAGCATGTTAAAAGATCATGCGTAGGTCATAGTGCCGTTGAATGGTCATAATTTCCCTCATAGCACATAGTATGAGACTTATCTTTCGTTATGGCTTTGATAAATCGGTAGACCAATGAAAACAATCTACCATAGCAAGTATCGATTGTTAATGTGCTTGTATACTCATAACCAAAGAGAAATGGGTTAAACGTCGACTCAACACAATGTGATTTCGGGACTAACATACGATTCAATTTTATACCAATAATTTGCTTGCACGAGGGGGTCTTTAGCTGGGGCTCTAAACCATGCCATTTGATTCATTGACAGACCTTATGATCTAAAGCACACACATCATCCCATCCCCCCTCCCCACAAATTGACAATGAGCTTGTAGGTTCATTTAGGAAATATGGAAATACATGTACTGGTACTTACTGTAGTATTTTGAGAAATTATTTCCCAGATCTGTGCTATACATTTATTGTCTCGAACACCAAAACTAGATTTCATAAAATTCTGAAATGCAATTGCAAGTAAGCTGCGGATTAGAAATATTTTATTTCGATTTTTGGTCATCGGAATATTCGATCTCAACTTTTTCAATAATGATGGAACTAAACATTGATTTAAAACACGACTTTCCGGTAACAGACAAGGTAAATGACCAAATACCACAGTTGTGCATTTTATACAGCCTATCAGTAAAATTATAACGGGTTCTGAATTTCAAGATCTGACAGTCTCATCGGACAATCATTCTCTTACCCTTACTCTGAAATTTGCAACATAAAAGTTATGTTTATGGAAGCCACAATGGCACTGGCTCACTAAGCAGAAGGTCCGGAGTTCAATCCCAGTGTTGACTGAGAAGCTTTCTCTGGATTTTCCACAATAACTTTCCCTTGACAGTGATGCAGGATGGAGGGCTTGGCAAGGCAAAAGCATCTAGAGGTTCGGATGGTGCGAAAACCATAGGCACATAAACTCATTTTCATTTGCCAACTTGGTGCAGAAAAGTAGATAGTTCTGTTAAACCCTTTTTAATTTCAGTTCAGTTTATAATTACCTCAAATTTACGTTGTTTTCTTGGTATATTGGGGTGGTCTATCAATCTTGATAATAAATCTCTAAGTTTGGGATTTTGTTTATTTTTCTCTACAGCTTCCTGTATAGACTAAAACAAACAATGGTTTAAAACATTATAAATTTTCCTGTTAGACTAAAACATACAAATCATATTATGGTCATTATGGTCTATTAGTTAAGATTTTAATAAAGAGTTTGCCATTCTTGATGCAACAGTTCAAAAATAAATGATAAAAAAAAAAGAAAATATTGAAAATTTCAGTCAAATTACTTTATTCTGAACGAAGTTATCAATGTCGGAAGTTTGGACTAGAAATCGGAATCAACTGTCTACGCACCGTCTCCGAGAATTGCCGATCATTTGATTGAAAGATGATAACCCTGCCCACATATTCTCAATTATCAAGTAACATTCTCAATGTCTACAGTACCCTCGATTGTCAGTCCTTTCATCAGCAATCTCCAGGAGTGATGTCAGTGATTAACGGTAAATTTAAGCTTGGTCAGCCATTTAATGATTTAATTATTAAATGGACGACTGTTTAAATGAAAGCTGTATCCAAGCCATCCGAGGGTCTACAGAGTTATTTTGGGCTTGTTATGTTAATAATGGTCAAATTAATAATTTGAAGCTTATAGAAAGACATGCAATAGGCATATTTATCTCTTAACTAATGTATCTTTAATAGGCTAAATTAAAAAGTCTCCAGATTTTATTCTTTGCAACAACATTTGAAAATTAATCTTAATGATCCTAATACCATAGGATGAACCATTCTTGGATTGATATTCCTTTTAGAGATTCAGTTTTCATAATATGGTAATTTGCAAGGGATTCAGAATCCCTCAAATGACAATCTGCTGATTTAGGAAATGTAATGAACCGAAGGGTAAGTTGATTAAATTTATGAAAAAACTCATAATCTTATACCTGCTGCCATAGTTCTTGTTTAACTTCCCCTTTATTTGGTTTTGCAACATAATTACTACCAGAATATTTTTCTTCTTCACTGACACAAGTCATATGTTTCTTATAATCATCTCCCCTGCAATAAAACATATAATTTATTATTCACAAAATCTATCAATCATTTGTCAAATGATCACAAAATACAACAGGTCATACATCAGACAATGTAAGTTTTGTAGGAAGTTAGGCCAAACTAATTTTTAATTTGTAAGGGACTTGATATATAAATAGCCAACTGTGCCTCGTAAACAATTCTTTTGTATAAAATTTCAAAACTTAAAAACGTCGAACTAAAAGCTTTTGAGAAATACTTTTTTTTTTTTAGATTATTCCTCCCCAAACCACCCCTTACAAGAAATAAGAAACAAAATTGTAATAGGTGTTCCCTAAAAACAAAAGTTTAAATTGGTGTGGTCTAAGATTGGAAAGTTATGACTTACAGTATCTGAACAAGTTTTTCCATGTCATAGAAAACTTGATGAAACTGATCCCTGGGCTTTATCCTACTTGACTGAAATGGTAATATTAGTTTTAATACAAAATGAATCCTACCAAAATTCTTTACTACAGTCAACACAAGATACAACTTCACAGCTTCGACATTTTGTTCTGTAATGTATCTCTACTTTGTTTCTCTTCAAGGTTTCACCACATGTATTACAGTTGAAGTAAACCATTCTGTATCGAGTATTAGCCTTACCGTCTGAAATAAACAGTCTACAATAAATTAATCCATCATCAGGAGTAATATCAGTAGGCGCACAAAGGAAATTAATATGTACGCATAAATTTTAGTCATAAAACAAAATTATGGTAGCCTACTCAGAAAACACCATAACATAATTACAATCTTACTTATTTTATATTATGGTAAAACATGCCAATTGCCCACACAATTTTAACAGGCAGGGGGGCTATGCAAGAATTATGTTGAAACAATTTTATGTTCACATTTTTAGTACAGATACCTTGCCCACATACTAGTACTATTGTCAGTTGTCACAAGATTGAACTTTTACCATAGTTTTAAGCATATCTAGCTAAGAAGACACCAGAATTTGCCCAACACCCATACTCATGAGTCATATTTATACAAGGTTTATAGCTAATAATCTATTATGGTGACAATGCATTCTCTGTAAAGTAATACCGGTAATACTGGAATGGAAATTCAATTAAGTTTTCATTAATCATTGACATTTGACTGAGATCTCGAGTGAGAAGAAACTATTTGAAAGCATATAATTCCTGATAATCAGGGTTTGCGGGGTAAGATCGCAACAGTGATATAAGCTGAATCACTAGAAATAAATACATGTAAATGTACATGGTTGGTCGATAAAAAATGAGATAATTCAGATAATAATATTGTTTAAACCAACCATAAACATCAACACGTGGATTTGTTTAGGTGGGAATTAAAGTTGAATTTTTCAAATTTTGGAATATTTCTGTAAACGAACAGAAATTGTGAAGTATTAAAATTTAATGTCTAAATAGTTATTATATTTTGTTCTTCTATGTTCTGTATCTTCTTTGAATATGTAAAATGCTAAACTGTTATCCTATAAGTAAAATTTTATCTGTTGTTCAATGATTTATAAAAGGAACAAATTATATTTCGTTTCACATTTCAGAACCGTACATTTTCAATTTCGAAGAAAAATGGCTGCGCCCTCGAAAGAAAAATTTTATAATTAAAACTTTACCAGATTTTTCTGAAATTTTGACAAAATGACATCAGCAGATCTGAAGTCACTGTTCCATACAGAAAGGTGGTGTATTTTATTTATTAGAATTGGGTTATTTTGATTGATGGGTGGTTACACCAACTCAGACGTCAGGCATGAATATTTGTTGTGCGACTACGACTGGAGTCCAGTTACTCTGCAGAGAGAGAGAGATGGGGTTTAACGTCCACTCGACACAAACTAGGTCATTTCGGGACCAACATACGACCCAATTTTATTTCCATATTACGCTTGCGCGTAGGGTCTTTAGATCAGTGGTAGGAAACCGGAGGAACCGCCCGGGAGAAAACCCACGAGGTTGGAACAGACGACCCTTCTCCTTGTCATGTACAAGCGGGGAATCGAAACCACGCCAGTTGACTCAATGATAGACTGTATGAATGATACAGCGCACACGGGCTAACCATTCAGCCATCCAACCCCCAGGTTTCAGCAGTAGGTGGGCTGGCGCCTGACATATATTATTAACGTACTGTAGAAGCCTTCTCTCTTTGGTTGTTATCTTTTGCATTGACATTGCCCCTGGCTTTGATGCATATACAATTAGTAAGAAGTTCCAACTCTTATGCTTTTTCAACTTTCTTGCTAATATCTGGTAAACCCTAGCTGATTCACTCCGAGGCAAGTGTTTGGCGGAGAAAGTTGCTCATGATTCTCTGGGATGTTTTTCCCTGGTCAGTGGTTTAGGACAGATGGCCTGGTACGTACGGAACAGCGTCTAGTCATTCAGATGGCATGAAGAACTGTTCCGATTGGCATGCCCGTAAAAGAACCCAGATTGGTCAAAATTTCATGCATACACCTATCTTCATTAGCCCCGATTGTGCAAAAAAATAGAATGTTAACCCCCATTTCATTTCATATCAACTCAGTAATACAAGTACCAGTACTGTACATACACATGACATACACGCTTACACTGAAACCAGGCTGCATTCCGTACATGTTTTCATGCATTTCTATGCCAGTTAATTTGGTTGTAATTTTTGTGCCATGACGGGTGTAGGTAACTAGCATATAACTTATTTCATATTATGAACTTGGACATGTAATGTAATTGATATTTCTAAATCATTTCATCTTTCAGGTTTCCCAGAGGTGCTATAAAGATAGGCTTGGTTTTATACTTTCCTTTAGGACTGTTTTTAGCCACACTTCGTGTTTTTATATTTCTTCATATGATATTGATTTGTCAGATTCTACCTCATCGATCCAGTATAAGAAGGTATAAATGAATTCTGAAATATTAATGTTGCTGGTCCCTATCATGCCTCTTTCAAACAATATGGTATAATTTTTACTCAAATTGATTATTGAACATTTGATTAAAGAGTGTATGGCTCTATTTTTCTGAACCTTAAATAGGTCTAAAAGCATGAATGAAGAAAATAATGTGATTTATATTTAATTTTTAAAATATTTATTGAAATTTCTAATCAATTACGATATTATGTACGATATTGAAAAAAAACCATTTTACCCTAAACTTACATGATCTTTTATTCTTTCAGGTTTGTTGTGAGGGTGATATCGGGCGTACTTGGATTTTTTATTACGATTGAAGGAAATAAAAATGACAATTCTGCAGCCAAATTGATAGTATCAAATCATATCTCTGTAACAGACAATTTCCTAATAGATTTGTTCTTCCCTAATGTAGCTGTAAGTGTTTGTTAAGTATGATTTGTACTTTTGTTGCCTAAAATAGCTCAGGATTTCCCAAGCCCCACTCTCACTTTTCAGGAGTGTGCCTAGTTTTTCGGATGGTACAAAATACCAAGCCCCCCCCCACCTCCTCCCTGTAGACATTAGCGGTACATGTAAAAGAACCCTTGACAGTTCGAAAGCGAAAAGTAGTCTGTGAAAAATTATCCCCCTTGCATGTAACCATTGATAAGAAAATTCCTAAATGTTAGTCTCAAAATTATTGAAGTATGAAACCCGAATAATTTTAACGTAGGGATTGAACATTAAACAAAACAGTGATTCCAACAATGTAAATATTCATTATTATTATTTTCAATTTAATGATTTAGATGCTCCATTTTGCCAAAAGAAGCTTATTCCTTCAGAGAGGAATATTACATACTGGTAATAAAGAATTAAATTTTTAAGGATATCCGAATTTTGTATTGTTAATAATGAATTGATAATTTTTCAGCCCACAGAGCAATTACCCCCATTATTTATTCAGTTATTGTCAAAGTATAAACAGCTATCTGGTAATACCAGTAAAGAGGAATTACTCAAGGAAATCAAGAAACTTGTACAAGGTGAGTTTTTTGTTTGTAAGTCTTTTTGGAATCTGAAATCTTCGTAATATCTATTTTCTACATAGGGCTTTCACGGCAACAGCTTGGTATCCGGGTACCTCTCTCTTCCACAATTGTATATCCCATAAATTGGGCAGATAATTTGTTTTCAGAAGGGGGGTTGGATGGCCGAATGGTTAGCACGTGCGCGCTGTATCATATGATCTGTCATTGAGTCAACTGGTGGGGTTTCGATTCCCTGGTTTTTATGTGACAAGGAGTAGAGTCGCCTGTTCAGCCTCGTGGGTTTTCTCCGGGTCCTCGGGTTTCCTCCCACTGCTAAAGACCCCTACGCGCAAGCGAAGTATTGAAATAAAATTGAACCATGTGTTAGTCCTGAAATGACCTTGTTTGTGTCGAGTGGATGTTAAACAACATTTCTCTCTCTCTCTTGTTTTTAGAAATAAAGATATGATAATTATTTGTAGTGTCTCGTCTATAAACTAATTCTTAAAGTAGCTATATCTCTTTGTTTTTGAATAAAGTATTTAATTGGATTAATCTGATGTGACCATCTGTAGTTCACATTACTTTCCACCGATTTTTTGCATCTCAAACCTTGCACTACATGTAAAAGACCCGTAGAATTTGATGAAGAGTAGGTGAAAAAGCCACAGTCCAGCCAAAATTCTCTTTTCTTGCATTACAGGAATATTCAGAGAATATAATGAAATTCTTTGGAATTGGCTTTATTAAATTTTTGGCACCTAAAAGACAAGTCAATTTCTGAGTTTGATAATGAATGTATATATCATGTATTTTACAGCACAAGATTTTGTAGAAAAAATCATCATGAAATTTAATTTCAGAGTCAAAAGTACCAGTTTTGTTTTATCCTGAAAAGACCACAACAAACGGAACAACTGGTTTGTTAAAATTCAGGTAAATGATTACAAAGTTATAAAAACGGTCATCAACACTAAAAAACTTAAAAGTAAAATGATACAGATACTTTAATAGTTTTACCATTTCCAAGGTAATAACCATCTGGGCCCGGCTGACTAATTTGGAGCTTATTACGAATAAATGAAGATGGCATTAGTATGAATAAAACTCAAACAATAGTTTCAATGTTTCTAAGTTTATTCTATTTCCCCCTCTTGATACACCCACATGGAAATGTGGTCGTATATTGTCATCGCCGTCCATCATCCACTATTCCTTGTGCACGCTCTACAGACTACATTAATCATCTGATCTTTTGCAAAGTTATAAATGTTGTTGACATGTATGTTTCATTGCCTGGCAATCTATCTTTTCAGTACCATACCATTTCGACTATAACATATTTTATTTCACCTTTTTTTCAGTACTGTACCATTTGAAATTGATGAAACTATAAAACCGGTAAGATTTAACCCATTATTACTGGCAACTATGGTCACCAGCTTCAAATGCCCATTTCTATTACATGCTATTCTGATAATGGGACTGACCAGGTAATGACAATTCGTTATTTGTCATTATGGTCACCAGTTTACTCTGCCCATTGCGGTATTTGTCGATATGGTCACCAGTTTACTGTGCCCATTACCATTCTAGACTTTTCAAATAATACAACGGAACCCGGTAACTGGATCCACCAAATAGTTATGTAATGTGTGTTGACCCAGTGACTGGGCACCACAGATAGTTATGTAATGTGTGTTGACCCAGCACCACAGATAGTTATGTAATGCGTGTTGACCTGGTGATTTGACCCTGTCTAATGGTTATAAAAATCGAATTATTCTATTTTTTTATAGTAATGATCATTGGTTTCTAAATATCTGGATTACTAATTTTACAGGTAGCTGTACAGTATAAAAGACCGACTTGCTTTGAAGTAAATATGGTAAGTATCTAAATTATATATTTGACATTAGTGTAGAACATTTCATGATTTTTTATTAGATCTTTTAGGTATCATGAATTTTTCGGATGAAATCTAATTCTTCACAGCTTAATCCACTAGAATTCATTATATAACATTTAATAAAGAATTTAAAAAATCAGGGTAGATAATCTCCCTGCTTGGATTGAATCAGATTAAAAACATACCAACAAAAATCATACATTGTGCTGGCTTATGTTAACTATATATTATATAGGCTATCGTCTGCAGGGAATTGTAAGCGATGTCACTTCGATGGAAGCGGACTTTAAAATAGAGCCATTCCACACAGTCTGCTATGGATGCCCAATGTTGACCCAAGAAATGTTTAATTCATCATTTCTTTGTAAATACTTAACAGAATAGAACCAAATTGTTTAAGTGGCATTTAGTAACTTGTATTCCATATAATTGTGTCATGTGTTAGAATAGAACCATTTCTGTACTGATATTCCCTGTGGAGACTAAGCTTGCACAGTATTGAAATGTGCTAGAAAAACAATCCATCATTTGAAAATCAGAGACATTAAAGATAGGTTCCCAGAAAAGTATTTATCGGGTGGTTATTTCCAATAAAAGTATGGCAATTTTGGTATATATGAAAAGTAGAAATACCCAATCTTACTAGAAAAATACTGGATGCCCTGAAAAACACTCCCGGAAGGCATACAGGACAAAACTATAAGGGTTTCCCTAATCGACAGCCCGACGATTAGGAGTGCCTGCACACGTGACGTCAAAGGTCGTACGCGGAGATTGAGTGCTTGATGTACATGTTGATAAACTGTATGAAGAGTTACACGTACAACAGTTTCTGAGTTAAAAACCACGGAAAAAAACTTGGGCAGTGGATAATCAGAGAATTTAATAAGGATTCGATATTTGTAATAAATAGTCAACGATTAAAGACAACATCGTCTTGTGTATGCAATGAATTCTCCTCCGACTTCGCCCCTATTGCTAGGTAAAGACAGAGTTAAGTCATGTTACACGAACATGACCTCTTTTGATCGATTTTTTTATAGTAAGGGTATTCCTTGGCAATTGCAATATTTTGAGAAGGATTTGAAGCAAAATTATGACAAATTAATTATTTGAATATGTTTTTAGTCCAAATATATCATCAAATCACCCAGTTTTAAGCGGGAATGTATCTTTAAACTGATTGGTTGACCTAATTTTGTATTCCTCCTCTATATTTCTTGTTTTAACCCTGTTTAAACCATTCTTATTTTCAGACTACATTAGAAAGTAGCTGGTTGGGTGATATTTTTTGGTGTTTTTTCGTGCCATGTACGTTTTATAAAATCAGGTATGTTTTAAAACTAAAACATATAATGTCGATCCAAACAGATGTTATCATATCAATTATAATATGTACAGAACAGAATTTGATCATTTTGGCCTGATATTCATAGTAACATTGAGAGTATATTCTTTGAAACCTTGTCAAAATAAAGTAGCATTTGTTCTTCCATAAGTGTGTGCTATGGGGAGAGAGAGAGAGAGAATTTTGGGACTAACATATGGTTCAATTTTATTTCAATAATTCGCTTGTGCGTGGGGGTCTGTAGTAGTGGGAGGAAACCTGAGGACGCGGATAAAACCCTTGAGGTTGGACAGGCGAATCTACTCCTTGTCACATACAACCGGGTAATCGAAACCATGCCAGTTGACTCAATGAAAGACCTTTTGACACCACGCACATGCACCGACCTTTCAGCCATCTAACCCCCCTGATGCAGGATAGAGGACCTGGCAAGGAAAAGCCTATAGTCATTTGGATAGGCCAAAAAATACAGTCCTATCCTTACCAATGGCAGCATGTTGTAAATTAAAATAAAAGAACAATAATGTCAGATGTTAAACCCCATTTCATTTCTATTTTTCAGTGTTTTACCAGAAGTCAAAAAGAAAGAAGAAGAGAGTGTTGAAGAATTAACAGAACGTGTGAGATCAAGTATTGCTAAATGTTTAAATATAAAAACAACAGAATTTACATTCTCTGATAAAACAGAACTTAAAAAACAAAATCAGAGAAGAGTTACAGTTACAAATGTTAGTTCTACGCCATCTGCAAGTAATAGTAAGTAGTTACATCATCATTGTAATTAGAGATGCATTATGTAAGAATTAGATGAAGAACTGGCTGTTCTTGCTACAATAGTTCATGAAAAATGAATATGTTGAAAATTTCATTCAAATTACTTTATTCTGAGCGAATTTATGAGTGTTTGAAGTTTTGAGAAGATTTACGTCTAGAGAGTTGATTATAGGCTTGTCTAAATAATAGTTTATATAGCATTGGAATAGGCAGATTTAGCTCTTATATGATACATCTTTAATAATAATAATTATTTATTCATTTATATAGTGTAATAAAATCCAGCCAACAGCTCCTCAAAGGTGCTTTACAAAGCCTAGACATGGAATTCATATTTCTTTATCATCAAACAAATTATTAGTTTTTAATGAACATATAAGCAAAATACTGTGATCGCCAATTGGTATAATTCAGTAGAAAAAAAACAATTAAAAAGGAAATCCCAGTTTTCACTGTATTTCTTTAAAATGTCCAAATCAAACACAAATGGTGAAGAATTAGCCCATTTAACCAGTTAAGCCTCCTTTGCAAATGATCGCAAAAAACAATTTATAAGGGTTATGTGCTGGTCTCCATGTTTTTTTACTGATAATGAAATTCTTGGAACATGTTAATTAAAACAGTTGTCCAAGCACATCTGCATGTACAAGACAACTGGACATTGATATACCTTAAAAAATGTATCACAAAGCTTCAAGTGAAGAGTTTTCCACACAGAGTCCAAGACACAATGAAAATGCACCAATTTGATAAATATGTCTTTAGAGCCCTTTAATTTTCTGTCTACAATAACATTTTAATATATTTTTTTATCCTTAACTCTTTTTTGTTTAGATAAACCTAGAGTTATAAAGCCTGTAACTATTCAGCGTGTTTTATCTAATGATCCTGTTATAAATAACATGGTACAACAAGTTAAAACAGTCATGCCACATGTACCTTTATCAGCTATTTTACAAGATATAGGTTAGTTACTTCTATTATTATATACAGGAACGTATATCATGTTTGTTAGACAGCAGCGTTTCTGCCTACTCTTCATCGTATTCCAGCTGTCGAGGGTTCTTTTAAGTTAACACCATTAAGGACACGGGTAGACCAGTTTTTTGTTCCATCCAAACAACTAGATGCTTTTTCTTTGTCAGACCCTTCATCCTGCACAAATGACAATGGGAAACAAGGCTGGAAAATCCAGAGAAACTTTCTTAGCCAACATTAGGATCAAACCAGGATCACCATGTTAGTGATTTAAGGCTGTACATACTGAGTCGTGGCTGCTCCATATCCTGACAGAACCATGTACATTGAAGATCAGTACGGTACACAAAATGAAATGAAATTGGGTTTAAAGTCCTACTGGGCTAATGAAGACAGGCATACGCCATTCAGTGTGCTATGAGGGAAACTTTGCCCGGACAGCAGCACTACGGCCTACTCTTATATCGAATTCCAACTGTCAAGGCATCTTTTATGTGCACGTCAATGTGTACCTGGGACCTTGTTCCATCCGAACAACTAGGCAGCTGTCCTTGTCAGGCCCTCCGTCCTGCATCACTGACAAGGGGGAACCAAGCCGGAAAATCTGGATGAACTTTCTCGGCCAGTGCATTTCGGAGGAATATGGGTTAATGACATCATGCATTTGACATTGACAAGACTGGAAACGGAGGTAAATCAACTAGTTTGTGTTCTGCTAGTAATTTATTTTGTTTTTATTTTCAGAAAAAACTAAAGATATCGATTTAACAATAACTAATATTTTAGATGGGATTGTCCAGTATACACCAGAAGAAAACGATAACCAGAAAAATACAGACAGCGAACAGAAACAAAAATTAGTTTGCGTAAGTTGTATTTTATTTATCTGATCTTTACTGGTCAGAAAAAACGAATTAATATATTACGTTTCATATATATCTCAGAAGGTGACACAGTGAGTATGGCTCAGATTCACTAACTGTTGACCGAGAAAGATCCCACCTTTACCGAAAACCTAGATTACGTGATAAAGGCTACAGTTTTTGTCAGATTCTTTACAAATTTGGTGTAACCGTCTGTTTATAAGTTTCCTGCCCCACCCCCCCTCCAAGCTTCTGAAATGAACATAGGTTATATTTTCTTGAAGGCATGTGACTTATCCCCCCCCCCCACCTTCAAGCTTCTGAAATTAACATAGGTTATATTTTCTTGAAGGCATGTGACTTCTCAATGGTGGTGAACAACCAAGATTCCTTTAAGATAATCTGCTGTGTGGGGTTAATGGTTATAAATAAAAAAGCAAAGAAGCATAACACAATTATTGACCAAGCGACAAATCTCTGTACACAGTTTCATTCACATTTTTTTTTATTTCAGCCATCCACTCAAACCTTTAAATCGTCTACATTTGGTCGTACATCGAATGACAGACAGTTATCTTTTGAAGAGAGAAAAACGGCTATGATAGAAGCAGCCAGACGAAAATATAAAGAGAAACATAATCTCTCTTAGTTTCTTCCAACAGTTGTGACAATTTGAAACTAAATCCATAATTTTTATAACTCTGGAGATTAAAGTTAGCAGAAATAGATTTTATTATTTTTAATATATTGCTGAAATGGTTATAAATGACCATTTTTATCTTGTGAGTTTTGGTATGTAATTCTAATAAAAGGAGCTGGAAGCATTGATGGAGAACATTTTAAGCGAAATGGTCTATGTTGTAGTCACTGTTTTCTATATTTAGCTGGTGAGCTTTAAAAAAGCTCTCCTTAATTGGCAAAAGTAAAAAAATTGACCTCCTAAAGGAGCTCTCTCAGTTTGGACGTGGTGAGGTATTTGGTAAATAAGGATGGACGTGGTGAGGTATTTGGTAAATAAGGATGGACGTGGTGAGGTATTTGGTAAATAAGGATGGACGTGGTGAGGTATTTGGTAAATAAGGATGGACGTGGCAAGGGATTTGGTAAATAAGGATGAAAGTGGTGAAGGATTCAGTAAATAAGGATGGACGTGGTGAGGGATTTGGTAAATAAGGAGCGTTATATCCTAATAATAAGGACAGTGATTTGTTCCACGGGTACAGTACCAGTTTTGAATCTGTTTGCCAGGACTTCGTTCTGTGACTTTTGACGACTTGTCTATGACTTAAATAAATTATTGAAATTAAGGGGAGTGGTGTTCAGATGTACAGTGACCACAAGAATACTCTGCTTGATCAAGATTCAGGTGCTTAATGACTCTCAAGCTCAACCGAACAGCTTAAAAAAAAAAATGGCTGATTTTTAATAGATATTGATGATACATGCTCATACAATGTTTGAAAATGTTCTAGGTGTAGCATTAGGTTTAATGGAGTAATTCCCAGTTTTCACTGTGCCTGCAACAAAGGTAAAGCATTCAAACCAGTCTTAAGCCCAGAGGTTTCCTCCCACTGCTAAAGACTCCTACACACAAGCGAATTATTGAAATAAAATTGAACCATGTGTAAGTCCCGAAATGACCTAGTTTGTGTCGCGTGGGCATTAAACCTCATTTCTCTCTCTCTCTCTTAAGCCCAGACATGTTTCATACACCAGAACAATGTAAGATTTTTTTTCCAAGAGAATAACATATATGTCTTCATAATATTTTGTAAATAGGTAAAAAAAAAAAATCATATATAGGGTAGAGATTATGCATGTTCATAATTATGCTTGTGTTTACGATTCATAAATGATTCAAAAGAGTTTGGGGATGTTCATTGTATATAACTACCGATCGCAGCCTACATCAATATTTTTGTACATACATGTAATTGATTATATTGGTAGAGATACTTTTATTGTGGTGAGTGTACTTCAAAAACCTTTTTTTATCGCAGTTTTAATTGCCCCCTGCCTGTCGAGAATCAAGGACATAATAACTCTGCTTCTGATTGAGGTAGAATGTTTGATAATGAGCATCTTCTGCTACAGATAAGCAGAAATAAGAAATTTCATTGGTCGAGAATTTGGGACTCAATAATTCTGCTTCTAATTCAGGTAGAATGTTCATCCTTGCTGTAGATGTTCATTAGGTAAATGCCTTGACAAGGGTTTGCTGATGAGTATTTTCTGCTTAGGCTAAGATATGCTTACATTTCGTGACCTTAACAAAATCTTCAGGTGAGCTTAATATTTAGATCTGACCCTTAAATACAACTTAAGTTATTACCATTGGGTTGTTGATGAATAATGCAACTTTTACTTGAAGCAACTTCAACACATTTACAGTAGGCCTATTAGACCATGTTTTAAATAAGTTTGATCAGTTTATAACATTTGATAATTTGACACGGAATGAAAGGAAAATTGATCAAACTCAGCATTTATAATAACCACTACAGGTATTCTCGAGTATTAAAATTATTGAAATTTATTATAAAGTTAATATATTACAATATATACATTGATTTGTTGAACAACAAATATAAGGTAAATATATTCAACATGTATATTATGTATAATTTGCCAATTTAATAAAAAAAAAAAAACTGATTTATAACTATGTGTTACAGTTATTCATATTAGAACCAGTGTTCCCTATAATTTTGGTGGTTTGGGTGGACGTAGGGGTATAACTGTATATCATAAGATATTGAGTCATGTGGCATGTTATAGATTCCCTGCTTGTACGTGACAAGGAGTAGGGTCGCATGTCCAACCTCATTGGTTTTTTCTGGGTTCTCCGGTTTCTTCCCACTGCCAAAGACCCCTACAATCAAACAAATTATTGAAATAAAATTGAAGTGTTGAACCATATGTTAGTCTCTCTAGCATTAAATATATTAATGCATGTATTCAGCACTAACTGCTGGCAGTAAAATTGTAAAAAAATGCAATGATGGTGTAAAAACAGATGCAGAAATGAACTTTTCCCACACAAAGGATCTACTGGACACCAGGTTAAGTACATAGTCTCCAGTTTTCACCATGCTTGTTACAGCTGCTGTTTTCAGTCTGGTCAATATTTTAGTGTGGTGTCATTAAAATTCCTACTACACTACCAAATCTTGGTGTAAATTCCGAGTACCATACTAATTCTGGGTGTAAATTCCTAATTCATGGTATAAATTCCTAGTACTGTACTAATTCTTGGTGTAAATTCCTAATATCGTACTAATTCTTGTTGTAAATTTCTAGTACCATATTAATTCTTGGTGTAAATTTCTAGTACTGTACTAATTATTGGTGTAAATTTCTAGTACCGTACTAATTATTGTTGTAAATTCCTATAACTATACTAATTCTTGGTATAAATTCCTAGTAAAATACTTATTCTTGGTTCAAATTCCTAGTAAAGTACTTATTCTTGGTGTCAATACAGATTCAGTTATAATGAAGAAGGTTTTGCATATTCAACATTGAATGGCCAAAAATCCTTATAAAGGAAAAGATTATTGGTTTGTCCAGTTAGAGAAAGAGATAAATTAGAACAATTTGATATGCCTGTAACATGATAATTTATATCAACTAATAGAATCATTAAATATTTGGGTTATAATTTGATATAATTCACTGTTAATGTCTTTAGCCGCATCAATGATTAATTGTTCATCTTTAAGAATTATGCCGTCTTGTTTTAATGATTTCGTTATTTGAATTTTGACATCGGCTAATTTTGAAGATAAATTCTTTAAATCATCTTTTGTTGCACCATTTCCTGAAGAAGAGGAAGATTAAACTTTGTAGAAGTCTGACTCTAGGTAAACCAATTTAGAAACATAAAATACTTGGTTGTTCTTCTCAAAAGTTCTAGTTGAAATTTTTTAAAGATGGGTTCCCAGAAAAGTAATTATGGGGTGGTTATTTTCAATAAAAGTATGGTAATTTTGGTATATATGGAAAGTAGAGATATCCATTCTTAGTAGAAAAATACTGGATTCGCCGAAAGACACTCATGGAGCGTATACAGGACAAAAATGTAAGGGTTCCCCTAATCAACAGCCCGACGATTAGGAATTTCTGCACGCGTGATGTCAAAGGTCACACGCGAACATTGAGCGCTTGATGTACAAGTTGATAAACTTCATGAAGAGTTAGACGTACAACACTTTCTGAGATAAAAATGACGAAAAAAGACGCGGGTAGTGGATAATCCGAGAATTTAATTAGGATTCGATATTTGTAATAAATAGTAAGCGATTAAAGACAACATCGTCTTATGTATGCAATGAATTCTCCTCTGACTTCCAAGAGAGGTAAGTCACGTGACGTAAACATGACCTGGTTTGATCAATTTTTTATAGCAGGGCATTCCTTCGCAATTACAATGTTTGAGAAGGATTTGAAGCAAAGTTATGACAAATTAATTAGTATATATATGTTTTTAGTCCATATATACCATCAAATCACCCAGTTTGTATGCGGGAACCCATCTTTAATGTCCTCTCTGTTGAAAAATATCAAAAAAAACACAGACAACCTCAATTATTTTTAAGTATTTCAATCTACAATTGGCCAATTACTGATTTTGTACAAATAATGATTAGACCTTCCGATATGCAGCTCAAGTTTCAGAGGGATGTGAAATCGTTGTTTCGAAGCTTGCTATCGCACCATTTATGCAGCCATATTAAGACCTATAAATATTACTTATTTTATAGTGGTGGTGAGTCAAAGGTTGTATCTGGTATATTTTACAATAACTTTTTTACATCATAAGAGGGACCATAGGCCAAAGTTGAAAATTGTGACAAAGTGCCACATGAAGTTGGTGATGGGTATATCTCTATTTGATAATTAAAGTTGATAATGTATGACCCTAAAAATCGGCCTATAGTCTAAGAATTAGAATATTCTTGCATCTAGTTATGGTATTTCTATGCCAATATAATGTTTAAATTAAATCAACTGATAGTAAAGTAGTTCCATTGGGCGCTGGGGATCACGTGGCTAAGTGGGTAAGGTGTTGACTCGCTAGCCTGGAGGTCGGGTGTTCGATCCCTGCATTGGCCGAGAAAATTCATCCAGATTTTCTGGCGTGGTTTCCCCTTGTCAGTGATGCAGGACGGAGGGCCTGACAAGGAGAGCTGTCTAGTCGTTCGGATGGGACGAAAAACCGAGCTCCTGCGTGCAAATTGGCATGCACGTAAAAGATCCCTTGGCAGTTAGAATTCGATATAAGAGTAGGCCGTAGCGCCGCTGCCCAGGCAAAATTTCCCTCATAGCACATTGTATGGCGTATGCCCGTCTTCATTAGCCCAGTTTAGGAGCAAACAGTAGGACGTTAAACCCCATTTCATTTCCATTGGGTGCTCAGTTCCCTATGTTCAGTCTAATACCCCCCCCCCCCCCAATTTTGCTTTATGTTGTCAATCATGGAATGTCAGCTGAGCCGCTTAACATTATTATTCATTGGTTATAAAACTGATATCTTACTTTTAGCTTGTACCATTTGTTCCGATATAAGTTGACGAATAATTAAATCAGCTTGATGGATCATATTAGCTGAAGTTAATCTCTGACTTTCAGCTATTATTTCTGGATCTGTTTCTTCTTGGGGTGCAACAGGGTTTGATTTAACGAAATGAATGAAATCCATAAACTTACTCCTAGAAAAACAACTTAAGAATATTACAATTCATTATGAAACATAAAACTTTCATTCAAAATTAGAAATTTTTCTCTAGATTAGACATCTAAATGAAATGAAATACGATTTAAGAGACTAACCTTGATAATTCTTGTAAATTGGCTGAATATTGTAATGAATATCTTTCCCAGGAATTTGTTGCATCTGGAATTTGAAATTTTTCAGACATTTTTGTTATAACAAGTGGATTAACAATACCATTCTTCCTTTTGGAATTTCTTTCTAAAGCAATTTCTAGTGGACATTCAACATAAATTTGACAGAAGCCTAAAGAATCTGAAAATATATAATATACATATTCACTGTAGTTTGCCATACAACAAATATACATCCAACCTTTTGAAGTGTGGCTTTCATGTTTTCAGGATAAGCAGCAATAACTAAGCATAAATTGGTGGGCAAGTCTTAAGTTCCTCCTTTTGATTAGTCCTTAGGACTAGCTGAACAATCTCAGCTAGTTTACAAGGTTTCGGTGACAGTGGTTGTAACTCTGCAAAAAATGATTGCAAGACTCTGGATTTCTATAGGACAAACTGACAGCATTAATTCTCGAAATATGGGTGCATTATTTCGAATTTCAATAGGATTCCTCCTCTTCAGGACTAGTCAAACAATCCCAGTTTGTTTAAATATGTAGGGTGTTTACAAATATTGTAGGCCTAAATTATTTGACTGGAATTTGGCAAAGGGGATGAAAATCCATCAAAATATGTCTCACCAACCTTCTGGATCTGTCATAGAGAAATGGGGTTTAACGTCCACGCGACACAAACTTGGCAGAAGGGATGAGAACTCATCATAATACATCTTACCAACCCTCAGAAATAAGGTTTAACATCCACTATGTCATTTCGGAGCTAACATGGTTTAATTTTATTTCAATAAATCGACTGCTGTAGTGGTCTATAGCAGTGGAAGAAAATCGGAGGACCCTGAGAAACCTACGAGGTTGGATAGGCGACCCTACTCCTTTTCACGTACAAGCTGGGAATTGAAACCACACCACTTGTCTCAATAACAGATCTTATCATATAAAGCATATGTGTTAAACCATTTAGCTACCCAACCCCCCTATCTGCCATGGCAGAATAATGTTGCATTTGATCATCATTAGGTCATAGTTAGGTGATCAACAAGTCAGGAAATAAGGAACCTGTTGCAGACATTGTCTGGCACAAAATCAATATAGTGCTTGTTACTTGTTCAGCACAGATTTTTATGTGTTTTTAGGATATTATTAATGTCATGTTCAAAATCGTAGAGTTCTTTAGCAGTGGGAGGAAATTGGAAGTCCTGGTAAAAAATAGCGAGGTTGGGTAGGGTACCCTAATCCTCGAGATTGAAACCACGTAACTTGACTGAATGACAGATGTCTGACCACTTGACTTGACCACCCAATCGGGCAGGATATTGCATACTACTTACAATTTCTCGCTAGTTGATAATAATCATATCTCATACTTCTATAATACATATTATCGTCTATAATAATAACAACAGATGTATTATCAAGATCCACTTTCTCAAACGCATTGTTCATTATTTGTGAATATGGATTAGCTACATCATAATCAGATGATCCTTGGTGAGTCATTAATGCATCATGTTTACTGTCAGGATTAAATTCACAACAATCGTCATCAGTCACTTCTTCTTCCGAAGAATGGTCTATTTGTTTTTTGGTGACTTTTACATTGTTTCTATTTAAATTAATGATCTGCTTGTCTATAATGTCTTTGAATTTTTCTAGTAATCTGTGATCTATGCCATCCAATGTAAAATCAATTGTATTATGTGTGTTTGTTTTCAAGATCAAATATTCAATACATTTGACAATTTGTTCTCTGTAGCTCTTCCAGGAATTATTCTTATTAGACTGAAAAATATAAAATATTTTTTAAATAATTTACCAAATTATCTGACTCATTCTAATCGTACAGTATACAGGTCACATCTCTATGGAATACAAGAAGCCTAGTTGAAAAAGTTGCTCAGTAATAAGCAGTAATTAGAATTGTGTCCTGTATATTCCAGTTCAATTACTAACTGCAATTGAAACAATTGAATCGTACAGTAATTGCAGGAGGATCAAACACTGATAGTGATTTTGTTTACAAGATATTTTTTCTCCAAAGAATATAGCAATTTTAAGCATCATCCCTCGGATCGCAATTTTTATATACATGTTTTTAAAGTGTTTTATATAATAAAATTAAAAAATCAACTATTTGTTATATTTTAAGGCTAAATTCTTTCAAATTCCAATTTTATGACATGTAAATTGAGTGACAGGTAAGTTCGCTAGCAAGTCAATTTTATTGCAAGCCAATCAATAATACCTGATTTTCTATTAAATCTGTTTCAAGATCTGGTGGCATCAACTGGTCATACTCAATTAAAACTGGTAAATATTGTTCTGATTCCTGTTGCCATGAATGCAGGTAGTGACATAATGAGCTTTTACCTGAACCCGGTAACCCACACAGAACTAATATACAACAAGAAGGCTTCTTGGACTCTGCCATCTGAAGTTGGAAAGATGTGTCATGTAAGATTTAGATGAAGCTGGTCGTTTTTGCTATAATAATTCAAAAATAGATAATAAAAAATGAACATAATTTCTCGTGAGCGAAGTTATGACCGTTTATTATTGTAGCAACCATCCTAGGTCTAATTACTTGACAATCAAGACTAAATCTTGATTATTCATTTTATCATTAAATTTTTAAATCTTGCGGACGTTCTAATTCATTTAAATCTAGGCCATCTGATGGTCTAGAAACAGTAGGCCTACTAAGAGCTGATTAGTCATTTTATCATTAAATTTTTAATTAAATGTTCTAATTCATTTAAATCCTGGCCATCTGATGAACTAGAGGGTTGATTAAGGCTTGTCATGTTAATAAAAAAATGTAAAAAGCCAAAATAAAGATTGGCAATGGGAAGATTCGGCTCTTAATTTTAAATAACATAATGCATCTTTAATAAATGTTTACTTGAAAAATCACCTCATCATACACGAGAAAGTCACCTGAAGCCCTGTACATGACACATGTACTTTAATTTAGTGGGCCTATATATAAAGTTAAATAAATAATGCAGAATTTCTTTTTTTTTTTTTACAATAAATTTTCTGTTATTAACAGTGAATTATACTTTGATCACATGCACATTTCTGACATACTAAACATTGATTCTAATAACATAACATTTTAACTGATGAGAGAATGTCGCAAATTAGAATGTATCTAATCACTATCAACAATCAGTGAATCACAGCTGACTTAACATCAATGAACACGTGATTTTATTTTCACGTGCCCTCTGTCATTGATAACAACCCTGACAATAATATACTCAGTACATTATTAAAATAAAGAGATGGCTGGCTATGTGTAGTCTAGACCAGATTTATTTTGTGGCAATTAAATTACTGTTGAGCTGTCAAATAATATTAAACTGAAAGTAGAGTTCATTGAATGGCCAAATTTGATTGGCCGGGATGTTTTGGTTAAAGGGGAATAACAATTTACACTTTCAGGTTATTGAAATGTTGATAACTTTGTTTTGGCAATGATATCACAGCTGATTAATATTAATACACAGTGTCCTGACTGCTTAGGCTAGATAACACAAAACTGGGTTTGAAATTATCTCATCTAACGTCAGCACTTAATTCATACTTTGATTCATAACACGTGGTTTCCGCGGAAGCAGCCATTGTGGGCAAGGATACAAGAAAAATGTCCCTAATCTTTTGTAACTGTTGATACTATTGGTCGACCGAATTTCTCTTTGATACACGATGCCATCGTTTACAGATATTCCCATCCGCATTTTTCTATTCTAATCGAAGTCATAAAAATAATACACAATATTCATTGTTATGATCAATAAATCCAATTCCTAAAAACAAATAAAAGACTAAATTGCCATTAATACATAACGATGTAACAGCCAATCATAAACGAGAACACAAAATCTTTTGATCGTGACAGGCTCGTGTGACGTCAGAAGTAATTCACATGGCGTTGTAAAAAGAAGAAGCTGGACATTGCACAATCTTTGAGAAAGATTTTTTGTGTTTACTAGTGTATTTTTAATCATTACACATGTGACTGTAAGGAAAACTAAACATCTATCCTTGAATTTGCGGATAGATTTTGTATTACATAGCCACAGAAAGGTCGAAAATATCAAAATTTGTTGGGCCATACGGTCGCACAAGGTATTACGACTGGGCCAGTTGAAACTGCCTAAAAAAAACCTTAAAAGTGTGAAAATTTATCAAAACTACGTGTTGCTTGGAAACAAGTGTTCAAGTATTTGTTTCTAAGAAAAAACTGTAAAAATGGCCTCGAACGGTACAGAAGGCGAAACCAGCGCCGATCGAAATGTTGAAATGTGGAAAATAAAAAAACTCATCAAGAGTTTAGAAGCAGCAAGAGGGTGAGTAAAACAACTGTCTCGTCTGGCTATGATCCGCCTAAAAAAATGGATCGTTCAGGAAGTTATTATTGAAAATCAAATTTGATCAGGAATGTCTGTAAATCTCACAACAAAACATATTTCTCTGATCTTTATCTTAACATTTTGATAAAAACCAAAAACACATTGTTTAGGTGTCTGGTTAAAGTTAAATTGATTTCATTAATGAAATGATAGCCAACCTACTTTGGTATTGGTTGGGTAATACAATATAATTACTCAGACAATAAATTAAGTATATGTCTATATTATTATGTGCTTGTAATTTTCTGGATTTAATTATAAAGTTTTATGTTTTTGTCTTTTTCAGTAATGGAACAAGCATGATTTCGCTTATTATTCCTCCAAAGGATCAAGTATCGCGTGTAAATAAAATGTTGGCAGATGAATACGGAACAGCATCAAATATCAAAAGTCGAGTGAATCGACTTTCTGTTTTAGGAGCAATCACATCAGTACAACAGAGACTTAAGCTTTATAATAAAGGTGAAAAAATCCTTAAAAATTGCTTGAATAATGGCTGGTGTTGTTTTGCGTGTGAAAATTAAGAGGCAGAGCATTTTAGCCAAGTGATCTACCGATAAAGTGTAGTTCTGATGGCACATGTCTTCGAAATGCCTTCGAAATTCACAATGTTGTGAGTTAGTGTTATTGACCTAGTATCAAGAGTTGATATATGTAGCATATTGATTATTTTATTTACAAATGTTAGGTTCAGAGGGTATAATATATCTACAGTCTCACAATCATGAAGAAATATCATGAATTTTTAATGTGAAAGTGTATCAAGTACTTTTACATAAGCATTAAGTAATGAAGGCCTTGTTTTCATCCAATCTGTGAATTTGGTTTATTATAGCCTATTGTCATTGTTAGGGTTAACGACTCATAATTAATAATTCATTTACAAAGAGCCATAGTGGCTCAATAAACTGAATGTCCCTTGTTTGATCCCAGTGTTGTTGGCCGTGTATGTTCTTCAGGATTTTCTGGCATGGTTGCCCATTGTTGTTGATGCAGGGCAGGGGACCTCGCAAGGACCAGCACCTAAGCGTTCGGATGGGGTATAAATCAAGGCCCTGAAATTCAATTGCTGTCCAAGCAAAATTTCCCTCATAGCACACTGTATAGCATATGCCCATCTACATTAGCATAGTAGTAGGTGGTGTAGAAAAGTGGGATGTTAAACCTCATTTTCATTCATTTATTCATTGACAACAAGCACTTTACTGAAAATAAAATTTAAAAAGTGCCTTAAAGAATGAAACGTTACACTCTACATTTTTACACATATGTTGTCATATTAATAATATTATGTACTTTAAATTTATGTTCTTTGTTTTAATCATTCTGATGAATAATATCTGATAATCCTAGAATTATTGCCCTTGATGATTCAGTTATGTTCTAGAATCTTAGTCACTTACAACTTAACCGCTGTTGGTGGGGGTTTTTTGCCTGTCAATCTATCATTATTTAATTCCCTTGTATACCATTACCATCATCTTATTGATTCCCTGGCAGTTGGAAATAAAAATATGAGTAGTCTTAGAGTTTAGAATTAACTCAAAGTCCTAGCTCACCACATGACATATATGCTGTATTCCATCTTATTAACACGGTTGGTGCAGAAAACATATTAAACTCGATTGCATTTTATTTTACTAACCAAAAATTATGTATTTATTTAATTCCAGTACCTGCTAATGGGTTAGTTATTTATTGTGGAACAATTATAACAGAAGAAGGGAAAGAAAAGAAAGTGAACATAGATTTTGAACCTTTCCGCCCAATCAACACCTCACTTTATTTATGTGACAATAAATTCCATACAGAGGTAAAACTTGCTTTGTCTTTACAGGACCATTAATAAAAATTCTTTACTTTACAGGGACAAGACCAAAAGTCACAGTTCATAACAGATGAAATTTGAGATAGAATTTCAGTTCACTTTTCATATGCTGTCACCCCCATCAGTTACTCTGGTATCCACAATTATTTTTTACAGACTTCTCATCTTTTTAAAACTGTGGTATCAGTGAGATGAAGAATCCTATTGAAATTGAGCAATTTGTACTAATAATTTCAAGAGTCATTGTCCTTTCTGGAATCTTGTGTATGCTCTGCACCTTAGACAAGAGTATTCATTTGACATATGTTGCTATTCCTCTAATGGAAGACACAAGAATGACATGCTGGTGGTCAAGTTTGAAAGTTTATCAACATTTTGTTTTTTCAGGCCTTGACCGCTTTATTAGCAGACGACAATAAGTTTGGATTTATTATCATGGATGGTAATGGGGCATTATTTGGTACCTTATCTGGTAATACAAGAGAAATCCTACACAAATTTACAGTTGATCTACCAAAGAAACACGGTATGAAGCTTAATGCTTAGATTTTAGTCACAAAAACTTAACATCTAACATGACACTGTTATTGTAACATTCATCTTGACCATAAAGCAAATAACTGTCTTCAATATTTCTTTGTTTTATGTACTCCTAACATAAATACATCAAAAGTACATATAGCTTCGTTCATGGCATTGAAAATGCAACCACATGGATGACTCTATCTACTGTACATTTCCAACATCATGTACGATCAAGTATGGAAACAATGTATAGTAATAATACATCCAAAGGTTTGTTTGTTATAATGAGTTCATCTGTCAGTTACACTTTATGGAGTACAATAACTGCTTCTAATTCAGGTAGAATGTTCAATCATAAGAGTGATGAAAGTGGTGTCTTGTTTCATTGCATCATAAATTGACTAAGTTCCTTAATAAGCATCTCTTTTACTCATGTTGATGCTTTATAAAAAGATAAATGTGTAAGTATGTAATGCTTGCCATCCATTAAGTTGGAATGGAGACGGGGGACCTCAGTCACACTACTGGTGTGTGTGTTTTCTGACTTTTCTCATATATTTATCAAACTTCTCTCTTTCAGGCAGAGGAGGTCAGTCAGCTTTGCGTTTTGCTCGTCTCAGAATGGAAAAACGTCACAACTACGTACGTAAAGTAGCAGAAGTAGCTGTTCAACTCTTTATAACAAATGATAAACCTAATGTAGCAGGACTTGTACTCGCTGGTTCTGCTGATTTCAAAACCGAACTCAGTCAATCAGACATGTTTGATCAGGTATGGTCAATATTATAATATTAATCAATATTTCTGGGCTGAAATCGTCTAGAATTCTCTACCTGATAAATGAACAAAGATTATTCACAGATTTCTTTGTACTTGTGAGTAGGGCCTGTTTAGGAGCTGCAGGGCTCAATTTGGAACATTTTTGACAACATCAAAATATTTTACCCAACACTAGGTCTATTATATTGATGCAGTATGTTGCCAGATTTTCAATTCTGCACATATTTGTAAATACTGAACAAAATAGAACCATTTTTGGACTGATATTCCTTTTAGAGTGTCAATTTTCACAAAATTATAGTTTGTATTAGATTCAAAATGACACATGATGATGATGATGATGATGATGTTGATGACCAGAGTCTTTAATCCAATGTTGTTTTGTATTAATTTGTAGCGGTTACAAGCTAAGATATTAAAGATTGTAGATGTATCATATGGTGGTGAAAATGGTTTTAATCAAGCCATAGAATTAGCTGCTGATTCCTTAGCAAATGTTAAATTTATACAAGAAAAGAAATTAATAGGTAAGTAAAGAAAAATAATGATACAGAGTCTGTACTTCGTTACACAGTGGCTTGGTGAGTAAGGCACTGGATCTATAAACAGTATGTACTAACTAGGTACAATCACAGTGAAGATAATTCCTCAGAATATTCCAGTCAAGGGTTTTCATGGTAGCAAGCCCTAAAAATTGCTGTGATGATTTTTCGATCTGTCAATCCAATGAAAAAGGAATGATTTCAATCACTTAGATCTGAGCAAAATTGTTAAATAAATGTTTTACACCAACACGTGTCATCCATAATGGACATGTTAAAATAGACACACTTGTATCAAGTTAGTCTTTCAGATGGAAATAAAAACCGACATTCCTTGTATACTGTTGACAGCATGTTAAAGATTCCCTGACAACTGAAATAAAGAGTAGGCCTTGTTATCATTATGCGGGCAGAATTTCCCCAAAGCACATTGCAGAGACTGTATATTAGTCATCATTAGTGTAGAAAAGAACGACATTAAACCCCATTTCATTTCAATTTCTTCACTGGTTAGTACAGTAATAGATACTGGTATATTATGATAACAATTTTTGAAAGAAATTTTAATTTGAGCCTCAGTAACAAACTCGTGGTTCTCGATACTTGAAGACTAGGTTCAAACTATTGCTATTTGTCTACTTCATCTAAATAATATTTTGATTTTGTTATTATTTCAGGTCGTTATTTCGATGAAATTTCTCAAGATACTGGCAAATATTGTTTTGGTGTAGAGGATACGTTACGAGCGCTAGAAATGGGAGCTGTTGATACCCTTATAGTGTGGGAAAACCTTAATATTACACGATTTGTTGTACGAGATCACTCCACAGAAGGTAGGTTTACAAATTTATGTTTTCTCTAGACCATGGGCATGGATTTAGCGGGGGATGGGGGCCAGCCCCCCCCCCCCCTTAGAATTGGAGGGGGGGGGGGCTGGCGAATAGGTCTCTGGTCCCCCCCACTGATCGTAAGAACAGATTTTCAGGTTTATATCCACATGATGGTGAGCTTGGAACAAGAACTGCTATTCTTCAAGCGCCAGTTTTCGGCCAAATCTATTTCACTTGTGCCCGAAGCGTTCCTCATTATGTCACCTGAAGTGAGGCAGATGTTCCCTTCTGTCGAAGCTCTTCTCATCTCACACGGCTGAACCCTGCTTGTTCCTGCTCAGTCGAGCAATCCTTCAGCACTCTGCGCCGTATCAAAACTTGGCTGCGCAACTCCATGACGCAAAACCGAATGAATCACTTGATGGTGTGTGCGGTGCATAATGATCCCCTTCATGTCGCCAAGATATTCAAAGAGAACAGTCCTGATCGTAGAACGAACATCTTTGGACGATTCACTTAACTTCACGAACAATTGATATTTATGCTGTTTTGATGTAGATAGTCAATTTTTCCATATTTTTATATTACCCCTAGTTACAGTCTTCATCGAAATAACACTGGTACAGTAAACTGTTCGTAATTATTTATTTCGTTTGGTATGAAATGTTCCAGGTTCCAGGGTTCGTCTGCCTCCCCACCCCCACCCCCCCAAATTATGACAAATCCATGCCCTTGCTCTAGGCTATACCCATGGCAATCTCCTTGAAGTAGCTGGGCATCAGTTTTATACATGCAAACATTCAGCTATAGTGTACTAAAATGTGTGTTGAATGTCAGAAATTATGTGTGTATTTATGAATATTTATACTTAATTCCACTGAGCAGGGGATCACGGTGGCTAAGTGGGTAGGGCGCTGGCTCGCTAGCCTGGAGGTCGGGTGTTCGATCCCTGCATTGGCCGAGAAAGTTCATCCCGATTTTCCGGCGTGGTTCTCCCTTGTCAGTGATGCAGGGCGGAGGGGCTGACAAGGACAGCTGTCTAGTCGTTCGGATGGGATGAAAAACCGAGGTCCCGTGTACTCATTGGCGTGCACGTAAAAGATCCCTTGACAGTTGGAATTCGATATAAGAGTAGGCCGAAGTGCCGCTGTTCGGGCAAAATTTCCCTCATAGCACACTGTATGGCGTATGCCTGTCTTCATTAGCCCAGTTCGGAGCAAAACAGTAGGACGTTAAACCTCATTTCATTTCATTTCATTTCCACTGAGCAGCATGTCTTTGTTCAGGCTGTCTTTTATTTCATTATTACATGTATAATATATTTATTACATTATTTCTTTTCAGAAAATCGCATCTTATTTTTACAACCCGATCAAGAATCCGATAAAACAAATTTCACAGACAAAGATGTAAGTTATTCTCTAAATTAATTATCAAGTCCATCATATGTTTTATGTATTTGTAACTGCAGGTATAAACCCCATTTCTTTTCATTTTCAACCTCACTAATTTGTCTTTGGGTTCTCTAACAGGAAGTGTTCTCTATATTCAAAACAGGAAGTTTTTCTCTCTTAAATAATGTAAGCTTAAAGTAGCTAAGTCTCTAACTCAATATCATTCAAAGTCTTCGACTTGGAAAACACGAATTTTTTGTCAATTTAAATCAACACTGATGTTGTGGTCTATCCGGGAAAAGATGGGCTTCTGATATTCATTATTTAAGACAAAATAAACATTTTATCATTGGTACACGAATCGTGTACCATAATGCCGTTTCAACGCCATTTGTAACAAGGGACAAGAAGAACGAAGCTAGACATATTCCACAAGTCATGTCGAACGGTGATGCCATTGCTTATCTGGAGAGCATGCCCAATAAAAAATATCGATGTAGAATGGAATAACCAAGCGCTAGAGATTCTTATTCGATTGAGACTTCTGGCGTATTCCGCCGAATATAACTGATTAGAAATTACAGTTAAAACAGAAACGATTGAATGTAAATCAGTTTATATACATTCATAATACATTATTATGCGTTGCGAACCATATGAGTCAATTTCTAGGTCCCAAATATTAGCGATTTAGCTCCTTTAAATAAACAATAAATGTTATATTAGTATATTTTGTATCTGTGTTGGTTGGGTTTTTTTAGACTGGAGTTGAAATGGAAATGGTAGAACAAGTTTCGTTACTAGAATGGTTTGCAAATAATTATAAAAATTTTGGTAGGTGTAATTCATATCATAATTTCTAGACCTACAGGTTTGAAAGATTGCAGATTCACTGGAAAAAAAAAATACAGAAAACCTGGAAAATTATTTTGTCAAATGGTACAATCTGTATTAGAGATATTAAGATGCCTTTGTGTTACTGGTGAAATTATAATTGTTTCCTCAGCGTCAAACAGGGCAAATATTAATTAAGATGAATCTAAGAGAATATGCTGGTCTTTTTTAAGACTTGTTTTTAGATTTAACTTAACATTAGGCAACACAAATAAAATAACTTGTTTCTCGGGCACCGCCCGCACGCAAAATTGGTTGCGCGTGCAGTCTATTTATTAGTCTTGATGAAAAAAAATAAATATGTAACGCCCGCCCGCACATCGACAAGCAAGTCGTAAAAAAAATATCCCGCATGTACCTACATCCGCCATACATGTATATCTATTCAAATGTATTAAAACTGATTCAGATGAACATGCTGTCTTTTTTATCCGAACAATGGCGAAGTTTGGCAGATTTGCCTTTTTTATTGATATCGAAAGAACCTCCATTTTGTATCACGTGATATTAATTACCTCCCCTGATAAACTAGAATTTGATTCGTGTTAAAAGTCATTGGCGACAATATTTCAATCATTCGATCGTAATCGGCTCATTATTGCCGGCTTCAGTCGGTCCTTGTTTGGAAAATCCTATTGATAAAATAATGAACCGTAGAACAGGTTAATTAATTATAGCTAAGAATACGATACGATGACGATAGTCGTCATAATGCATACCTTAGAATCTGGGTCATTATTAGCACATTTACGGTAGTTTCGATAATCCGGAAAATAATAATTGGATTACCGATTTGATGGTTTTACTGACCAGTTGTTAGTTAGATTTAAATAGTCATTCAATATAAACACCGGATAGAACACCGAATATCCTGAGAAACACACCGAATATCCCAAGAAACAGTATTTCCGGCAATCTCCAATACCGATGACACGGTGTGACATGCATTGGTTGGAATTCGGTAAATAATTATAAATAAACCGGCGATACTAGATTTAGTTTTAAATACTGTTTACCATGATTATTATTTTTGATACACCTGGTGAAAGAGGCTTAGTTTTTAAAAATATTGTTGTCTTTATGGAGGGCTATTACATAGTCGTATGGAATTTTATTTTAAACCAATTTCAATTATGTGAATTAAATATGGAAAATTATTTTCCTTTCAGTCAGTGTTCAGTCTCAGTGTTTTAGTAGACTTGATTTTGGGTTTATGTTTTAAGTATGTACAATAAAGTTGAATATAACGGAAAGCAAAAACGTAAACAAGTAATGACTTTCTCATTTAAAAAAAAAAAAAAAGAAAGACCGCCCTCCCGCCCCAACAATTTTCAGCAATAGCCAAATTTTATTTTGCACCATCAATGAGTAAAAAAAAAAAAGAAACCGCCCTCCCTCCCTACAGTTTCAGCTGTCAGTTGCCCGAGAAACAAGACATTTATTTTGTGTGGCCTTATAAATAAATACAAATTTAATATTTATATTCTTGAAACTGGTCTAGGCAATTTTAAACTGAAAACTGTTTTCCATGATAATAAAGCTATTTATACAAATACTTTTGGATTAAATTCTCTCAATTCCGAAAATAGTGTAAATCGAGTGAAAAGGTGAATTTCTGAGTACAACTGCATAAAAAATATCTCAACCAATCATGGCAGCTGAAACATATTTTTTACTAAAAAATATGTCACGATTCTACTCACACCACCTCAATATTCAGGACTGGCAGAACTGTGACAAGACTGAATTCTGTATCACTTGATTGCAATTCTGTCAATTCGGGACGATCCGGACTGACAATCAAGAACCCCCATAGTCTTTAATCATAGAGGAGAGATAATGAGATTGGGTTAATTTGTCTAAAACCACTTTCACTCTGTACATAGTGAGAAACCAACCATTCTATACCATGGCCATTTGTTCAATATCAACTGGGTTCAGCCAACAAGACCATTTATAAAATGAAAATATGTTGTCGTAAACTTGGATGATTTCATTGTGGAAGGTGCTTCCATCTTTCTCTTAACAGTACGATCTAGCCTTCACTCTGCATGAACTGTATGAGGGTAATTTGAAACAGGTACATGCTCCTGGCATAAATAAGTGAAGATTGGAGTACCACATGCTCGTATTGTGCGTGCTCAACATTTTGTCTGGACGTTCATCTTCAGTACGTAAACAAGTTTGTGATGGGGAAAACTTTTCACTTATATTATTTGCGCTGCAACATGTTGGCCAGAAATCTTGATCTTTTTATTGTTTGCTGTGATGATTCTATGTTCTGTCAATCCAATGATATAACATGATTTCAAACTTTTATTTAATCTGAGCAAACTTTGAATGCTACAGTTAGTCTACTTAATTTATGTCTTGATCAAAAGAATCTGGGTGTTAGCCAAGACAAGAAAGTTCATTTGGCTTTTCTGACTTGGTTCCTCCTCATCAGTGGTGTAGGACAAATGACCCGGCAAGTGGCAGTGTATACTCGTTTGGATGGTACAAAAAAAACGAGATCTCTTGAACACATTGGCATGCTCGTAAAAGAACAATTGACAGTTTGAATTCAAAATAAAGAGTAAGGCGTGGTGCCACTGCCAGGGCAAAATTTCCCTCGGGGCACACTGCATGACGTTTACGTGTTCATTAGCCCAGTCGATTCAGAAAAGCATTTCCATTTCCATACTTGGCAGAGTAAAGGCCTGATTGACTTTGATGTTATATATAGTGTGATTATTAAACCACAATGTTTTATGATTAACAGGTGCCACATTAGAAATTATTACAGATAAATCCCAGGAAGGAGCTCAGTTTGTTCGAGGTTTTGGTGGTATAGGAGGTAGGTCAACATAATCTTATCTTAGATTTAGTATTCCATTTAAAACCAGGGACCGGAGTAGTTGAGTAAGCTGAAAATCTACACCATCCGTGCATATTAAATTGACCGGATGCATTATGATTTGTTGTTTGCTTCCAATCAGAACTCTCGGTTCAGTTTGCCAGTCTCAACTAACTGGAAGTGAAATTGACCAGCCGGAGAAATTACCAGTCATAGAATTTAACCTTTAAACACAATTTAAAATACTTTGATAGTGATAAGAATTATATTCTTTGGAAAAATTATTTTGAATCCTCCAAGATCAACAAAATATATCAAAAACAATAAGTTGACTGCTGGAGAAAGTATTAGGGTAAAACATGGCTAACCCTGATAGTGGGTTGGGGACATGGCAAACTAAGCTTGCTTACTTTGTGGCAAGCCCTGAAAATTGCTGTGATGATTTTTAGATCTGTCAATCCAATGAAAAAGGAATGATTTCAATCACTTAGATCTGAGCAAAATTTTTAAATAAATGGTTTGCATCTTATTTTCACGGACATGTCATTCAAAATATTTTGACATGTAAAATACTGGTTTTGATTGGACCCATGTGCAGGTAAAAGACCCTTGGTGAAGAGTATGCGGCAAAATCACTGTCTAGACAAAATTTCCATCGTAGCATACTAAATGTTGTAAGCCTAGCTTCAATTTCCCTGTTGGTGTAGAATAGCGTGACGTTAAACCCATTTATTTCTGGGTGGCTTGGTGTGTGAGACGTTAGTTCGCTAAGCTGGAGGTCCCGTCTTTGATCCCTGCTTTGGCTAAGAAAGTTAATCAGTATTTTTCCAGCATGGTTCCTCCTTGTCAGTGGTGCAGGACTCAGGGCTTGGCAAGGGACAACGTGTAGTTGTTTGGATGGAACGGAAAACCGAGGTCCCATGTACACATTGGCATGCACGGTAAAGATCCCTTGGCAGTTGGAATTCAATATGAGAGTAGGCTATTGCATCGCTATCCAGGCAAAATTTCACTCATAGCACACTGTATGGCGCATGCGTGTCCTCATTAGCCAAGTCGGAGCAGAAAAGTAGGATATTAAACCCAATTTCATTTGATTTCTCGTCCCATGTGCTGAATGGCTAATAATATAAGTTTTACTATTTTCCAGGTATATTACGATATCAAGTGGATTTCCAAATACTGAATCCTGACTTACAAGAATACGATGACTTTGATATTGATGATTATTAAATTAATGCAGCATAAAGTGGATCATTTTATTCTGGACTAAAGAAGTGGAAGTGACTGATAACCATGTTAGAAACTGTTCCATACAAGTTATTGCTTTCAAATTTTTGAAAAAAAAACTTCATGGATAAAATGTAGAATCTGTGAATTTTTTTTATTTTTTTTGGTCTGGGGTGAAACCCCTTGGAAAAAATTCTGAATTATACCCCACAAAAGTGTTTTGTCGATATATTTGCATGTAGATATGCCCTAAATAAATTATACAAATTACGGTATACAACGGTAACAGAATTTATTGAGGTCAGTCTTTCTCTTAGGGTATAAAATATTTCCTATAAAATTCTATAGTCTTATCACTAATTGTAGGGTATAATTCGGAAGAAATGCTTGCGTTTAAGCACATTGAACTTTTATATAAAATTCAAAGAACCTTTCCTAGAAAGCTATCAAATCAAACTGGCTTGTAAAAATAACAGGGATAATTTATGAACTCGTTCTCATGAAAAGAAACGGATTCCTTGTATATTTTGTGTTATCTTTTTCATGTAAAAATTTTATTGACATAAGAATTGACTTGTTTTCTCAGAAGAAATATTTATAAATTATATGCTTGATAATGTTTGAGATATGATTGTTTTATCTCACGGTATTTTTTCAGTGAAATTGTATTGTATTACTAGTCTAGAAGATAAGACTTTAATTTATTCTCTACCACAAACACTCCAATTGATTCTCTCAGATTTGGTATTTATTCTTTATGATGTTGGCTTACTAAACAGGTGGTACCGGTGTTATCAAAATAAGTGCCGCTGTCAGAAGAAAATTTCCCTTGTAACACATTACATGGCATATACTTGTCTTCATAAGCCCAGTCCATGCAGAAAAGTCAGATGTTAAACACCTTTTTATTTCTTTTTGATGTGCCCAATGTAGACATTAGTAGAATGCATAAAGTCTGTGAATGTGTGAAGAGATTGATTTCTTGATAAAATTTTCCATTGCATTCCTGTAAGAAAAACACCATGTTGGTCTCAAAATAACATATCAACAATATACATGTAGACTCCATAAACTGGCGAATCTTCGTGATTTGTCTCCCAGTTCATTCAATGTTTAGAAAATCTGACCGGATTTATTGGAGTGTTTGTAATCTGTTAAGAGAAGATATAGCCTGTTCATATTAAAATTTTACCTCAGAAAGAATATGTTAAATATTTCAAGTTAAATATTGTACATTTATAGATATGTGATCACTTAACTCCCGAAACCAGTTAATGAAAACTGGAGACATTTACCTAAAACAATATGTCCTTTTAGTGATATTTATGAAACTGGTGTATTTGGTAATAAGTTTTAGTTGTGAATTCAAACTTCGATATTTTTATGGAAATTTGAAGGCAAAACTAAGAATTGTTATTATTGTGAGTTTATGTATCAGTATGGCAAGTAGAAGACAAAAGAATGAGTTTGCATCAAACTCACTTTTGCTCAATTTATACAATTGGAATTTCTGAATTTATGCGAATGAATTTAAATTATAAAGATTGGTGTTTTTGAACTCTTTATTTCGCGCAAATCTGATTGAATATTTAAATATGCACAATTTGTGTAAAGTAACTTAGTTTACACTTGTATCTTTTGTTCGAAAATTTCGAACATCTACTTGATCTTAGTTAATAGTTCTTACTATACAAGTAAAGATTTAAAAATCAAAATTTAAAATTCCTGATAGTGCTACAAGTAAATATATTTACGATATATTTCCCACTTGCAATATATTCAGACAATAAGGGAAATAGTAATTGTCAGTTTTCCAGGTAAATTCTTGAAAGCAGTTCATTATATGCAAGTATTGATGGGGAAAAATAAGGTTGTCTTTAAATGAAACATCATAATTATTATTTATGATGTAAATTGGTTTTTGTCAAATTGATTAATTAATTTATCTGAAAATGATTGTAAATTATGACAATCTTGCATTAAAGTATTTGGATACATGCATCTCAATCGACGATTGTTGTTTATATATCTCATGTCAACAGATCCCATAGTCTAGAATTTAACCTTGAGACCATAGTGACCAGTAGCAAAGATGGCAGCATTAACTTTAAATTACATGGGGCGCAAGTCCTTTTCCAACCAAAGTAATAAGTATTGTCTAGCATTGAGCACAGTGACCATATAAAATATAACTGTATGTTAGTCTCAAAATAAGCAACAATGTATTGTATTTACATTCTTTCCCTCCTTATAGCTGCCCATGTGCGACATTATCACTGCATTATTAGAGAATGTAGATGATTGTCAGAATAAATAGAGAGAGAGAAATGGGGTTTAATGTCCACTCGACACAAACTATGTCATTTCGGGACCAACATATGGTTTAATTTTATTTCAATAATTCGCTTGTGTGTAGGGGTCTTTAGCAGTGAGAGGACCCAGAGAAAACCCACGAGGTTGGACAGGCGACCCTACTCCTTGTCACGTACAACCGGGGATTCGAAACCACACCAGTTGACTTAATGACTTTATGATACAGTGCGCACACGCTAACCATTCAGACATCCAAACCCCCTTCAGAATAAATACTTTAGATCTCTAATTCAGTAAATTACATAATTAGACATATGTATACATGAATTATGCTTCTCACAAAGTGAACAGATAAAAACTTAATATTGCAAACCTGTCAACCCTTTGAATTCCCCATGGATGGACCCAGGGGTTAGTTGAGTAAAATGGAACAATGCCACTGGAGAAACCAAGGATGGAATAGCTGTGAACTATGTAAATTGTACTATTTTACCAGTTTTGTAACAAGGTGGTCAAGGGAGCAGTAGTCTTAGAATTTGTTTTCAAACTATGGTAGCCGGTTTGAACTAGTGGATAACATTGACTCTTGTCAGGCTGAACAGTCATGTTAACTTAGGACTCTAGATTTCAACATACATATGTAATGCTTCAGCTGTTCTTCTTCTATTAGTTGTTAACCTCAACTTCCACCGATGGTGATATCGCAGACGATTTGTATTATTTAACAAGCCAACAGTGAGGCTGATGTCCCCCGCCGAAATTGCAAAATAAATAGATGACACATATTAATTAATCGCACATTTATTTTTTTCACTAAGTTTCATCACTCTCTATCAGATAGAATCAAGATTATCTTGTCCCAAACCATCGACAAATGAAATCGATTAGCTCTGCTTAGCTTCAGCTCGAAATGTTAATTATTGAACTCAGTCAAGACATTCACCTAATGAACATCTACATATACATCAAGTTTAAACATTCACCTAATAGACACCTATGCCAAGTTTGAACATTCTACCTCAATTAGAAGGAGAGTTATTGTGTTCCAAAGTTTCTACCAATCAAATTGCTTATCACTCTGCTTACCCTCAGCAAAAAATGTTCATTATCGAACTTAGTTAAGGTATTCATATAATAAATCTATACACCAAGTTTCATCAATCTCACTTAATTAGAACTAAAGTTATCGTGTCCCAAAGCATCAACCAATCAAATTGCTTATCTCTGCTTACCCTAAGCGGAAAATGCTCATCTTCGAACTCCATCAAGGCATTGGCCTAATCAACACATACACCAAGTTTGAACATTCTAGCTCAATTAGGAAGAGAGTTATCGTGCCCCAAAGTATCAACCAATCAAATTGCTTATCTCTGCTTACCCTAAGCGGAAAATGCTCATCTTCGAACTCCATCAAGGCATTGACCTAATAAACACATACACTAAGTTTGAACATTCTAGCTCAATTAAAAGTTATCGTGTCCCAAAGCATCAACCAATCAAATTGCTTATCTCTGCTTACCCTAAGCGGAAAATGCTCATCTTCGAACTCCATCAAGGCATTGACCTAATCAACACATACACCAAGTTTGAACATTCTAGCCCAATTAGGAAGAGAGTTATCGTGTCCCAAAGCATCAACCAATCAAATTGCTTATCTCTGCTTACCCTAAGCGGAAAATGCTCATCTTCGAACTCCATCAAGGCATTGACCTAATAAACACATACACCAAGTTTGAACATTCTAGCTCAATTAGGAAGAGAGTTATTGTGTCCCAAAAAGTGTGACGGACAGACAGACGGACAGACGGACAGACAGACAGACGGACGAACCCATTTTAATAGTCCCCTGCTTTCTTCGAAAGGCGGGGGACAATTATGCCTAGAGCACATGCAGGGGCCTTTCCTGTGGGAGGAAACCGATGTACCCGGAGAAAACCAATGAAGTTGAGAAGGCGCCCATCCTGTCTCCAAGTCACATATGATTGAGCCAGGGATCGAAACCACAACCGTAAGTCAGAGGTAACGGCCAGCTAGAGCTCGGAGCGGGGCACTCTAGACTACTAGGTTATCCCAAACCCTTGCTTTATCTGTGTTTGTAGTTTCCTTTATAACCATTACGGAAGCTTGTGACCAGTAGACAATAATGCCATCTTGTATTGAGTGGCACAAGAAATACACAATAGTGCTACATTTCATCAGTGAACTGGGATAGACAATGTCTATATATTTTAACCAGGTATTAAAAAAGTTATGTGTTTCTATACATTATTGGGGCATTCTTACATTATCGAGTTCTGAACTCATAGCGACCAGATCAGAATGCTTGATAACAAATGTGCCTTAGCACACCTGTGAAAATACCACCTGGTTGGTTAAAACATACTGGTAGGACTTGAAAATATTCTCTAAAAATGCAGTAATTAAACTACAGCCCAAGGAGGGCACCAGTTACCAAATATTTATCACAAAAATTATTTTTATTCATTATCAACCTGAGAATAGCATATACTATATCAACAATAACAATCAACAATGCATTTGGTTTCACGCTAAAAACCTAATTTTGTTACACTTGATACCAATAAAGATTTAATGATTTTGTGGAATATTTTGGTATTTGTTTTGGTTAATTTATGAAACCGAAACATCACATTGGTTCTTTTAGGATTTGATTCATTACATTGTATTTACATGTATATAAACATTTATCAAAATAGAACCAAATGTGTCTTATCATATACACCATAATCCACAATGTTTTTTTACACATCACATAATATCACATGTGTAAATCAATATTAAATTATCATTGTGTCCTTTAATCAACCGATCTTTATTCAAGCTCATCTTCTTGTTTATAAATGATTTTAAAATTTGTCTTAAAGCCCTAGCAAACTACAGTATTGTGAAAGGTAAATCTCTAAATGTAATATTCCTTCCAATTCCTTCAAAAAAAGGTCAATTCCAATCAGTATTATGAATCGAAAATTTCCCAACATTAAGCAGACGATATAAACAAACAAGCCAGCAACCTATAACTGTTGGACAAAATCTTTCAAAATGCAAGGAAACAATCTGCCCTTGATATTTTGGTTTTGTTTTCTTATTCAATTTGAGTACATTTTAGCACAAATTAAACTGTGAAAAATGAGATATTGTTCGAAAAAATGTAAATGACGATCAGTGACTTTAAATCACCCGTTTCCTTTTTTTCCACTAATATCTGGATTTAAATCAACCTTCTATTCTTGCTATAAGAATCATCTGCCTTGATTAGGTCTCATATATTTATTATGTTACTTTTCATTTCTTCTCAACTTTAAACTCTATTTCTGTGACATCAGCTAAGCCTGCACAAATTACATCCCCTGCCACTACTGGACTGACACCAGAGGGAGTGCCTGTCAGTATGATATCCCCAGGCTCCAACGTAAAAAAGCCACTGATATAACTAATTAGAAACGGAACATTGAAAATCATATCTTTTGTATTTCCATCTTGTTTAACTGCATCATTCACCTTCAACCATAATCGTACATTTCCTGGATCTGAAATTTTTTCTTTCTCAATGAAACCACTAACAGGACATGACGTGTCGAATCCTTTTGCTAGGGACCATGGTTGGCCCTTCTTTTTGGCTTCATCTTGAAAATCTCGCGCTGTCATATCTAGAGCTAGAATATATCCTCCAACATAGTCCATGGCATTGTTTTCTGGAATGTCCACACCACGTTGACCAATTACAATGCCCAATTCTACTTCATGATGCAGTGAACTACAGCCTTTTGGTATCTAAAAGGGAAAAAAACTTATTTGAAAGATGACTAAAACATATTTTACCAAGCAATGAAACATACACCCAACACCATCTAAGTCCTTTAAGCATTTATGAGCTAATCAATCAAAAAGATTTTTATAAAAATAAGGGGAATGACTCTGGAAGTTATATCTGAAAATCAATATAATTCTGGGTGTGTAAAACTCAGTGTCAAGATGAACAACTCACTCATTTTCTTCCTTTATTATATACAAAGTTACAGCTCTATGTAATTCTATTCTGGAATTATTATGTTATATCTTCCAATATTTTACTTGACAATGGTTGCTCATGGAGTAAGGTGCTGGCTTAATATGGTTACCCCTTGTAAGTGGTGTAGGATGGGGAACTGGAGGAACAGTATCTAGTCGTTTGGATGGTACAAAAAACCAAGGTCTTGTGTAAACTTTAGCAAGCACTTTTAAGAACCATGGCGTAACTATTGAAATTTGACAAAGACAGAAACACTGCTGTCTGGGCAAAATGCCCCTCATAGTAGAGTGCAGGGCGTATGACCGACTTATTAGCTCGATTGGTGCAGAAAAGTTGGATGTTAAACCCCATTCCATTTTGACAGGAGAGTTTCGACCTTAAACCCCCGCTCCCTTTAATTCATAATTCATGAAACGTGAAATAACCAATGGGCTTCTAACAGTTTAAACTATGGTACCGTACTTACCTTTATTGGATTACCTGCTGTTATATAAGAGGAGGTTGGTTTCAGGAAAAGAATCGGTTTTGTGGGAACAGCATTACCAAGCTCTGCTGCATGCTCACTGAAGTAGATAATTTTTTAAAATGATTAACCATGATACCAGTTTGATTCTCGTTGGGTGCATGCAGAAAGTTACAACCACAACCAGTGCTTTTGAGACGGTTCTAGTGTTGAGCCCTTCACCTTCCCAATGCACAGGCTAAATCTGATTGATGCAAGAATAAAGCAAAGTTCACAATAAAATTAGTATCTGTTGGATCTCAATCAACCATTTCTAGAATTGTGCTTTAGAGTGTAGGACAGTGAACTACAAGATGACCAGAACCGACGTAAGTTTGTTTCCTAGCTGTTTGGTGCATTCAGAAAATTAGACCCATGTCCAGTGCTTCTGGTTTCTAGCGTTGAACCCTTCCCTTTCCCGATACCAGTTATCTTCTATAGCATCTAGTAGAACCTATTTAACCTCTGTATCCAAATCCTGTCACTGAAATGCTCATGGATGAAAAGTTGATCTATGTTGGGGTGAAATTAAAAGCGTTGAAAGTTAAACTCCAAACTATCATACCATTCATGTATCATGCCTTGTTTAGAAGCCCTGATTTATGGTTTGTAAGTGGTTGTGGAGAGAAAGAGAGAAATGTGGGTTAACGTCCACTCGACACAAACTAGGTCATTTCGGTACTAACATATGGTTTAATTTTATTTCAATAATTCGCTTGCGCGTAGGGGTCTTTCGCAGTGGGAGGAAACCGGAGGACCCGGAGAAAACCCACGAGGTTGGACAGGCGACCCTACTCCTTGTCATGTACAACCAGGGATTCGAAACCACGCCAGTCGACTCAATGACAGACTTTATGATACAGTGCGTGCACATTAACCATTCCCCCCCCCCCCCCGGTTGTGGAGAAAGTGATATATAAGCCTTTAAAAACTTTAAGCCAGTATTCGAATAATCGAATATTTATTATAGGCCTACATTATTGGCCCTACAATACTATCTATAGCTGTGCAACTTGAGGTGCTCATTTATGACCACCCCACTCCTCATCAAGTAGAATTCAGTTTCATGTGATAGTGAACAGCTACTTAGCTTTGGGTTAAACAAAAACATACAAGTCTGCTTTAGAAAGACCCCTGACCTCGTCCCCATCAAGGATCTGCAAAGTAGCCAGTTAGGAATATTCATAATCATATTGGCAGTCACAGTAGTAATTAGGTTTAACAAATACGTTGCACGCAAAAGACAACAAAACAAACCTATAATTTCTCCCAACGGCGACAATTTTCCTCCCAAATTCTATAAAACGTGATAACTTCGACGTGTTTGACATTTTTGTTACGGTATCTTTATCGAGGTCCCGGTAATGGTGAGGAGTAACGTCCCTTAGTAGATAACACATTTCCCACACTTGAATTGTGTTAGTTTACTTACATGAAAGTTTATAACCACCAATAAAGTTCTGTTGGGGTTTAATACATTATTCAAATATTTCATTTTAAATGTTACCAAACGATAATTCATAATGTTGGATACTCGGGTCCGGTAAATATATCATCATTATCAATTAAAGTCGTCTTAGACCGCTAAGTATGACTACTAAATAGAGTTGCTTCCCTTTAATTAAAACTGCAATTAGAACTTTTCGAAAACCGAAAACAAAACAAAGTGAAAACAAAAATTATTATTACATCTAGTTCGGAAAATAAAGTGCCCGAAATCTAATAATACCGGGACACTATTTTACTTTTCTTTTAATTGCGAATACAACGAATTAGAGGGCCCTACTGAATTGACTTTGGATTAAAACATTTTGTCTAGAATCACTTTGTGCGACATTTTTCGTGCATCAATTATTTGTGGTTTGGTCTAGAACATAAATACGGTACAAACAGACTGGGACAAAAGTTACGAAAACTTACCGATGCAGCTGCAACAGTTTGATTGGATTGTTGGACTTCAGGTCGGCACAGAGTTGCAAAACGATTGGAAACTTTGAAGTTGCTTAACTCACGTGCAGCGGTTAAATTATCTCGAGGAGTGCGAGACCCCCATACCCCGTGCAGGGGCGTTGTGACCCATGATTTTGCACGAGGAACAATCCCGCCCGGCCCCCCAAAAAAGTACATGTATATGTGTGCGGAGGAGGGGGGGGCACCGGGTAATATTTGGCTATGTGGAACATGCTATAGAGTCGATTTGTAGCATATTTGACCCACGGTGTATGTTTGACACAGGTTGAACATTATGAAATGATTAGGATTATAATGTTGACAACTGCGTTGGAACCGCGTTATTTTTTGCCATTTGCGAGAGGCTCAAGAACCCAAAACCATGACGCAAAGCCGTCATTGCGTCCCTCTCACTTAGCCCCTGACCCCGGTTTCATGAACTAGATTAGCAGGAATATGCGTTTGCGGTTAAATGCTAAAATCTTCTGCCGGCGGACAAATTAATTATCCCGCGCATTGATTTGATTAATATTAATTTCGAAAAATAGGAAGCATACCTTCTAAAATATATTTTTCAGACAAATTCAATATATTCTTACCTAAAACGACCTTTTTATATGTATATTTTCATAAAATTTTCATAAAATTTGCATCTGTTAAAATTACTGCGCAGTTTCAGTATGGTAATAGATCGCTTATGTTTATTTGCAAGATTACATGTATATTATTTTGCGATCGTGAAATATTTAACAATTAACCAATTTTGTTTCCGGTATTCGGTTGTTTTTTCTTTTTAAGCTGTTATTAGAAAGTTCATCTTTGTTCTTTCCTATTAAATTCGTGCGCCATATTACCAGGCACCACGAAAGGTCCCCGGTTCCTTGAGAGATATCTAATTTGTTTGCGATATCACCTAGGAGGAAGTGGATGTAAAATACCACGAACTACACACACAGTCTATTGAAACTAGGTCTTATTGCTATCTTGATGTATAGGTGGGTTTGTTTTTAGTAAATGTCATGACATTATATAATATAGATATTCTACACATAGGCTAATATCGTGTACAAACATTAACATCTTATAAACAGCAGCCCCTGTATAGGCCAGTGAGTAATGCGTTAACTCGCTAAAAAGGAGGTCCCGGATTCGTTCGCCGAGAAAGTTACTCGGGCTTTTTCAGTCGTCCGGACCGGGCAAAGAACTGAGGTTTCGCGTACACTTTAGAGTGGACGTAAAGTAACTCTTGGCAGTTGGAATTCGACGAAGTGCAGGCGGAAAATGTCCGTCTTTATAATCCCTGTAGTTGCGGGAAGCGAATTCAGTCGGCATCAGAACCCATAAAAAGTCACTCTATACATAAAATACATCGTTTCCCGCTGTGACCAAAAAAATATTATAAATTGATTCTAAATATTACATTATAATAGATTGTTGAGGGTCTTTGTCCATGGACAACATATTGAAAATAGGCACGTTTCGTATCAAGGTGGCCTAGGGAACAGTAGTTTCAAGTAGTTTCGTGGCGGAGAGGTACGTCTTACAATTGGTTTTCCATCTATGGTAGCCGCTCCAGGCCAGGGTTAGCTTTGGGTCTTGTCAGCCTGAACTTAGAACTATAGATTACATTGTTGCCATTGGCAGTACTGTATGCGTGGAAGTCCAAGATGAATGTCTGAAATGTATTTTTTGGGTGTTCTAAGGCTTGTTACCACTGATCGTCCATTTGACGAATTTTGGATCCAGTGTAAACTATAATATTGTGCACGTTAAATCTATATGAATGAATGTTAAAATGGGGTTGCGCGTCCTACCTTAGAAATGCTCCCACTACTGATGTCTTCCGTCTTACTCAAGCCATCTCAGACTGTATCAATTGTAGCGCTGAGCTGTCGCGACAACATTGTCGATCCAAAAATGTTTCAGCTCCGTTCACTATTTACTAAGATAATATGATGAAGTGTAAATTTCGCAACATTCGGCATCTGCTGGGTAAATCGTTTGATGGGCCTCTTTTTAATCCGACTGAATCAAAGTAGGGAGATCTCTACCGTCAACCGTTGATATTTTAGTTTTGTTTTCTTAATTAAATGTTAAAGGATCTGGGGGTTGGACATAGGCGTACGGGAAATTTTTGACTGGGGGGGGGGGGGCGGTGGTGGTTGGTGCCCAAAAAATGTAGTTAGGTTCTTAGTATGTTACATAATAATAATAAATTCGCTGTTAAATTGGACACATTCAAGAACACAATATTTTTTTATACAACTGTGTGCCCAAATTTTCCCAGCATTTGGAGCCCAAAATGGGGGGGGGGGGGGCAGCCGCCCTCCCATTGCAGCCCCCCCAGCTCGTACGCCTAAGGGGTTGGATGGCCGTTTGTTTAGACCGTGCGTGCTGTATCACAAGGCCTGTCATTGAGTCAACTGGCGTGGTTTCGAATTTCCGGTTGTACGTGACAAGGAGATGGGTCGCCTGTCCAGCCTTATGGGTTTTCTCCGGGTCCTCCGGTTTCCTCCCACTGCTAAAGACCCCTACACGCAAGCGAATTATTGAAATAAAATTAAACCATATGTTAGTCCCGAAATGACCTAGTTTGTGTCGAGTGGACGTTAAACCCCATTTCTCTCTCTCTCTCTAAAAGATCAATCTGGGCACAAGTAGCGTGGATATTTGCAGTTAAAGATTAGATATTGTCCGGAAAATGCACGATCGGGATAAGCGACTATAACCTGAAGAGTTTTCGATCAAGGAAATAGTTTTCAATCACGAGGAATGAAATTACTGGTGAAAGATTTGCATTGTAAAGGTATTCGTCGTGTGCTCCTAATCGTCCAGTGACGTATTTCAATTTATTCCAATAGCAGTCGATATTCTTTTAAAATGAAGACAATTTAAATCTATTGACCACTATTCACGTGCTGAGCTGTACTTGATTGCACAGTGTCGAGGAATCTTTAACTCCCCCATCTAATAAATAACCCCGTTTACTGAGGCAATCCGCTCAGACCCTTCAATCACACGCTCATCCACATCAAATAAAAATTTAAAATGCGAAATAAATTTGTCAATAAATCTCTTAATGTTGGTAGCAAATGGCCCCTTAGAAAGCCATATTTTATTGCCAGTTTTTGAGCGATTCTATTGAACCAAATCAACAAAGATATGGAATCATTAGCACCACAAAGAGCGCGAAATCGTTCCTATTTCCACATGCTTTGTGTAACTAATTTCACCATGTGACTTATTACTCCCGACTGGGGTACAAGTTTTTATTAGTATAAAAGCAACATGTTTTCAAAGGCGTATAAAAATTTAAGGTAAACCAGTACATTTTTGCACGAAATGGTTTCGCGAAACTGTAAAAGGCGTAAAAAGAAAATATAGAGATATGATATTTGGCCTAAAGATGTATAGTAACAACTGGATTTTTACAAAAGTCAGGATATGAGTTCAATATTGACAACATATATAAACAAACAAAGAAACAGATAAATAAACAAATAAATAAATAATGGCTTGTTTTTAATTTTCAAAAAAGAAATATTAGGGAAATGGTACCGCCTCGACCCACGTTTGATTCTTGATCAAAGCAGCTGATATATGATAATATATACATGTACACTTAAAAAAGTGATCCAAAATTTAATAAATTGGACCAGTGAATGTTTTTGTGAAAATAAAAATATTAGTAAAATCCTACAAATAGGGGAATAAAATACGCCGACCTAACTGATTGAGTCTTAGTAGAATTTTTCCGGATTACGTGTACAAATCTGAATTAAAATTTGGTTATTGAAAAAATTAATTGGTTAACGTCTCCAGAGTGTTTTTTAGTTTTATAAATTGGCACCGCGTTCATTTCGTCTCGGGGTAGTTAATGCCTAAATGGTCAATTTGGCGGCATTCTGTTTATGAATGCTCAAAATGTTCTTTTTCTTTTGAGGGCGAACGGTGAAAGAGGTAACTAATTACCCAGTCGATTGCTCCCACATGTGTTGTAATCTAAAGAAGCCGCTAAACTTAAGACATAATTTACGTTCTGGTTTGAAATCAAATAGTTTCTTTTATTGGCGGATTACGGTTAATAACAACTTTTACTCAGCCTCGTAAAGAGTCCATCAAAAAGTGATGACGTCACGGTGCTTTGCAAAACGACGTTTGATTGGGGCGATACGATAGGATGGCAGATTGCCTGGAGTACTTCTGCTTGTGAAACGAGAAAAGTAAAGTTACGTCCACTTCAGAATTTATTTCTGCTGAACTAGAGAAGAGGAAATAGTTTTTTTATGTGAACCATAAGTTGTATATTAAACGAATAAACACCGTAACAGACAAACGCCATATTGTTTAGTTTTGACCCTCATCAAAGAAAATGTCCCATTCCAAAGTTATGATTTTTTTCTAACATGTGCGACTAGAGCAATAAAAGAAATATCTTTACAACCACTGAATCAAAGATGTTTA